ATTTCGTGATTCTCGTACTGAGGTATGCTAGAAGACTGTGGCGGGGCAATTCTGCTGTTGTCTTCCAAAGGCTCATTGCTTGAAGCTGTATATCGAGCCAGAAGCTCCTCGCAACGAGCAAGTCTAGCTTGCAGCTCCGCGTTAGGACGCCTCCTCTTTCGCACGGGTGCCGGAATACTAGGGCTACATGTTGTCTTGGACTAGGCGAATGGAAAGATCAGCAAGAGCTCGAAGGTAAACAGATAAGAGTTGACAACAAAAAGGCTGTATGGGTCTGTAGATCGGTTGAAAGTTGGGCATTGCCACAAATTAAGGGCATTTTGCAATACAAACCTTGACGCAATTTGCGCACGGATAATTCCGGTCACACTTGACCTTCCGCCGTTGGCATAGCATGCAAGCTAGAGACCGAGGCTGCTTCGCAGAGGCCCTATCCGGAGATGAAGCTGACATCTTGCAAGATGAGCGAGACCGCGGCAGAGGTGGGATGCGGACCGGGGGCCTCGTACAATCCGTTCTGCCGAGAGACAGCGGGGTCGGGTATATAGGAGGTCAAATTGGAGGGCGATTGGGGTTGGCCAGGGGTAGGTAGACCAACATGCGGAATGTCCTGTTCTGAGCGAGCCTTAATTACCTCTTTTTCGAAGCCAGTGCACTCATCCATCACACTTCAGCACAACTGTTAGTGGTGCCAAGATAAGTGAGAAGTTGCTCAGTCCTTCGTAGTGAGACGCCAGTCAGAAGGGGTGGCGAAGCTTAAATCGAAGTCAATGCCTAGCAAAAGCGGCTTGCTCGGCAGCAGCCCCCGGCCCCCCTACCGTTATAATTGACACGTATTCGTAAAGCTCCGACAGCCTGTATTCCGTAGCTAAGGTAAGGTGGCTGCCAACTCTACACGTAAAACACTACCAAATTGGACCGAGGGGTTGATCTGAAATCAGCACGTCCCCTTAGGCGAAATATACCTAAAGAGACTCTTCCCGTACCCAACCCAAGAGTGAACCAAGCCACTTGGCGTTCTCCCCAGCATCTGTAAGAAATCTCGCACAGATCGCGTTCTTTTTCAAACACACATGTAGCGATCAACGTATACTGCCGGACGTCGTTACTCCGAGGGACGAAGTGCATTTGGAGGTGGAGTGTGTGGTAGAAGTAACCCGGTATCTTTCTAAAGCTTGGAGGTAGCTTGGGAAAGATATCGATTCAAAGCGTGTGTCAATTGAGGAAGTGCCAGCTAAGCTAACGCACGGATTCTTTACGTGTATCCATACTACTATTCTGTATTTGACTCCTGTCGGCTGTGTAAACTGAATAGGGTACCCGCTCCTTGGCTAGTAGAGGGTGTAGCGAGGTCGAAATCGCCACTGGAAGATGCCGAGCCAGTAGGGTTAAGTTGTTCGGGTTCCTAAGATGGGCAGTTCTTTGTAAAGAGCTTTGTACTGGCCAACCAAACCGATGACTATGACGGCTTCTTCTTTCTTCGGAAAGCTTTACGCCACCTTTGCGAGATTCATATAATTTCCAGAAATGCTTGTCATATTTACATTGGTGCGCACGATATTCACATTGTACACAAGTACGCTACAGCTGCCAAGGCCCTGAGTGTGTCGAACACTTCTCTTACGTCAAGCTCGCCCACACAGCGGCTTGAGCCATGGTGATTTACTCCGTAGAGCGTCTTCAGTAAAAGTTGAAGTCATCTGATTGGTCTCCAGATTGGACCCGGGATTTCAAACGCGTAACGAAATCTCGAGCTATCTCTGGAAGTACCCCTCCTAGGCCCCCCTACTCAGATATAAGGACCAAGATCAATGTGTCCGTCGCCGTCGAGAAGTTGAAATAAGTTCAGATCTCCAAAACCATGATCCACTTCATTCCTTCCGTCAAGTATGGACAAATCCGGCGTCCTGGGTAATGATGACGAAAGGCTTAAGAAGGATGCGTCTACGTCCGCAAAAGATGGGGAACCGAGTCCAAGGAAAGCAGAGACGGAGTTGTTTGTCTTCGAAACGAGGCTTCGATCCGTACTTGAACTTGAATTCGCATCAGTAGCTGAAGCTTGGATGTTGTGGACACTTTCGGTGCTTTCTCGCGGGACAAGTCCAAAAAGCTGCGAGGAACTTTCAGTACGCTGCACACGTTCTCTGAGTTCCTTCTTTTCCAAGTACTCAAGAGCAGCGTTGAGTAATGATTTTGCAATGAGTGAGTATTGAGAGGCGTGAGCGTCGATCTTTGCAAAATGTTCCAGGACCATTATAGAGTTTCGCGTGTACTTTTCCAATATGCGGCCAAAGGATCCGAGAAGACCTACGCCCAAAATGAGGGATGAGGCAAATAACCAGGACCTTGGCAAAGGAATCAGACAAGTCCAACGGGAATGCACCGGGGGCTTCACTTACACAACTAGAGGCATGTGTCCTGTTAAAACCCCTCTCTCCGCCAGGCCAACTACTATGTCAACCATGAAGCTTGCTGCATCGATACACGCATCGGCAAGTTTTGACTTGCCGGAGATAAGACCCGAAGTCGTCGTTGGCGTCTCGGCAACTCCGTCGGCTAGTCGCTTGTGCAATTCATACATTAGAAAAGGTCGTGAGACCAATATCACCGCTGCGCAGCATCAGTACTAATCCTCTGAGGCGAAATGTTGAACAGACCATAGTAGTAGGAACAAAGGACTTGGCAAGCTCCCGTCGCCTTGCTTGCTTCTTGTCTTGATAAGGTATCAGACACAGCGTCCTTGAGCCTCTGTAACCAACGAATTGACCAGTCCCTTAGCTGTCGTGAGATACCTTCGGTCAATTGATACGAAACCTTCCTTCTCGAGTACACTTCTACGACGATACCTTCAGTGATCAGGAATATCTGCGCAGAAGCATTGAGTATGTCGAATATCTCTTGTCCCTCATCGTCCAGCTCCCTGTAAGGTACAGTGCAGTCCACATCAGATGTTGCAGGTGGCCGGCCCATCGATGTACTCAAGAAGAGATCCAAGACACGCAGGCTCTTCCACAGGCGATCCCTACCAGGCATGAGTGTTAGCCGTTTGATTTGGCAACAGAGAAATCAAGGGGGCTTGTACCGCTGCCTCTGGACGTCGGCGCCAAATCGAGAGTTAATCTCAGTGCGGTGAATCCCAATCGAGTAGGCTGCTCTCACTGCGATACCTGCGAGTTTGCACTCTGCTTAGTATGACTCACGAGACAACCTATTATAATTGGTGATAATTCTCTTGGGCACATACCAAAGAATAGAAATGCCCCATTCATTTGGCATGAAGCGAGCATATAGACAGTAACTAGGATGAATGTCTGGATTGTTGGAACATTGATGTTGCCGCTGAGATTTGCCAGGGCGATGTTGCGTGCATATTCAAAGTAGGAGGATGCAAGGTCTTCCTCGGAAGACTGGTAACCTATGGCAAGAACAAGGTAAAAAGTGGCGGATATTGCGTCTTGTGATTTATGATTCTGTCGAGCCCAGGACTCGATCTCGTTGACGAGCTGTGCATGGCCAAACAGATCGACGACACCACTGGTCTGTAAGACCATGTGTGAATGGTTATCAAACTGGGACACTCCATAGCAAGACAGGCAAGCCTCACCACTTCATGATACTTTACAACAGCACTTGGGATTGTTGTCAGTCGTAGGGCGGGCTCGTCGTTTCCGGAATAATGAGCCGGTGGTCGGAAAGGCGGGTTTTCAGTCTGGTGTGCAAAGACTTGCGGATCGACGCGAGTGTTTACCAATTGCCGGACAGTTTGGAAGAATGACAGAGGCGCACAATCTCCAATGAAAACTTGATGACGTGCAACACATTCAGTTGGAGAATCAAACAAGTGTATTTTGGAAGGGACTTACTTATTTTTCCTTGAGCATCACACAAAAGACGTGCCTCCCGAGGGACCTCCGTCTCTTCTTCGGCCAAGGCCTCGTGTGCCGGGACTGATTGCCGGGGCTCGGACTGAATATCCGGGCCGTTATGCACAGACGGAGACGGCGTTCTCAGAAGGGGGGCCGGCGCTCGTCGCCTCTGCTGCGGAGAGTATCGGCACGTGGAAGGACGTTGACGTCTCAAGCAGTAGCTGCATGGCAACTTGCCGTCACACTTGACTATAACATCGAGGGTTAAAATGGAATTCAGATAGCATTCCACGAACCACAGAATGCGGGTGCGCGGTGAGATTGCATTCGTGCAGGGAACGCACGTTCAGGTGGCTGCAAACCAAAACAATGCCCAAAGTACAATAGCAAACCGGCTCGCGAGAGAAAATCGGGGAGAGAATGGAAATTGTACCTTTCCGGGCCTTACAACTGTCGCAAGCGTTGGCGACTCTTGTGCGGACATAGACGTGCGGCGATGGCTCTCGCCCCGAAACATCTTCCATGGTGCCTCAGCCGTTATTACCTCGTTGCGTTGCTGTGCAGACACACATGCGGAAGAGCGAAGATCGGGACGCGGAGGGAGAAAACTAGCCAGTGCCGAGATGGAAGTTTCCCGAGTGCGGAACTTGCTCGACGCTAGCCACTGTTGGGTAATCTGCTTGGCATCTTTCATCGAAGCACCTGATACAGTACTTCCGAGTTCAGACACGTTGACGGATGCACGGTGTGGTCACGATCCGTCGTAGCCGCTCTGCCACATCCACCCGGAGCCACTTCCAGGAGCCTCAGTCTTTTTGGCCCCCGTGCCTTGTCATCATAGATCCGAGCGTAGGATAATCTCGTGCATGAGGACTACCAACGTCAGTATCACAAGAAACGATGACGTACAAGCCTGTCAGCACGGTGTTCTACCTGCTTGTCGGCTTGGCGGGTGCTGGCATTATGTCCTTGCTCAGCCACGTTGAGATCCGAGATCCGATGTTACCCTTCCGCTCTGCCAGGAAATGGGCCACGGCTGTCACACGGATGTGACTTTCCCAATTTGTGGACCCGGCCTTATGTGAATGGAGCATCAAGGTTACACACGGAAGTTGACACTTCATTCCTCTAGCATTAGTTTAGCACTGAATTATGTAATTTTCCTCCTCCTCGATGGCTCTACTGTTTTGGATATCATCGTTCGTACCCTCATTTGATCACCTCCGCTCCCCCCTCTCTAATTGTCCTGCCTGCAGGGTCTCGTCCCGTGTTTGCTTCAAGAATGGCATTAATGCTGTTCCGCCTGTCCCAGTGAGCTGCTCGTCCTTCAATGAAGATGCGCTTGCCAAATCAACTTTTGCGCCGTTGTGAATCTTCTTGGAAGGAAGCACAATGTAGCGGGTAACAATCTGCAAATGCTTGTTCCGAAACTCCGTCATCGTTCGAATTGCTGCTTGGTATGCATTGTAGAAGTCTTTCTGCTCGACAGTGGAAACCGGTAGCTTTGCAAGCTCCCGGATGCTGCCCATACGGGCAACGTGCTCGAGGAATCGTTTGTGCGGCCCTGGCATGTAACTCCGGACTTCCTCGTGAAATGCGGGCATTCGTGCTTGGCTGGTATTGGCTTTGCTTGCATGTGGGTTGCTATTGCCCTCTGATGTGTGCTCAACCCCCAAAACAATGTCGAGAAATTGGATGAGAGAGCTTTGCCCGTTGCTTCCTCCACGGAGCTGTTGCCACGTACCCCGGCCATTGCCTTCATCATAGAAGACACCTTTCGGCAGACCCGCTGCTGCCATGTTCTTGCTTCCGGCTAAAAACGGGCGAATCTCGTAAAAGAAAACCATTGGGTCGCAATTTTCATACATCCGCTCTAACAAAGCACCGATCTGTCTGATGTTGCCAGACAGTGCTTCTAGTGCTTGCGTAATTGTACCGTAGTTTCTCGTCTTGATGGATTCCAGAGCATTCAGCATATCGGTCATAATCCGAGCACCTTGGGCCTCCATAGCCACTGAGACTAGATAAAACCAAGCTTCGTCCTTTGTGCCGGTGAAAGTGTGCAGAGACTCCAAGGAGTCCAGATCAGTGAAGTCGTTAGTCGTCGATAAGAAATTCCACAAGTTCAGGCCTGCGTAGGTCGCGACAGGCGGAACCTCTAGGTGCTCGGAGACGCGTAAGAGGGGGACAGCTACAGCCGGAGGCAAGATCTTGAATCACTGTTAGAACATTCTCGGCAGAGTCAGATACGAGACACTGCACTAACCTCTTCCGCCTGTTCTTGCCCCCAGATGTAGGCATGCGCCAGAAAGATCAAGATCACATAAGCTCGTCTCCACTCCGACTGACTACGTAACCTGCTCGTCGACAGAAGAGGAAGACTGTTGACATCTCGTCGCAGCTTGCCGGCCTTGAGAAGCTCCGGAAGGTGTTGAACAATTGCTTCCCATGGCGAGTAGTAAGGATCCGGAAGAACTTTGACCGGTGCGTCGGCCGGGAGGAATCCGTTCTTTGTGATGGCGTATTTCTTCATCAACGCAAACACATCTGTCTGTGCCTGTTCTGCGACTATGGGTAGCGCGTGAGGGGACATTTTGACCAAAATCGTATGGCTAGGACACAAAGAAGGAGGTGTGCTTTGATGGAGTTGATATACGTGAACCGTTGAATAGGTTTGGAGGAGATCGATTGACTTGATATGTGTATGGAATCGAAAACATTTCAGTACGAGTCAGAGCTTGTTAAGATGAAGAAATAACTCTCGAATTGGCTGTCCCAAAACCCTTGTCTCCGTGCTGCTTGCCAGTCTGTATCCGCACGTACGCATCTTGCAGAAACACGCCTGTCATCCGATGGTATAAGTGGACCAAGCCGAAACCCGTCGCTTATATGCGGAAGCGCTAGGGCTTTGACGGAAGCGGATGCCGGATGTTGGTGGGGCCGCTCGCGAAGTTTTCGGAATGACGATGTGCTATCTAGCGTCAGATGAGGAGGCGACGGGTACAAAGACATCCAAGGCGCCCTGGTTCTACGGCGAATCGTGTCATATCTGACAGTATCCGAACCATCCAGGAAAATTGACACAGTTTGTCGTACGATCTAAAATGGAGTTTAACGCTTTCGCTGAACAGATTCGTTCTGGGCGCCAGGCCAAGTTTCCTGCCAACGCAAATACCGTCTCGTTTGCGCAGCAGCTCGACGCTCAAGACAAACTTGCGCATTTGCGCAATGACTTTATCATTCCTACCAAAGCCTCTCTTAAGAAGAAGTCTTTGACCGGAACGCTCCCTAGTAGGTCTTGCCAAGACATGATGTCACAATATCTGTTACAGCTCAAATACTAATCGCGCCAAAAGACAATCAGCTTCTCAACGGCCATGCAAACGGGGTCCATGGTACCAACGGAGCGCATTCATCAGCCGAAGATGATGTGACCCCATCAGTCTACTTTTGTGGTAATTCACTGGGAGTTCCGCCCAAAGCGGTCAAAGATTACATCCTTGCTCAGTTGGAGACCTGGGCATCAATTGGGGTGAATGGCCACTTTCAAGGACTCGAGAACTCACCCCTTGTTTGCTGGCAAGACATGGCTGAGGATGTCGCGAAGAAAAGCGCCGCCATTGTCGGCGCCTTACCCGAAGAGGTTGTCATGATGAACACCTTGACAGCAAACTTGCACTTTTTGATGGCCAGCTTTTACCGACCGACGGAGAAGAAGCACAAGATTATCCTTGAATGGAGGCCATTTCCAAGTGATCACGTAAGTCAGATGTAAATACAACCTACTCATATGCTGAACTGACGAAGACAGTATGTGATTGAATCGCAGATCCAGTGGCACGGATTGGATCCGTCCAAGTCGATGGTCCAGATTCAGCCCGATGAAAACTTCTACATCTCCACTGATCTCGTTCTGAAGACCATTGATGAGCATGCTGAGGAGGCAGCCCTCATCTTGCTTCCTGGTATACAATACTACAGTGGCCAACTCTTCGATATGCCTCGGATCACCGAATATGCGCAATCCAAGGGGATTGTTGTCGGGTGGGACTTGGCTCATGCTGCTGGAAACGTCGAGTTACAGCTACACGATTGGAATGTTGACTTTGCGGCCTGGTGTACATACAAGTATCAGAATGCTGGACCCGGGTCAATGGGCGGCGCGTTTGTGCACCAAAGACACGGAAAAGTCGACACCAGCGAGGGCAAGCCCAAGTTCCGCCACAGACTTACCGGCTGGTACGGTGGTGACAAGTCGGTTCGCTTCAATATGGATAACAACTTCCTCCCTACCGTTGGCGCTGGTGGTTTCCAGGTCTCAAATCCCTCAGCCATTGATCTGGCCTCACTCTCGGGTGCACTCTCGGTTTTCAGCAAGACCTCCATGGCTGACTTACGAACGAAGTCCTTGGTGCTTACTGCGTATGCGGAGCATCTTCTTGATGGCATCTTGGCAGACGACACTGGTAGCGAACCGTCATTCAGAGTTCTTACGCCAAGAAACGCTCACGAGAGAGGCGCTCAGCTGAGTGTTTTGCTCAAGGACGGCCTACTGGAACATGTCGTGGAAGCTTTTGTTGACGAAGGAATCGTCTGCGACAAGCGCAAACCAGGAGTTATCCGTGTTGCGCCAGTGCCATTGTATTGCACCTTCCAAGATGTATGGAAGTTTATGGATACTTTGAGAAAGGCCATTGCTTGAAGGGTCTTTATCAAAAGCTCTGGGACGATGACGAGTCTCTATGTTAATCAATATTAAATGTTCATTGTATACATTGAATAAATTACGCATGAAAGGATGCTGGTCTGTGACATGTCCCGTTGCCCCCAGGCACCGCTGAAGTTACTATTACGAATTCGTAGACCCGGCTCGTTGTGACTAACCATCGAACTGAGACTCAATTATTTGAAATCATAAATGTGGGACATCAATGCTCTGCAGGAGCATTGTCACTAAGCTGAACAAGCCTTCGCCGAGTATGAAGCCCGTAGCCGTGGAAATAAGGCGTGATTCCTTCTCTCGACCCCAGTGACGAAGAATATGATAATGAATCAAACCCCCAATCCCTTGTGCCAATATCATTTCAGGCATAATGTACATGCCTGTATTGTCAGTTAATCTCAAATGCCACGTAATTTCCGCAGCTCGACGTACCTGCAGCTAATGCAACACTAGACGGTATCCAAGTGGACCAGCGACTGAGACGCTTGCAATCTTTCAAAATCTTAAATATGGCACCAAAAGCTGATGCAACTACGCCAAATGCAAGTAGCCCAGGCGGCATGCCTCGGCCATATACGAGCCGAGCTGTTGATATCAAGATATGCGCCGATGGCATATGTTGTTGTTGTTGTTGTTGTTGTATTTAACGCCGTGGCGGCCGGGCTAGAGCCCTTACCGCAGACCTCCCGAAGGGTATATGGCGTGGAGGGCCGTGAGCCAAGGCTACCTACTCTACAGTACGTCGTCTCTTTACATCGTCCTCCAAATCATGCCTTGTGGCCACTACGCGTTCTGTCTGTCCCCGGTTCCCGCTGGTGCCCCAGTTTCATTCTTTCCCAAATCGTCCCTTGGAATCGGGAGGTTCTTTGTAGTCCGCACTCACATCTACGTAGGTGTGGATGCTGCTACCGCAGACAGATCTTCTGGAAGAAGTCCGTCACGCGGAGAAAGGCCTCGAAGCCTCGTGGGTCGGTGATTAATCTCTTGAAGTAGGCCTCGAGAGATCCCATAGGGCCTATGGGCTCGGGCATACTGCGAGAGTGGAGGGTCGGCCACCGTTGCCTCCTCGCCAGCGTTAGTCGACAGTAGACCAGGTGGTCCACGTCTTTCGCCTCTCCACAAGAGCACATCATTAGAGCGTCGTCGTGGTTGAAACGTCGGTGATATTGCTCGAAGTCCCCGTGACCCGATCGTGCCGCCAGCAGGTGATGTAACGTAGCCCGCGGCAAGGCCAGTTCAGGAGGGCTGGACAGAGCTGCCTCAAGCCCCAAGTCCGCGTACCGCGGCCTTCGCTCTTTATACCACCATCTCCTGTGCTGGCTTTGTAATTTTTCCCTTGCAAGCCGCTTGATGCCCGCTAGTGTTGCCATTTGACCCATCCGCGCCGGCAGTGTCGTTCCTTCTTTGGCCAGCCGGTCCGCGGCCTCGTTTCCTTCGATGCCCTGGTGTCCCGGGGACCAGTGCGTCCGTATATCAAATATCCTGGCCGCTTCTTGGATTTCGAGGAACGCGTCTTGTGACGAGTCCGGCGCCTTGCCGCGGATGCCTTGTATAACGCTGGTGTTGTCGATACATATGTGGATTGGATGACCGCGATTGGTGAGCAGAGCCCTTCTGAGGCCGGTTCGCGCCCCTTCGACCTCGGCGTCGAACACTTCTGCTAGTCCGAGTCGGCCGCACCCTTGTGCTATGCGTTTGGAGTCTCGGTAGATGACGAAGCCGTACCCCACGGCTCCGTTCGTCGCCCTGGAGCCGTCCGAGAAGACGATCATATGGCTTTCCGGTACTGTCTTTAGCCAGCGCTCGAAAGCTTTCGCAGCCTCTTCTTTGCATTGAACTACTATCTGATCCTGTGAGCTTGGCAGGTACTGTGATTGAAGGAACGCTGGTCTTCCGCATCTTGGCAGAAGTTCAGCCGTCCGTTGTAGTCTCGTCTGTTGCTGTCCCTGCTGGGAGAGCCGCGCGACTAGCGGGTGTCGGCGATCAATCCTCTGTAGTCGGACTGCGGCCCGTAAGCGGACGCCCTCTAAGGCGACTTTGGCTGACGGTAAGCCGGCGTCTCGGAGGAGGCTACTGGTTGGCGTTGTCCTCCAGACAGGCAGAACGGCCCTTGCTGCCGCTGTAATGACGCTGTCGATCTTCTGCACGAGCCCCTTTTGGCCTGTGTTGACGGGTCTTCCTTGGAGAGGCGGATTCGTGTCTGTCTCCGCTTGGCGTCTCGAAGCCGGCTTCGTGATACCTGCGTACCATGTTTCGGCGCCGAAGAGCGCGATCGGCAGTACGCAGGAGACGACGGCTTTTCGCACGGCGGCCGCTGGGAGTCCCCTCTTTGTGTTCGTAAGCTGTCTCAGATGTTGAGCTGCCCTCTTTGCTGCAGCTACTTTTGCGTCGACATGGTGCCGGAAGGACAGTCTCTTGTCGAACCAGACACCCAGCCAGCGTACAGGTTTCGTCGAGGCCTTGACCACCAAATCCCCCGCCCGGACCTCTGGCAGCTCCGCTGGCTGGCCGTGCTTCCTAGTAAAGTGGATGACCTCGCACTTGCTCGGGTCAAAGGAGACCTTGTTCTCCAAGCCCCATCTGAGAATGCCGGCTGCGCTTCGGTTGAGTATTGCGACGTTGCTCTCCAGGGAGGGGCTGATGGCCAGAGTGGCGATGTCGTCCGCGTACCCGAATCGCGCGTTCGGGTCGTCTTCAAGTATCTCTGCGATGTAGAGCAGAAAGGCAATGGGAGATAGTGGTGACCCCTGAGGCAGCCCGCATGACAGCGGGAAGTACTCCGTTGTGCTTTCTTCCAGTCGGACTCTAGCGGTGCGGTTGCAGCAGAAGCTAAAGATCAGTCTGGTCAGGCCATGTGGCCATCCCTGCTGACGCAGTCTAATGACGAGCCGGTTCCGAAGGACGGAGTCGAACGCCCCTTTTACGTCCATAGTCAGAAGTGTCGCCGTGAGTCCTTTTAGGAGGGCCATCTCGATGTCGTGGGTGAGGCAGGTCGTCAGATCGACGGCTGACCTGCCTTGTAGAGCCCCGATCTGTTGCGGACTGATGATGCGCTCGACAATCGCCAGGGACGCCATCCTTCTGGCTATCAGTCGCTCTAGTCCCTTGCCCAGGCACGAGAGGAGCGCGATCGGCCGCCAGGACCCGGGCTTGGAGGCATCCCTGCCGGCCTTCTGGATCATGACCACCTCAGCTCTGCGGAAGGGCAGAGGAAAGTGGCCGGCCCGCATACAGGACTGGAATAGCTGCCTGACCGGTTCCGAGATGACATCCCAGCATGCCTGGAGGAGGCGTGTTGTGATGCCGTCCACACCAGGGGTCGTTGTCTTTGTTAAGGTGGCCGTCTTCACTTCTTCTCCGCTAACATTGTCCTGCCAAGTAATCGCTCGCCTCGGGACGACGGGTACGTCAAACGGGTCACCCGGTGCGTCATCTTCCGCACTAGCGCCGATGGCATAGGAAAGTCTTTAGACGGAAAACTGAGTATGCTGGTGTAAAGTCGGTAAACCAGCATCGATATAGCGGATCCCACCAGTGACCCGATCAGTTGGCCATAGAAAAGAGACATCGGTAGCGCATTGACAAGATGTCCCATTTTGAACTCGTCCATCATCTCTGCCGCTTGCCATACACTGGCTTCAACAACACCAGCAACGGCCAAGCTGAGTAAAATGGCGTTTGGATTTGCTGAAGGTATCAGGAAGGCGAACAGAAATTGCGGAATTTTGGCTGTGATATGCCCGAAGCGTTAAGCCGAATTCTTCTGCAGGAACAGATACCACATACCAATATAGGCCGCGCCGCCAGTTCCCGTTTCTCCGTAACAGCGAATGTTAACATGACTTAGCGGTAAAATTGTGAATACCGCCAGTAGTAAGGCTAGTACGGGAACTGAAGAACCAAAAAGTACGACCATAGAAGCGAAGCATAAGAGCAGGCCAGTTAGGATCCAGATCAGATAGACTTTGGTCGTTAATTTGTCGTCCCGATAATCTAGAGACCCAACTTGAGGCGTTATTTCAGGCCGTAATGGGCCTCTGATAAGAGGCTGTGTATCCTCATCGTCATCAAAGTGGTAATTTCCTTTCCAATATGTCGAAAGTTCTACTAGATTTGGTATAGCGTAGACATTGAAGGAACGTAGAAGCATTGTCGAAAGAGTGACGGCTGTATCGCCTAAAATCAGTGCAACTGCAATCCACATGATCCAACCTCTTGAACCTGTTTCCCAGTCGGATACAGAGCCTGGGGCCCATCCATTGAGCCTGGATAGAGGTGAAAGTATTCCCCATCCAATCAAGCATCCAACGACGATCCAAAGGGTAGTGATTGGGGGTACAATCAAGCCGATAGAGACATAGCCAGGGGATGTTGAAAGGGAAAAGAGCCATTCTTGAGCAAGATAATTGCCGAAGATATTTATGGTGCGTATTTGCGGAATAAAATATGCAGTAAGAGACTGCGTTAGAGGTCAGCAAGGCGGAAGGGCGGTCCAAGAAAATCAACGCTCACGTAAAGTGCCGCGAACAAGAAAGTGACGAGAATGAGTTTGTTATTCTGACTCCAACCATGTTGTAGGAGGCTATCGTCAGTATCAACTGAATCTTCTACAATTGATTGCTTTTGCTTGTCGTTGACACTTTCCAAATCATTCTGAGCGCGGAGAATTCGATGTGCAATGTCAGCATCCCGGTGCAGCGATCCAATCATGGCTGCCGACGATGTTCCAAATGGAAATGGCAAAGGCTCTTGGACAAGAAACCGTTTCCGCAATGGTAAAGTCACAGCAACGCCCAGGATGCTGACACCAATGGACCAAACACAGAGTTGAGCCCAATCAAGGTGGAAAGGGCCATTTTCTGATTCGTTCGTGAGAAACTCCATGGCTGGTAAAATTCCGACAGATCCGATCGTGAAAGGCATCAAGCCCAATGAGCTCGCAATCACTACCATTGTCGCATGTTCTTGGGGAGTAAATGGAAATGCCAAATGGTCTTGGATTGTTTTAAAGAAGGCAAAGCCCAATATGGTTGAAGGCAGGCTCATGATGGCCAGGAAACCAGTGCGAAGACCGAAATACGTGTTGGAGAGGCATATTAAAATGCCGACTATGATGCCGACGACCGTGGACCTGAGAGTAAGAGAAGAAGCGGAATGTGCCGCTTCCTGTTGCCTTGGCCTCGGGTCAGAAGCTCTGCGGTGTCGTGGGCTGACCGCTTCGATGTCTCGAGGTCTAGACATTGTCAATTTCCCAAACTGCGGACGGAAACCCAAGCGAGCTTTCGAATCGACAAAAAGTGTGAGAAGATCAAATTGAGAAGATCAAATAGTTATCGACCGTGAATATATGAGAAGTATGTAGAGGCCTCTTATTCCAGGCTCTATGGAAACATGATCACATGCACAAAATCCATTCCCATTTCGCACTGATGCATCGGAAGTGAACTGGGGGTTGTGTGTGGTGACACTGAGCCTACGTCATCGATATTCTCACATCATCCAGCATGGCCACCCCGCGTTACCTACTCGTGTTCTGCGGCATTCAACTCTGAACAGCCAAGCGGAACGATTTCAGAAATTCGTGTTTCTGGAGGAAATCACTTGTTAGGGCGGAAGTAATTACCCAACAGAGAGTGCATGATTTTCTGATGGCACGTGAGTTGCAACGCTGCAATGGTGTGCAGACTTCACTATATCACACTGGGTGACTAGCCTTGCCGTCAGCAACAGCATCGGATGGCTAAATGAGGTGGGAAGCTCGAGAACAATTGCACGTACATTGTTTTTCGTTTACATTCATGACCTCGTTTATCTACAATATAGTAGGTAGACGAGCCAAAAGTATAGACAAATCGTATCCCATCCATTTACCCCTCAGTACGGATCCCTTGATCACTGCTTTCGAGCCCACAGAGTCGACACTTGCCCCTCGAAGCCCCTACATGTCCCAAAACCTTCGTCTTTCGCGGGAAACTTGACGATGCTAGCTAAAATGTGTAACTTAAGTAGCAGGATCAACCTCTGGCTCGTTATTCGTAGCCTCCGACTCGACCGTACCGCCCTTTCCCTTCATACTTCAATGTTTTCTTCCTGATCATCATCTGCGGCATTGGATAACCAGGTTGCCCATTTTGACATGATTTTCTTGAAATCAGCTTCGAAGGAAGAGGTGAAATCTGAAGAGGATCTTGCTTGCAGTTCCCATATCGTCACGCTCTACCCCGGCATCATATTATTCCCAACACGGTCATCAGTGTCTTGAAAGCTTTGTCAAAATGGGTTCTGCGTTGCACTTACCAACTCACCTTCTCGCTTTCAGACTACCTAGCAGCGACGTTGAACAAAGGCGTCAATCCTCAATTGGCATTTGCTACCTTACTTACTTTTTAAAATCCCCGTAGCTGCCTGCACGTCAAACCAGGTAACATGTCAAAAGCCCATGGCTTGATCCGCATAGTTCAGCCCCCAGAAGCCTAAATGTGAAACTCTCATCGACAGCAATAGGTACATATTAATCCCCGAACTGCGTGCACACCTTTGCGGGTTCCCCCGACCTAGCGGGGGTTGGGCCGCGTCTAACAATGCATGACAGGTCGCTCGGAGCAGATCAGAGCCAATCAGCGAGCTCCAGCTAAATTCAAGAACACAATCCGCTTTGAGAGCCTCCAGACGGAATGCCATAGACTGTTGTGGCTTGCTGTCTTTGTACGCGGTTGGAGGGTCAGCAGAGCATGTTCCACCTATCATCGACCCCGCCAAAGTTCCGCAGGATCTCGATGAACCTGTCTGGGCATAGCGCAAAGCGCGTCTTGGTCAGACGACACAAACATGTGACGTCACCTAGATGGTTACGTTTCGAATATTAATGCAACTGCTCTCCCACGTGAATAGACCGCTGTGACATCTTTCTGTCTTGTTATCAAAGTCCCGCCACTGTTAACCACAACACTCCTCCACTCAAATCACGTCCCGCCCCACCAAACATCTGTCTTATTTGACTATACACAACCCTCCGCGAATAAACGAAATCACGATGCAAAACGCCGTATTCGCCAAGTTTCTTCTGCAGCTGTGCTTCGCGCTTCTGGCCGTCGCCGCTCCCGCATCCGATCCTACTGTCGGCGCCGCAGCTCACGGCAACACCTGGCAGTATGGCACTGGTGGCGGCATCCTTGGTTTCATAGTCCTCGTGTTGGATATCATCGTGTTCCGTGAGTCCACTCCCAAAGCAATTCCCTAAGTTCTCCCTTTATCTAGGTCCTCGTTCGCCCGTACTGAATTACGTTCTTTTGCTAACAATGCTTTCTGCTTAGTTGAGGTTCTCAAGTCTGATCGACCTGTCAGCCATAAGGTTCTCTGGTGCCTAGTCGTCTTTCTTTTCCCGATTGTCGGCATGGTTATCTACTGGCTTTTCTCGAACCGCGCCGCCCACAACTCTCGCTCTGGATACGAGGCCGTCGCATAAGCGATGTTTTGATTAATACTTTTTCTCAGGGGGGTTCTGTTCAAGAGACCGGGACAAGACAAATGCAAAATCGCCATCGTGCGGATTGCTTGCGCTGGTCACGTCACTGCATGTCAACATGCCTGTGTCGATCACTTCCGGTCGACTGGGGTCGCGGATATTCTGGCGGCTGATGATTTATCTCTTGAGCATAGCCGTCAATATGTTTTGTAGGCAAGTAGTGAGTGCTTGCTAACTCGCGGCGTATATATGTGCTATCTGTCAGAATCTGTGAATCTGTAAAATGGTAGAATTAAGTCTGAGGAACACTCCTATTCCCAGGTAATTCTTCTCTGCTCCATCAGATGACTTGGAAAGTTCATATCCAGTCAGGAAGCTGAAAACTCGGTCACCCATGAATATTTACTGGGGGTGGTGGGATGAGTGGGGATTGCATCTGCCGCGCGGGGTCCACCACAAACGTCGGGTATGCCTGAGTTGCTCAGCAGGACGGATCATAGTTAAACCACGTGACCAACTTACCAAGTTTCCCAGACCGCTTACTAGCTAGAGCTTCTCTGTGCCTCGGCCTTCGCGTCTCATTTTCGTTTCGCACATGGTCGAGCTCAGACCTTGTCGCCAAAAACACTACTTGAACATAGGATGAGCGCCCAATTTACCAATGTCTGGATGGACCTGAAACGGAAGTGGCCATGTTATCTGTTGTTTCGGACTTATGAAACGCGCGATTATGTGATAACCCCTATGCTGTTTTGCCCGTCTAGGGTAGACTCAAAATCTCGCCAAAACCGCGTCTTCGCAACCTCGCAACTCAGCAGCGATCACTTAACCGACGGAGTGGTAGCCCTCGAGAACTATAGACGTGCCCTACCGTGTACGAGCCCGCAGGATTAGGCACGATGGAGACAAAACAGGAGGACCATGAGCCTTTTCTCGGCTTTCGAGACGACCCCAACAAGCGAATCTCCAACGAACACGAAGAGATGGACAATGACAGCTCCCGCCGACGACAACAACAAGCTTTGAGAACATCACGCCCTGGCCGACTTCTTCGAGACGTGCTCGTCTGCCTCGCAACATCTCTTTTATGGGTCGCAGCGTTCTACCTTCTGGTGCCCAAATCTCTGAACAGACACACGGGCGGCAACGTTACCGAAGGAGAAGGCGGGGGGGACCGGACTCCAACGTCCAGTGATTACATCGCTGCTTTTCACAATGTCACTACCAATGCCGAATTCATCTCTTGCGGAAATTCCACAGTTGAGGCGAAAAAGATGAATTGCAAGTACGATACTTTGTTAAACTATTGGGTTCCGTCACAATGCTACGATCGGGAGTTCGAAACGGAATACAAGGATGACGATAGCTGGAATGCATTCGCGGAGTATGTTAATGAATGATCAAACCGATAGGAATTATATTCAGACTAACGATCATGCTATAGCCAAAACTTAACACAACCCATAGCTGCGGAAGCAATGGGTGACCAAGAAGTTTACTATACTTCAATTCGAGACCATCTCAATCACTGTTCAATGCTATGGAAAAAACAATTCTGGACTCTTTTCGAGGAACGAACAGTATTTGATGCAATAATTGTCAACTCGTTCCATACGGAGCATTGTGCCGACTTTCTCAAAGATATCTACGGATCAAACCGAACCGAGGCGACGCTTGTTAGGGTTGGATTCTCAGGGTGCTGGGTTCGAAGTAATAGCAAGGAGGTCTAGCAGAACAAAAGCAAGAAGGAGGCTCATAGGTCGTATACCTACGTACAAATGTAAATACAAAGGTTGCCTTACTGATCTTAGCTTTGGCGAGTTATCATAATCAGCAAAACAACAGCAAAGCAACATGGTATGAAAACTATACTGGTTCGACTCTGACGCAGAGAACGCTTTCTTGGAGGATCTTCGGTCCATCAAGACCGAGGATCTTTAGTTAGAATGTTCTGAGCTATTGCAATATTGTGCGATTCTTGCCATGGTAAGTGTCATCACCATAATTGTAAGATATGTTACCGAGGGGCTCGCTCTTTTGCGAAGTCGCACTCAGAAAGTACTATGCATTCTACACTATACCTTTTGTGAGAAATCTCAATCAAATCATATCCTTGTTTGAAGCAACCTCCCATGATTGTGAAGATTTGAGTTTTTGGTTGAATCGGGTTGATGGTTTGATGGCTTAAATGCCCACAGTATTTGGAAATTACCTCTCCTCCACATTCCCTTTTTAGGGAAGCAACTGTAAAACTTCCTCTGCAGTTTCAAATTACACCCAAGCTTTGCCAGTCAATATGTAGATCGCTGTCGTCAAACTGGAGCTCACTCCAGTTCAATAACCCCCCGTCAGCCCCAGGCCAAACGTCAAAGGGTCCTTGTTCAGTCACTGTTCGATTCGGAGCCCAGGACGGCTCACGCTCTGCAAATCCCTCCTGGTTATTACCGCTTACGTGTCCTAGGCTTTCGATGTTGAAAAGCCTTGAAACATATCGACTGCTTTCAACATTGTTGGACTTCGAGCGACGCTCTGCAATGGCGGTTGCCAACGACGTCAATATCTCTAAATAATGCGCGGCTTGTGGGCTTTGGCCAGCCAGAAAAGTCAAAACATCCATGGCTCCTTGGAATGCTTTATCGGTCTCAAGGTCGGTGCTGACCTTTGCGAAGCATTCCACGCCGAGGATCAGTCCCGCAGAAAACACTAAAGCTCTGGGAGGGAGTGTTAGCATTATTTCAGGATGGATCTTGCTGGAAGGAAGCAAATGCTGAGACCAAGAAACTTGAACCATACTTCAGGATGCACATGCTTCTCTCGAGTAAGCCAGCCTTCAGAGCATCAGCACAAGTCTGTGCCAGATACACGGCGGCTTCGATACAAGCCGCAGCCAGCGGTGGATGGTGAATCTTGTTCCCTGCTTGACTGTTGAGGGATGAAATGAATATCGGCCGTGTTGCCAGTGTGACAGAGAAGTAATATAGACAAGATACGTGGATCTTGGCAACGGCCACTCGGTTGGCCTCGACGGATCCCCGCAAAACTTCAGGTTGTTTCGCACATTCTAAAGGCATGAGGAGATCCCTTCTCCAGCCATCAATGTTGACCAGAAGCTGTTCCACGACGAGAATCGTAATATCTTTGCCATGATATAGGGTGTTATTGATATCGTTGATGATTCCGACAATTTCACATGTTGCAACAAGATACTTTGATCCGTAGTTGCAATCGGGTGCCATGTCTCCAACTGGCGGCCTAGCCTCCGTTCCTGCCGTGGCTGCTGGCCGGCCCAAGAGAGAGCTAACAAGCTTGTCTAGGATTCTAACACTTATCCAGACCCTCGATCTATACAGTGTTGTGAACGTAAGCGAGGTTCAACACGCACAAGAATTCGTTGATGTGGTGTGGAGATTTGCTGCTCTCGGAACGACTTACTTCAACAGCCCACACTGATGGGCATTGGGCTCACATGTATACATTGTCTGACTGTGAAGGCCAAGTGCGATAGCAGCCCTTACAGCGATAGATGTGTACATGTACGCAGTGTTTCTGCGGCAATTTCCCAGCATATAGAAGGCCATGAGCAAGAAGACTCTGACCATGTCCAAGTCTGGGTCTTCTAGTAGCCCGGAAAAAGCTTGTCGCTGTGCCTTGCGAAAAAATGCAAAGCTGTGATCTTGAGCTTCTTGCGCGCTGCTGCACTGCGCGCCTATAGCCATTACCATGTCTCTGATGGCATCTGAGAGGTGCGGTGAATGTTCAGATGGCCAAGCTGCCTTGCCAGTGGATTGATCGGCTTCAACAGGCGATGCAACTCCAACAGAGATGCTGTCAGTTGGGCACAATAGTTCCTTTTGGTCATCAGAGTCCAGAATATTAATGAGACCTTCTGTCTGTGGCATTATACTTAGTCATGACCAAGTTTGAGTAAGGTGAGCCTCTTACAATTGTATAGTAACAGTTCAAATAATCAAGTCGTCGCTGATCGCCCAAGTCCACTGCCTCCTCTGATAAGATCGACCGTCTTGCCTCCGGAGACTCGGCCTCGAGCATCGTCTCCATTCCATCGTTGTGAGAGAATGGTGAGGGGCCAATCTGCCGAACTACAACCTGGCGAACGGTTTGAAGAAACGAGATTGCTGCAGCGCCTCCAACAAATACTATGTGTACGTTGAAGGTCAGCAATCTTGATAGTGCACTAGTAGGACAAGATAGCCACCCGACAACTGCCTACCTTGTTCGCCATGTACACTCCGTAGTAATCTACTTGGATTGGCCAGTAAAGAGGATTCAGCCCGAGAGTCCTCTACCGTTTGAGTTTCGCGAGAAGGTGACATGGGACTTTGACGCGCATCATTACTAGTTTCTTCGGATTCTTGTTGTGAGAGTGAAGGAGACATTGGGAATGGGTTTGGAGATTGTTCAATGTCAATGTCATCGTGACGTCTTGACCGAGTCCTCGATAACCCGAGAGGGTTTGTTGCCACTGTAATGGAACTGTGCTCCAAGGATGCGCGTGATCTTCGCCCAGCAGCATTAGTAGCCCTCATAGTTGAGGGTTTCTTCGTTCTTGAACCCCGGGGTAAGTACGTCATGCGACAGTCTGGTTCGAGACCACGACGAACACATTGGTTGCAGGGTGCAGTGCCGCTGCACTTTTTCTTGGCTTCGCGGCAGAACCTACAGGCCTCAGCAGCACGCTGACGCTGGCTTTCAGGAACTTTGGGGCGAGGCATAATTGTACGAAGAGCATCAATGTGTAAGACTATCGTCGAGAGATGAAGATGCGTAAGCCTTCTCTCAAGTGATCCGAGATCAGTCAGTCCAAGTCAACATTGCCGCCCGTTGTGTGGAGCAGCTGATAAGAGAGAGTTTCTGACTGCAGTACATAGGCACATCGGTTGCCGGCTCCCGGACCCTGTACCCCGAACCCCGCGTCCCCACCCCCGCTCACAATGCCCCTTTCGGAAGTTCCTAAATGGCTTCCGATGTAAGTGCGACACGAAAGAGTTAGTAATTACTGGTCAGCTGCCCCAGAAACCGCACTTGACACGCCATGACCTCGAGCTCGTCATGTGATTTCTCACCAGCGGGAAGAATTATATGTACATAGTAGTAGCTTTTTTAGAAACTGATTCCACTTATATACCATTGTCAATTTCGAGTAAACTTGATGTTCTAGTGAGCGAGAAGTAATATGTTCTGCAACATCCGTATGTGAGAGGCCAACAAACATCACATCAGTAATGAAGTCACGAGTCTGGGATTGCTTTCCAGCTACCCGCTATTTGTCACAGAGTCACAGAACATTGCGAATTTAATATTCTTAGGCTTGATAAGTGTCACGAAACAGGAATGGTATCAGCACTTGTCAAGCACCTTTCCACGTGCTTTCTCACGTGGATATCACTGTCACTTAGTATACTACGTATAGACTGCTCTCATGTGCTCATTCTAGATGGGTTACTTCAAGCCACTTTAACCCACTTCATATGCCCATTGCTGCGTGCCATAGCTCGTGACAATAAGCATCACGATGTTTGCTAACTCGCTCAAGCCTCCACATATTTATTCCGACCTACAAAGACACATGCTAAACTGATTCTACGCCTCGCTGTCCTTGAACCCCGGCAGCTTGAAGAGTTGCTTGGCATTGTCCCGCCCAATCTTCTTCTTGTCGTTATCGTTGATGGGAAGAGCATCATACCAATCGCATCCATCCGAGAAAGACTCGAAAGGGTAATCAATCGAGAACAATATGCGGTCCGCACCTACTTCAGCCATGCAGAACTGAAGAGTTGTGGTGGAAAAATGTCCACTGGTCGTGATCCACAAGTTGCTTGCAAAGTACTCGCGGATCGTTCGCTTGCAAGACAGCCCCAGTGGCTTCTTGACATCCTCGAACCAGTGATTGATGCGCCACATGTCGAATGGGATTTTCTCTCCTAGGTGACCCAAAATAATCTGGAGCTTGGGATGGCGATCGAAAACACCGTTCGTGACCATTCCAAGGACGTGCAGACTGACTCCTTGCGAAAAGCTCAGCGGAGGTCCAATGAGCCACGAGCGCTTTGCCCACAGCTTTTCGTGAATAGTTCCGGTGGGATTTCTCGGGTGCAGGTAGAAAGGCACATCGAGTTCAGTCACTGTAGACCAGAAAATGTCCCACTCTGGTCCGTCATAGAAGATCATATCGTCGCCATCAGCGCCTGCCCGCTGAGTATCGTTGACAAGGGCGCCCAAAAAGCCATACTCAGTCACACATCGTCTTAGCTCTTCTGCAGCTTCCTTGGGGTTATGCATGGAAAGGGTTCTAGCGTAGGTTAGCCAGACTGATTACTTGCTATTCAGAGGTAGGTGACTCACGCAAACGCGCCGAACCGTTCAGGGTGCTTCTTAACCTCGGGAGCAATGTAATCATTGATCTCTTTGGCCAATAGCTGCGCTTCCTTGGGGTCCCAGATGTCCTGAATCCCAGGTGCTGTGTACGATAGGATGGTGAACCCAACTCCGTGTTTATCCATGTAGTTCAGCCGAATGTCCGCAACATCGGAGATTTCAGCCGCGTGCTTTTCTGGGTCTATAGCAAAAAGTCCTGCCCACCAGCGTGTCTTCTCTTGAAACCGTGGGAGAGCAAAAGCTTCCTCGAGCGCAATTTTCCCGAGCATGATGGAGGATTTGCGGGGTTACAAGTAAAGCAAAGGGAATTTGGCTGCTTCTGTGGTAGAATAAGAAGCTTGGGGGAGCGAATGGAGCGGGCAGTCGAAGTAACGAAAGAGTGCAGAATGTTCCGCAACTAAGGGATTCTTGGGGCTCGATGAGTGTTTATATCTCAAGTCGATATACCTAGTAGACACAGAGAGAGTCGTGTCTATCACCAATCAATGGCCATCCTCATCCGTTAAATTCAGACTCGAGCAAAGCGCACTGTCGCGTACCGGGCCGCTGAGTTTCATCCCACCACATGCATCGGAACAGAGTGCACTCAGTCTGTACCAGAACTACGGAAAGGCTAATGTCCTTTCACTATTACTACCTTACGTGTGTAGCGGATATGTACATCTGCCCACTACGGCCAAGGTGTGATCTACACAGTGCGGTCTCAAAGCGGATACGACTCCCGCACCTTCTCATTCCTAGGCCCTCTCAAGTAGTATACCTTAGCCGATGGTGGCCCTGGGCGATGCTGACCCCCTCCTAGCCGAAACGAAACGCTTTCCTGATATTAGTCCGTAGCCGAAAGATTTAACATGTGCAGCATCTCCGTATCTAGCCGCTCGGGAGTACTGTGATGACTGAGCTAACCCCAGCCTTCCGGTTTCCCGACGATGTCGGGTAGTGCACTTCCGCATGCTCTCTGTCATCTTTGACCACACCAATCGTTCTTGATTTGTTCACGTGGTTACCCATATTCTGCCGACTACTTGGTGAGATAGCAACGGTGCAATCACTATCATCAGGCCTGCGCTCTTTACAATTTAACATCAGCTGAAGAAGCGAAGGCCCTTAGGTGATTGCCCTCATGTAATCACCAGGGCACTCATTTCTTGCTCGTTGGATTTTAATATTCCGAAAGTATCACCATTTCAAAAGATCCAACCCATCCAGAGGTACATACATGTAACGTAAGTTGTCACTTAGCTTATTAGAAGACACTGGAGAGGCGGTCAGACTTTTGGTCACACCCCTGTTTCCATTTTCCCCTAGAAGCTCGCATGTCGCATATAGCAGAAGTTCCCAACTCTTGCTTCTGGAATCTCGCTACTTTATAAGAGTCGGAGAAAAGACCTGAATACAATGCCAGACACTTTCTGCTTTTCTCGTTTCACCCAAAAACATCGATTTCTATGAATAATGAAGTCATCAGTAATCAACTAAGTCTAGTCATACCTCGGTGTTGAAAACAACGAATTTGCAGTTTGAGACCACTGACGTGTATCGACAATGCCCGTTGAGGCGTAGGAAAACAGTTTTACCGTAGCTGATGTGCCGTTTCTGCAGAAAAATATTCGTTCTACAGACTCACGTTGGCACCAAAGCATTTGAACTTCTAAGGCAAGGGCTTTTCTCATTGAGCTTGTCCGTCGAAGAAAGAGCCTCACAAGTTTATGAGGTTGTAAAGATAGCTCTCAAACTCGTTTCGTGTGATTCCAAGAGGAACCCTTTGGGGTTGGGAGTAAGTACATGTCGCTCGGCGCGATGTAGGTGGCAAGACAGCTTGCACCATTCCGTTGCAGTTTGTGACCATGAGAGGTATTACTCGTTTGGAATGCTTCAATGCCATGTATGATCATGATTGACGAAGAATGAACTCACCAAATAGCACCGGGCGTCAATTAAAGGGCACATGCTCTGTGATCGGATCGCGACAAGCGAAACATCCTAGCGACACCGGCATCGGGAATGCGCTTTTCTCATTGACTGCCATGTCGATGTGTTCACTACAGTGGCCGAGAAGCTAATGCAGACGATGGAGGACTTCGTTTGCCCGCTGTCGATCAAAGGTAGATCCATCTACCGGGACTAAGTCTTTGGTTAACAAAAGTAGATACGAGTGACGAGATCCAATCGTCGGAAAACAATGGCGCTGATTGGTGCTTACGCCGCAAGCCCTGAAAATTGGCTTGGGTCTCCAACTGCAAGCCTTTTCCCTCCATTCAAATTTCTTGGAATTGGGGGAAGCCTCTGATTCTAACAACGGGCCCAGTTTCCTCTTTGAGAAAGACCCGGTTCTATATCCTCCACAACAATAGCTTTCGTGGTAGTAATGTCGTATCACAGTATACGACCATTGTGAGCTCGGATATATAACATCCTATGATTTTCTCGAAAGCTTGACCTCTCTATTCAGCAAAAATCTCATAAGTCTTCTGACCAACATCTATCACAACTCAAACCTCTTTATTTATCACATTGTTGGAAAACTCTTTTCTATCCAATGATGGGCTTTTTTACCAGTCAGGCTTTTACTGTTGCCATTTCGGCCACTGTGAGCTTGGCGGCCCATATATCAAAGAATTCCGTCCCTCAGCCATGGAGTAATTTCAACAACAATGGCGTGTTCTATCCCGAGCAGACTGCAACTAGCTGGAGAACTCTTTACGGCCGAACTCTTCAACTGGCTGATCATTCCATCCTTCTCTCTTGGGAGGACTATGACCCCGTGGCAGCTTTGACTTACTTTCCTATCTACAAGTCCGAAGATGGCGGGGCCTCACTTAGTTCCTTCTCCAGAGTCGAAGATCAGGTCAATGGCTGGGGAATTTGGTACCAGCCATTCTTCTACGAGCTTCCGCAGCCATTTGGGGGGTTTCCGCAAGGCACTATTCTCCTGGCCGGTGTCTCTACACCACGCAACCTCTCACAGGCTTACATTGATCTGTATGCCAGCATCGATCAGGGAAGAGCATGGACATTTGTCAGCCATATAGTTTACGGCCCTGGCCCAGAAACAGTCTCCCGGGGGAACAAGGCAGTCTGGGAGCCTTTCTTGTTGATGCATGATGGGGAGCTTGTGTGTTATTATTCCACTCAAGTCGATCCCGATCACAACCAAAAGCTCTCTCACAAGACAACCACGGACCTCCGCCAATGGAGCAATGAAGTTGATGACGTCGCCCAGGCGGATGCTGGAGTACGGCCCGGCATGGCTACGGTGGCACATAGCCCCATCTCACAAAAGTTTGTCATGACTTTTGAATACTGTGGCGGTCCTATCGCTAGCGGGTGCCCGGTCTACTACAAAGTCTCCGACTCTCCCCTAACCTTTGGTGATGCCGATCTACGGCCCATTATTCCTGGCGACGGCCAGCTGAACCCCAATGGGAGCCCATTCGTTATCTGGACTGCAGAGCCTGGAACAAATGGCACGAGTGGTGTTTTCATCGCCAATGGAAACAGTCGGGAAGAGGTTTTTGTGAATAGCGATGCTGTCGATCCAAGCGGTTGGAAGGTAGTCGACGTCGGGCAGTGGTCAGCTTACTCCCGAGAACTTCGGATTATTACGACGCCTGGGTCTGACGCCTCCAATGGAAGCCCTAAACTTCTCCTCACCAATGGAGGGAATATTGGCTGCTCTGGGGATTGCTACAACTACGTTGCCAATGGTGTGGTGGATATACCCACATGGCATACGTAGAAAATAGCGAGCTGAAGCAGGGAGTTTTGTTCGCAGATTATCAATTGACGGGTAGGATCATAATCTTCCTCTTACAAGCTCTCCCACGAGTTCTAGTTTTAGCTCTGAGAAACCGGAGTCAGTATTCAAAGGCATCGGGACAATTCAAACATATTCAACATCCACTCCTTACGTTACCTTATCTTGGGAATCACTCAACGATTCAATGCGGTACATTGAGGAGCATTTCTCCAAGCTCATCCAATATGGAAATCATTGTGGGCTGATGCACAGTGCGCGCGTTTGCAATCACGTTCGGAAAGACCACGTCTTCATTGCTCAGCAAGCTCGTGACTTGCTCAAATCAACTGAAACCGGCCAAGGCGACGCTATCTGATCAACTGGGCAAGAGTTTTAGTAGAGAGTTTTGTAGGACTGTTTGCTCTGTTTTGAGTTGCTTTGTATCATTGTATTATAGCATGTATCAATATACTGGATCGCCACTCACTACGGATGTTCCTGGCTAACTTTCAACTTGATACTTGATTTCCATCGGAGTTTCAATCCGTTCCCAATCTCAACGGCATAGTCGTCTAAATCGCTCTCAATACATCAGTTAGAATGGCTCTTTGCCTCTCACTCCTCTTTCTCCATCTCACCCATCTAAAGTAGTCGCCCTCCGATAATTTGGCAAACAATTATCCGACTGCTATCTAAATTGTTGTTTAGCTTTTCGAAAGTCACTGTGATTACTATGACTTCGAACTTCTAGAGATAATCACGTGTGACGCGTTCGCTCTTTCATATTACTAAGTGAACAGCGGAGTGGCTCCATGTGCTCTGGTTGAGACATATTCTGACATACCGAGACGTGAATGTCAATAGGACTTCCTTCAAGAGACCAGGTCTACAAAGAATTCCTTCTGTTCATTATTTGTCGTGGTGTCTCCAGGAACAGGCTCAGAGGCTGGGGGGGTAAGGGTCGTCGGCAACGCTAGTGGAAGTACGTACGGAGAAAACGTCTTTTCTGGGATTCCATCCCCGTTTGCTCCCCACAACCTCGTCTTCGCTGTCGAATCACATTAATCTATTCATCACGTGTCTGGTGATGCCAATGATACCCTGCCCGAATGGGTGCAATGGCCCACGCAAGACGATTGAATGTAAACAACATGATAAGAGCACGTGGCCGGTAATGACCGGGCCGATGGCTAAATGAGATTGCATATAATGAGGAATTGACAGCCTACGTCGAATCAAAATATCTCCTGTCGCGCAGCACAAGAAAAAGAAATCATGATGGCACCCATCAAGCTCGGTCTGGTATGCCTCGCGGCAATGCTGGTTGAGGGGAATTCAAGACTTCTTGCGCCAGTTCAAGACATCAACTTGCCGGCCAGTGAAACTGCTGAACATCCTCTTGAACACCTAGGCGCAAATGGGCCCTGGTTTGCAGGTACGATGATTCAACCTTCGTTTTGGCTGTGCAGCTCCGCTTACATTCAGTGACTCTTCAGGGCCCAATGTCAACGGGATCTCATCCGAAATCCCGGAAAACTGTTATGTTGACCAAGCAGCGTATGTGTCTCGGCATGGATCAAGATACCCAGACACTGGCGCTTACAATGGCTGGGTTTCAATGCAGGAACGGGTCAGTTTATTTGACTAGCATCTGAGGCATGTTCGCTCATAGCTGAAACCATTGCGTCCAGTTCCACGCCGGAAACTACACTGCTTCTGGCAGCTTAAGCTTTCTACCCCGATGGCAAACAGCCCTAACCAATTCATCATCTCAAATTGCAAACTTGAGTCCAACGGGTTATAAAGAGGCCCACGATCTTGGATATACCTTGCGAACCAGGTAAGTTCTGCTAGATGGAATCCAAGTACCACGAAAGGGCTATGCTAATTGTGTCAGGTATCCGGACCTGTACACTGAAGGAGAAGACTTCATGGTCTGGGCCAACAACTATTCTCGGGTCCTACAGACTGCCAAGTTGTTTGTCCGTGGTTTCCTAGGAACCAATGCCACCTTGCTTGGCGACATTGTTTCCGTGACATCTCGAGGTTTTACCGCTGGCATTGGCGACTCATTGGCGCCCTCTGACATGTGCCCGGCTTTCAAAGATACCGAGGGAGGTGAGTACGTGACTGCATGGAACAACGTCTACATACCTCCAATTCTGGCCCGCTTGCAAGCACTCATCGATGGAAACCTCACACTCACGCAAAGTGACGTGTCGCAAATACCCTACCTTTGCGGGTTCGAGAGTCAGATCACTGGCCGTCTCTCACCTTGGTGTGATATCTTTTCCGATGAAGAATTCCTCCAGTATGAGTACTTCCAGGACCTGCGCTACTACTACGGGGTTGGCCTTGGTACCGATGTGCCCAAGACCATGATGACGCCTTATCTGAACGCCTTGATGGACATTCTTGTCCAGGGGCCTTCGGTAACCGGTAAGCGCGAAGACGGGAGCACCTTCAATTTGCCAAAGCTTCTCATCTCGTTTCTCAACGATGGACAGCTCAATCAATTGGTAGCGGCTTCTGGGGTATTTGACGAGCAGCAACCTCTATCAAGTACGCATAAGGATGATAGCCGTCCATTTGTCAGTTCTCGCTTCACAACAATGCGAGGAACTATTGCATTTGAGAGATTGAACTGTGTCGGTGCTGGGAACAGTACAAATGGCAACTCTACCCGTTTCGCCCAACGGACTCCACAAAGATCAAACTGCACACAGCCCTCGCCTCCGATTCAAGACAACCAGAATGCGACTTATATCCGCATTCGTCTCAATGACGCCGTCTACCCGATGCCCACTTGCAATAGCGGCCCTGGTTCTTCATGTCCGCTGGAGGATTACAAGCAATATATCGCCACGAAGCTTGAGAATCAGGGTAGCTGGATCCAGAACTGCAATGTTACCACACCTGGAGCACCGACAAAGGTTAAAGGTGCAAGCTTCTACACCGATCTTAGCAGTCCTTGGTTAAGGCATGTCGCTCCTTGAAGGCCAAGATAGTTGGGATCAAAGCCCAGACAGGCTCGTCCTTTTTTTTTTCCCGACGAAAGGAGAATAGCTTTAGTTCTTGTATTATTTATTAAACTCCTCGCGATTAAATATTGTTGTTCAAACAGGCGTACTCTCAGAGTACAAACTACATCCTCTTCTCCTTGACGAGTTCCTGTGACCGACAAGAACCGGAAAACATTTTCACTGCTGTTGGCAAGGCAACTTCAGAGCTTTTTTGTGCATCAAGAAACAATATGTCAACTATAGACTGTTGTCGGCATGGATAGCAATGCGTCGACGGGTTTCCCGCCGATTGAGTTCAACCTCATAGATCATGACACTTCGACTGGTCTCACTACGTTAGTATCTTGTAACACTCTTTTGATGTAAGCACTGTCCACATAAACTCGAGCTCTCCTGCCCTCGACGGGCCAGCGTTGTATTCGAAAGAGCACATCAGCCACAACCCGAAGACGCAGGTACTTACGCCACAAAGTGGTGCCATGCATCAATGAGTCAACAAGCCGTGAAATTTATTATTCCCAAATTTTTGGCTTCTTTCCCACTCTTCTCTCCTTCAACCCATACCATACTGTCATCACCGACCCGCCCGAATAAACCACTGGGACAGATTTCTGGGACCTACGCAACTTGAAGACAGAAGTTCTGCTTATATATCACCTCACACACGTAACGCTATCTGCAAGCACGATTCAAGCGTAGGTATTATGCTACATTTAAGCTATGGGGAAACCTCTCAGGCTGGTGCCAAAAAAAAGAAGTGATACGCACTACCACCTACCAAACCCTCAAGATTAACTAATTATATAACAGCTTAGAAAGACCGATATTAAAGATTTTTTTAAATCATTATAAAAAAAGATAAGTAGAATATTTTATAGTTTTTAAAACATTAAAAACTCGAAAACAGGTTAAAGTAGGGATTGCTGGGTATGAGGAAGTGGTAGTTCTTCGGTGTGGTACTGTGTATCACTTTTTTTGTTACCTACTTGCCTCTTTACGTCACTCTCATATCCATTATCTGTCAGGCTTTGTCCCTTACTCGTTTGAAGTCGGTCTCAGCAGATAAAGAGCGTAACGCGGACGATGATCCCGACGTCATTCCCCGCACCTCTTGCACTTTAACATCGTAATCGCCGTGAGATAGCGAGACCAGATTGGTGTTTGTGAGCTATGTAATCCCTATGGCAATTGTGACTATTATTTATACAGCGTGCATATGATAGAGATGGTTCTGTTGCTACAGCTCTGCGATCGTTTGTACTGCTGTGCTAATGCAGCGAGATGTTCCATCTAGTATCCTCCGTCAGTCCATACATCAGTCCTATGCTCACACAGTGAAGTACAGACCTCAGTCACCTTCGGACGCGAAAGCCTTTGGAGCACCGGGGCCGTGGGTGAACTTAATGATGGTGTTTGAGTCACGTAGACGCACATTGATCCATGCAGAAACATTTATCGTGCTGAAGTTTCATTCCTTTGCTGCCTCATGTTTGACTGCGAGCTTCTGCTTGAAAACGCGGGACTCCCATACGTTTCGACCGGGGACCGTTGTCACTTGCACGTGGGTGCCAAGAGATTCCACGTTGATGGGGCGTTAGAGTAATGTGCTTGCTGTAAACTTGATCAACCACGTTCACAGTTTGCCTTTATGATGAAAGGCAAAAGCTTGCGATGGGTTGCTTGAATGGAACTCTCACCACGCGCTAATGGGGTCCTTTGAGTTCGCGTCTGATTTCCCCCTCGAAGTTCACAAGATGGATTGGTCTCATTTGCATCCATGTTCCTCGAGAAAGAGTGCTCGGACCTAGTTCATATCCCGGAGATCAAAGGCCGCGATCAAGCAACACCTGCATAGGCTGCTACTATCATTGCCAAATCACCTGATTCTGGCAGCAACCTTCTCAGCTATTATTTGGCTTTTGCACAATTCCGGCGGCCGCCTTGACGCAGAGAAGCTATTCGACTCAACCTGTCCACGTGTGATAGCCCACCCACCCTGGAATAGGGTCTAAAACATGGCGAGCAACTGACTAGTTCAAGCCCGGCTTGGGAAAAGTTAATTCGCGATGCTGCGTGGACCAAGCATCGCTTGTTGCAGCTCGACCAGCCCACTGCCATTCATAAGTAAAGTCGTCAGCGCCTTCTTATGTCACTTGTTTGTCATATGATGCCCGGAACACTGATGCCGAATTTCTGAGCCCTTTCACCTGCATTTCTTCGATCCGCCTGAGATTCCATCTCATGATCATCCCACGCGCCTAGAATCATGGGCTGAGACTAAGACACTTTTGATTCTGCAAAAGTGAAGTGGCGTTCTCTCAACTGTAAAGTACCGACCACCGTTGAGGAGCCTTCGAAACCTTGCGGATTGAATTTGGTTGCGGCACATGTCGCAAATATCATAGCCTCGCCGGTGGCCACAAGAGCGTGTACCATGGCGGATAGTATGGTAGAAGCGCTTATCGGTTCGACAGTAGCCATGATATGTGTCACCACCTTGGTTATTTCGATACGGATGGCTGTAAGAACAAGTCTCAGAACTTGCGGCCTCGATGATGGTATGTGATGTTTGAGGCAGTGGAATTGAATCAAGACTACTAACGTATAGTTCAGTTCTTATTACTGCTAGCTGGGTGCGCAAAATTAACTTGGCTTTACGTACTGTGCGCAAACATGATTTAACATGTAATGATCTGCAGGTTTTTGCGATGGCCATGTTCACTGCAACTATGATCTGTAAGTAATCCTCGGCCACAGCATTCCAATTAACTAAAAGTTGCGGCTTTCAAACACTGATAACCAACATGCACAGCGACCCATTCAGGATTTGGCAGACATCACCAAGATGTCAATATTTCCGACTACGAGCAGTTTCTCAAAGTGCATAATCACTTCTATGGCCGACAGGTTACAGTGGCTGACTTGAGGAAAAGTTGACTATCGCGACTTCGGCAACGTACAGCTATGGTCTGGCTCTTGCCAAGATGTCCTTCGCCGTTCTTTACATACGAATGCTGCCAGATAGAAGACTGGTGATGATGAACAAGGCCATCATCCTCTTCCTCTGCTGTCAGGCCATCGAAGAGAGCCTCATCCCAATATTCCAATGTAACCCGATCGCGAAAGCCTGGACGGTCGGCATGGAAGGGAGTTGTCTTGACCTCCCTGTTCTCTGGTGGAGCGGAGTGAGTGAATAGTCCCAATCCTGATCACATCATACAGGTGAAAGAGGACGTCAAACTGACCGTTGAACATCTTAGTTTGGCTTCAATCTCTGTACCGACCTGATATTATTCATACAGCCCATTCCTACGTTATGGAATTTACAACTGCCACTCGTGAAAAGACTTGGACTAATCGCCATGTTGTCACTGGGTCTACTGTGAGTTCAGAACTACTATTAGGCTTCCCTCTTTGCTTGGAGAGAATCGAACGCAAAAGAACACTCTGACAAATCTTTAGAGTTGTCGCTATTTCTGTTATCCGTATGCACTCCGTTACCGAGATGGGCATCGATGATACACGTGGGCCACTACCATTCCAGTGACGTATCCTTAGTAGCTGACAAAACCGCCAAAGATGATCTTGCAACACCAATATTGTGGTCTGAAGCAGAGATCAGCACCTTGATTGTCTGTTCATGTGTGCCCTCCTTACGAAAGGTTGTCCAAAAACTGCCATGCTTGTCTCAGCCATTTGGTATACCTAGCATCGATACGCCACCACGAGCCATTAAAACCATTGGTCAAACGAGACAAAAACGACGATTTCCATCGAAGTGTGGCAGTGGCCAGGAGAGATACTGCACTATCGGGTCAGATTCTACTAGTAGGACCCTAACGTATCCTCTCAGTGTACTGAGCCGGCCTCTCAAAGCTTCGGACACGGCAAGCGAGGGTCCGCAAGAAACGCTACGCACTAATGCTGGTAATGACGGCAATAGCATTGGCAATCTGCAGAAACGTGACCTGAAGCTGGACTACGACGTGGAACGCGATGCAGGAGATGTAGTCGGCATACCCGAAGAGATGTTCTTCCCTACAGGAAATTTGAATGAGAAAGTCAGAAGTGAGAGCAAATAGACATAGAAATCATAACAAGAAACGCATCATGGCCGTGTCGGATCCGAATTGGAGCGGGAGTCGGGTGGAGACCCGGACGTAGCTAGTGAGCGGACCGTGCAGCAGAACAAGTCGGGAAATATGGGGTCTCTGCCGGCGGCTTTGCCCAAGCCACCGAAAATCAATGACGTAGAGAAAGATACTCAATGGTAAAGGCAGCAGCCAGTTGCACGGAGAATTCACAGGGAGTCCGCGTCATGAGCTTGTAACCTTTGCGAAATCACCGGATCGTTGGAGCTCGGCTTACTAAGTGTCCGAGTTCGAGGCTTTGTGTCGTTCATCAACACCACTGACGCATCACACCAATTGCAAGCGTCATTGGGAAATCACCGTTCTCAAACCAATAAGACCGCCTCCACGACCACGATTTGACGGCCACGACGCAGTAGGATCTTGCTTCTATATCAAAGCTGCTAGAAGTCTCTGTGTGCGACATTGCTAGCAAGACTAACATCATCAATATGGGCGTCTCACTATCTACCGCCAAATGGTTGGCTCCGCTATCCTTCGCTGTCGACTTTGCAGCTCAAAACTATGGCATGCTTAGCAGTCCCAACATGAAGGATGTTCACGACGCCAACTTATCGTTCTGGTCCCCTCAGCCTTTCTTCATTGCCGGGTTTTTCTTCCCCCAACAGCTGTTTCAGCTTGCCTGGCTCTATCGCCTGTACAAAGCAGACCCCAAAGTAGAGCCCATGGCCCCCGACGTGGGCACAATGGTTGACTTTGCGCCTTTCTATGCCATAGGAAATTTCTGTATTGCCAGTAAGTGGCACTGTCTATTATATGTTGTTTCGTTTGAGCGACGCTAACTATCTCCAAAAGCATGGATGATCTTCTGGAACAAATCTGACCTGAAGGTTGCAAATATTTTTGTCATCATCAACAGTCTTGCCCAGCTGTACTTCATATTCAATCGTCTTCCGCCCATGAACACAAAGTCTGTCAACTCTGTTCTCACCCACGTCGTCGCCAAAACGTTCGCTGGCATCGGCGTCTTGGACCTTCTACACAACGGTTCGGTGGCGTACTTCGTCCACCAGCAGCCTTCTACCACCATCAAGGTTCTCACCGGCGTTGGCTTCGGGCTGTTGTCTAGCGTCAGTGACTGGATCTTTGGAGGTTGTCTAGTCTATGACCTGATCGCGCTGTCCGTTGGTCAATCTGCCTATGGCAACGCTGGCTGGAGTAGGCTCCTCGGCATTTATGCCGGCGGAGCGGCAGCCATCGTTGGCGCGCGTAATTTTATGAGGTGAGATCTTAACAAGAGCCACGGACAGGCAATTTGCTAACCTTTGAAAGACCGCCATATGTCAGCCAGTCTACAGCCGGATATCAGCCTCTTTAGTACATCAAGCTACTGATCTCCCGCCTGTCTCTACGCCCTACCTCATAGGATATCTGAATCAGATGTGCAGTTAGGGTCATGGCGCTCGGAATTGGTGGACAGCATGATTTTCCCATTTGCGGACTTTTCTTGCCAGTAAACCGTTGTGCTTAGTCTCATCCTGAGGGAGTAGTCATTATCTTTTTCAACGCCGGGAATCCGGTCTCAAATACGCCTTTTCGTGTCTATGTGGTATCAACAATGCTCTATACCCGCTAACGCCCGTGAATTTCTCTCGATGTCTCCCCAAAATGCTAGATGCCTTCCGCATTCTCTATCTAGTAGGCGCCCAATTGTTCAGCCATTCTCGCGATTTATCCAAATCTCCCGTACTTGCCTCACATGCAGCAATGCACCATTCAAACTCCCATACGCCCTCACCCGCTAGCATTTCTGCCAGTTTCCTCCGTCGTTGTGAAGACTGGTCCACACAAAAGTGCATGGGGTCTTTCAATTCGGGAATACTTTGCACGAGTGGCTTCACAAGCGGAAGAGCGGCCTGCGCGCTGCCACCCTTCGCTTCAAGTCCAAGATTTGTCCTCCCTGACTTGCACCACTCGTTTCCACACCACTTTTTCCCACAACCCGTCATCAGCTGGCTGAGGTATCTTCTCTCGATGCGTCGCCGGAGAGCTTTGCCTTCTGGGTCGTGCATGCTGACGTAGAGGGGGCCGAAGCACAAGGAGCAGAGACCAAGATCATTACCAGGTCCCTGGCCCATCGCTGTTCCGGCACCAACAGCTCCAGCAGATCCAACACCATGTAGGGTTCGACCACAGTTGATGTTGCGACAAGTGTCGGGCTTCCTTCGAGAGACTTTGTCTAATTCATGGTGCTTCATATGAGCTGACATATCTCGCATCCGCACGATCTTACCACATAAGTGGCAGTCGGTGGTTCTCGCACCATCTGCTAGCTCATGGGCAGTTAAGCCTGACAAAATCATTTCTGCCGATGGATTGAAAGGGTCTCCCTCTTGCGGTACCTCGAGGTGACAGAACTGGCAAAGAATGAGTTTACCAGGGCAGACACTTGTGCGGTGCAGTGCCAATTCCACGAGAGACGGGGCAGTGTAATCACAGCCAGTACACTTCTGCTCAGTATGACGCAGGGCATCATGCTTGGCTTTGCTCGCCGGTGAATCTCCAAAAGCGTCATCGTGCTCGCAATGCCAGTGAGCGTCCCAATCGTCCGAGGCTTTCTTAAAGACACGTTTGCACTTCGGGCAGGAAACGTTATTCCGGAGACAGAAGTTCTGATGCAAGACCATTGTCCGCTTAGGAATCCATTGCAGACAGTTCTCACACTGCTCTTCATCAGGAGACTTGGACTCCGCGTTTTCCGAGGGGGCCATATCTCCTGATCCTCCCCCAACTTCAGCTCTGGCCCTGAGTTGAAAAGGCGCCGGGTTTGGAGCATGATCATCGCCTACCAGCGGGTAGCAATAGATTGAAATGAGAAGCTCCTCAGCAGCCTCAATTTCGACATTGGTGGGTTGTATCGTGATGGACTTGATGCCGTCTTCGGCAGGATTGAAGTTGCCAAAGACGTACTCGGAGTTCCGTGGTCGTGCTCGCTGTCGTGATGATTTCGGACTGACAAATAGGTCGATTCGATCGGGGTGAGGGAGCTCGGAAAGCTCGATAGTCAAGGGCCGGGTGCGGTCCCAGGAGGGTAGTTCGTAATCGACGTATTCCCCTTGCAAGACCTGGCCGTTGGCAGGCTTCCATACGTCGATCTCGCCTCCTTTTGAGCTTCCATTGGCAGTATCAGGCTGAGCTTTGGCCATGATCTGGCGCATAGTTTCACGGGCCTGCTCCTCATTCAAAGCCTCGATATCCACCTCCAAATCTGTATCAACCACGCAAATACCGTCGCCTTCTGGCAAGAATTTGTCGACCAAAAACTTAAAATCTTCGCCCTTGACACCGCGAACGGACAGGACTGTCTTTTTTGTGAGGGTTGTGTAGCTTTCGCGCAGTTGGCGTTCGAGAAGCAACTTCCAGTCGTCGGGGTCGTAGCCGGCTTCGAGGGGTCTGAGGCGGACATAAGTGCCCTTGGGTAGTTGCTTGGCGTGCACCGTCAACTGTGGTTGAGTGTCCATGACCATGTCAAAGGTCACATCAGATGGCTGTTTGGTGGAAAGCTTGTCAGAAAAGTCGGTAGGAAGTAATCCTAGAGCATCCATGAGATAGGGGCCCAGCGCAATTTCCCCTTCCTCGGCGGAAAACTCGCGGATGCCGGCGTATACCACATTTCCATTCTTTTGATTCACCAACCGAAACATCAAGGGATTCGGCAGTTGCTGGGAAGTTTCATGGTAGAGACTCTGCTGCTGTCGCGCGTAGGGATTGAAGGGATCGTAGGAAGTGAAGGTCGAGTTGGAGGGCGCGGGTTGCCTCGGGGACGCTGCAAGCAGTTGTTCGAGGGCAGACTGGGGAAGCAGGATCTTGTCACCGCGCAAGTCTCTAGAGGCGGATTTGATGGGAGGGACGACGGCAAATGGTGCAGACCACTTCAACTCGGGTTGTTCGCTCTCCATATTGGCGTATCGGAGTATTGTTCGAGTCGGAGTCGGGTGGTAGTCTCGAATACCGTAGTTCTCGTAACTCTCGTTGCTCGACGCGTCGCCCGTTGCTCAGGGTAAGGTGGGGTGGAGGGGTAACGACCACGTTATCTGCTCCAAGAAGTGTTGGTCGAATTGCTGTATCTGTGCATGGCCGGTGGATGAACGTCGAGGTAAACTAAGCCGTAGAGAGGCATCAGGTTGTGGCAAGGTGGTTTCCAAGGCTGGATTTGCGTTATGTTATGTGGAAAGTGTCATGGCGACCACCGCGATGAATCAGCGGGCTGATGGGATTCTTCGAGATTCCACCGAAAATCAACAAGTTCCAGGTTGACTCGCTGACGACATGATGTGGGCCGCCGCCCTTACGCCTCATGAAGATTGCCGAGTACCGGACTCCCAGGCGCGCGCCACACACCTCTGTTCCCATCTCGGTCAGCTCGCGCCACAATCTTATCTCTCTCACCGCCCAGGGGACAAGACAGTCGGATCCGGGTACAGGTTGGGCCGGGCGACGAGGCCGAAGACGCTTACTAAACACTTCAGGTTCACAGTGCCCAGCCACCAAGACTCCAAGAGTCCAAACAGGAAGATCCTCAGACCTTCTCAATTACCAGTCAATACCTACACTATAGTCCACACTGGCACGCAGGGCATTAGCACATTGCTAGTTCAACAGTCTTCTACACACGCGCCCTTGATCAAGACCTTCGCGCTCATTTAGAACCCCAAAACAGAACCAATATCACTCAACCAATACCAAATAAAGCTGAATCATGATGTGCAGATGCCAAGAAGCCTCATATCCCGAATCACTAGCACTCAACCACTGCAACGCAACCTGACACCTCATGCTGGTCTACATTGACCAAAAACAGCAGAAACAAATGTGGCCAAAACTCCCGACTCCGCGACTCCGGACTGTCACTCCGAGCCCCCCGGAGCAGGGCTAGCTAGCGGATCAGCGCGCCGAAACAATACCCAAAATAGGCATGGGAACCCCCTCTAGCTCCTACGCGCAGCTCGCTCCTGTGCTTCCTGAGTTTGCTCGACACTCGGTATCCAACGTCTTTGCAGCAACTTTCAACTCCGCACCGAGCAATGAGGCAGATAAGTATGGGACCTCTCCAGAGGCACGGACAGATGAGCACAGTCGCTTCGCTGCGAGTTGCAGCTTCAGGATGAGGCAGCATGACCCGAGGTACGCAAAGCGGATACAGCGAAATGAGCAGTTCGAGTCGAGCGCCGGCCAAGGAACATCCATCCCGCTGTGCTAGGGCGGTATCTTCTCGGTGGGTGAAAGCCAAAAGTCAAAGGCGGCACCGTCGGAGGAGTGTGTGTGTGTGTGTGTGTGTGTGGTCACTCTGTGAGACCGCCACAGCGGCAGCGCAGGGCAGCGGAGCGGGAATAGTCCATCTGGTTACCCCACGAAAGGCTTTCGTTGGTATTGGATAGGGCAACCCTACGTACGGAGTAGCGAAGCTGCTGTACGGAGTATGCAGCCTGTGGGAGGTTAGAAAAGCACATCTGGCTCGAGGATTTTGGGGTTTTGCTTTTGATTCGGCCAGAAACACCGAACAGCGAACCAGCAATAAGCTTGCGCTGCGGCAGGCGTGCTGTTGTGCAGTTGGTGGTGGGCTTTCACGGCTTGCGAACAATCTAACCAGCTAGCCCAGCGATCCCCGGACTAAGCATGGCAGGTTTAAGCGGTTGGAGCAGCTAATTTGGTCATGTAACACTTTTAAGACATGCCCAGCTTGACAAGCTTCATTGGAGCTTGGATCCCGTAGACGTCTTTCTTGCGCGGGATGGAGCTTGACGGGGCAGCATGAGATGAGAGCACCATCCGGATGAGGGACTTGAGGGGACTTGAGAAACATGCGCTCGTTGACTGATGCCCAGCATGACCGGGGAAACCTGTTCTTGTCTCTCTATAACCGTACGAATGTCGCGCAATCAAGGCAGACCCTCCCGGTTATCTCGGACAAGACTGCGCGGTTTTGCGCATCTGGGCTCACTCAACTTGTCAACCCCCATTTAATCTCGACATACAAACATTCTCAGATCCGCAATCTCGGCCTTCGGTATGTTCCTTTGAGAAAAAGGACTTCAACATACCTGACCTGCCTTAATGAAGGAGTATACTGCAATGTGCCTCATCTCATCTCATTTCATCGCGCCAGACCTCAACAACACAACTACCTACCTTGACTTGGATCATCGTCCCCAATCCTCCCCCACCCCCTTTCCACAACCTTTCGGGCCTTCATCCAAGGTTCAAGCAGTGTCCATACACATCCCCCCCCCCCCCGTCCAGTGCCTCACATTTCGGTCCGTACCTTATTGGCTTTCCTGACTCTACCTATACTCTTCCCAAGCTACCGCGCAAGTCAGCAAGGGCGCATAAAGGCCTGCATGCTTGGCACGGAGTAAGGTACCGAGTAGCAGTACGCAGGATACGGATACTTTTGAGAAATTCTCAACATCGACGTCGAGGTGCCAGCGCAGCGGACCTTCTCTGCTGCTTTGCAGTTGCCAAGACCGCACCAGGCGGCGGGTTGAAGCTCTTCCGTTTCAACCGCACTATTCTTTGCCCCCCCGTCTGCCACAGATGGTTCCATTGACTGGACACGGCCGATCCTCTCTTTCAGGGTCCGACGGTCGACCCAACCGGGCCAACCCCAGATAGCTGCTATACAGTTACACTACCACACCACCCATGCTACCACCTTCTGCCGATAATGCCTGCCCTGCAAGATGATGGGGAAGCAAAAGGCGAGCGACAAGTGGATGGTAAAGACACTTGTGTCTCTTGCGTCTATACTTGCCCTCCGCTCTTCGCTCTGTGCCAGCCTCTACGTGCACTTCCGGTGCGAAGGCCCGGATGGGGGCGTACGTCGGTAGGTAGGGGACTTGGATGATAGCACCGGGGGGGGGGGGGGGTGGGCAATATGGACGACCGTCCACTTGGACCTTGGACCGGTCTAGCCTGCACAGCTCTAGCCTGCCCGTGCTGCATTTCTCGGCGCATCTTGTCGACTCTGCGTACGCAGCGGTTGACCCCCAAGGTCCCTTGCTCGATGTACATCTAATGCTTCCAAAGTTCCCTGTCTCGCCTTGCTTGACGGGGTACCTCTTCACCGTGAAGCTAAGGATAGACACTCTCACGTTTCTTGTCTTGCCTGGACACTACGTAACGCGGTAGCCCACCGTTCTCCCTCTCTTGTACCTGGTAGGGTTCGATGCCGAAGATATTTAGGCCGACACGTCGTCCGCCCCAAGACGTCTCTGGTCTGGATCACTAAGTACCAAGCCGAAAGCTCTTATCTTCCCATATAAACAGCGAGCATCATCAGTCTGACACCCAAACCCGATTGCGATTGCGCCTGCGCCTAAGTTCTGCCCGTCCTCCCTCGACGGCCATTCTTCCACCTACTGCTCGGCTTCCTGGCTCTCAGCCTCTCTCTTCCCGTCTTACAACAACAACAACATCACCACCTCTTAACCTACAGACTGATCGCCGCGAACCCTCGAGGTTTACGGCCGTCGCGTAATACCTCATCTCTATTCCCACGTTTCCACCCTTCGCGCGCGTTCGCCGTAACATGCTCCAGGACGTCGAGGACGCCTACACGCTTTACCAGAATTCGGTCACCAATCTCCTCCATTTCCTCTCCAATCCTCTAATCCTCGCCCACACAGCTCCTCACCTCTCCGCTTATGATCGCCTGAGTCTTGCCTCCACGAACCGAGCATTTCGAGAACTCATCAAACACACTTCAGGTGTATTTCGCCATCTTGATCTCACCCACGTACGCGCGGCGCAGTTTGAAATTGACGGCATTGATCGCGGCGGTGAAGTCTGGCGCAATGTCCAACTTGATGAGAATCTGACCGAAGATGAGTGCGTCCAATCTACTCTACTCCTCTCCACTCCACCACCGCCGGTGACATTCTTCTCTCTGCCCCCGGTCGCGGCGAACTAGGTAGTCGCTGTGGGGATGCCAGAGAGGGCCGATGGCGGTGCTACAGACACAGACACCTCGACTAACGCGCCACCCTCAACAGCTTCTACTCCGGTCCACTGAGAGGCATCTTCTCCAGCATCCGCCGACAAAACATCCTCCAAGATGTGCAAACGCTGGTCCTAGACGGCTTGTCCGTGACGGCCGAGCTCTGCCACGAAATCATTCTCGACCCGGCCTATAGCGTGCGACTCCTGTCCATCCGAGGCGTCAAGAACCTAAACGAGCGCAAGCTGTGCGCATCTCTCCAATATGCCTGCAGACCGTCGCGACCAGAGGGCATGCCCCGGCTGAAAGGCCTCTACGTTTTCGGTGCCAAAGACACTCCGCTGCCCTCGTTGGCAACATCCGGTGTACCGTCTGGCACCGCTTCGCATGCAGCGCAGATTAGCGCAGGGTGGAATGCCAAGTCACAACAGGCGTTGACATCCTCGCTACGCAGCGAGGAAGAGGACTGGTACCACAGGAAAGGTCGCATTATTGCACGTCCGCTGGCAGAGGAATGGGCCAACACTCTGGTTGACTGCCACGGCATCATTGCATTCGACGCCATTGCTTGCACGGGACCTTACCACATGAACTCGCTTGCGTACGGCAAGGTAAGAATCCCGACCACCGCCCGGCACTGGGCCGTGGCGACAGTCGCGTTGGGCGGCTGTGCCGGGTGCGGTGCTGCACCCGAGGGCATGTCAGTCCACAATGGGACTCCGGCGATCCAACGTCCTCTCCTATCACCTCCGCCTCCTTTGGCTTCGTCAGTCAAGGCCGCAACGGCACCGCAGCTCTGCACCGGATCGGAATCCTCCTTCATTGCTCGATGCATCGACTGTCTGCGAGAGAGATACTGCGCCGGCTGCAATAAGTGGTGGTGCGAGGAATGCTACCAGACACCCAGCGCCGTGACCGAGTTGGCCGACACCGATGTGATAGTCGTCGACGCCGAGGGCGGTGCTTGGGTTCAGCACCAGGAGCACGAGAGCCAGCCCAAGATCAAGGTACGAGATGGCGCCTGCTTCCCGAACTGCACCATGGGCGAGGTCATTGATGCGCAGATGGTGTTGCTGGGCTGAGTCGGACGTCCTTTGCCGTCTGGCCCGGCCGGTTCCAAAGTGTATGCCACAATGCTATCCATGTTCCCCCCTTCTTCGTTTCCCTTGAGCTTCTAGCATCCAGCGAGAGTATGCGTGGCTAGTGAGGACCCGACGATGCTGACAAACATACCCTTGCATAGGCTCGTATCACGAAGAGCTGCTGGGAATGCGGTAGCAATGTAAGTGGCGATACTGGACCCAAGGTCATTGTCCAAGAGACCCGAGCTGACGGCAAGAAAATAGTGTCACGACTGCATTGATCGTACACAGAGGCTCTGTAGAGGCTGCTGTGGTGGCTACTGCTTGGTTCACAACGAGGGGTCAACCTCAACTTTCGTAAGACCGCCTCTCACCAACGGTATCTCTTGTGGCTTGGCTAACATTCGCAGTGTGACTGTCCGATCCCCACAACCTCGTTGACGCGTTCAGATCGCTAACTCTTTTGGTAGGGTGCTCGAGCCGTGGTCGCTTCCTGCGACACCTGTAGGGATGTATCATCTGGGCGAGACGACGGACTCCGATCGTCAGTCAGTCACCGCAAGTCGCGGGGTTTGAGACCAACTGGAGCTGAGAGTTCCAGGTGACACTGTCGGGATTGAAATATCCCAGGACATCCCTCATCCTCACATTGTCTGACGATGCAGAGCGAGGCTTCCATGGCGTTCTTGTCAGCTTTGAAGGCCGATTTGCAGCGTGTCTCACGGCGAACTTCTGTACTGTTTGGTTTTTTTTTTGCGTGGGCAACATTAGCAGAGCCGGCGAGCCCTCGTCACGTCACCAAGCGCTTTCATTGTTTGTGAGATACCCTTAAAGCAAAGCGTTTGAGGCGTTGATTGCCAATGATTTAGCGGTATTAGACAACCTTGACCTCAATCCCAACTCTTTTACACCCACTTTTCGTGTGCCGTATTCAGCCAGATTGTTTTCTCTTGGTGAAACCTTTGACAAGAGACATCTGCAGACGGCTGTATGGATCCGACTGATTTCTATATTCATGGCTGACACTGCTGGTTACTATCGCTGTTGCTTCACCGTTTTGCACCTTTCTCTCTCGGACGATCGTTAGTCTCGCACGTCTCCTTCTAGATTCATTCGCATGATGGCCCAAGTAGATCAAGTTCCGTCACCGTCAACAATATACAGCTTCAGAAAAGAAGACGTCGCTCGGGAGGGAGATTCCGGAGATGCTTCCAACCCATGGCTCTGTCACCCAGCTGATCAATTTTGTCACTTACGGGAATAGACATTTTGTGACACAGGTATTTGGCATTGCAGTTTGCCTCGAAGTTCAATCGCCGTCACGAGCCACAAATCTCGGGCAACCCGTGGCTGTTTCCTGTTTAGTCTAATAAAGGTATTTATTTCACTCAGTGCGATGCTGAATAGTATCTATCATTTGTCCAAATTGACAGCCTCAAGGTAGGTTCTAACCTCGGCCGTCATCTCAACCACGAGGCTCTCAAGGAGCGGCACATGATGGCTACGCCCAAGAGATATGACCCTTTCATCCGTATCACCCAGTGAGCTGACATGGTCGCCTGATCATGTGAACGGAAGAGGCTATACAACATTGTGGAAGCATAGCCTTGTCGAGAAATCCTATGATTAAGTAGGAAAAAGCTCGACCTACAACATGGCAAAGCTGGGAGTGATGGAATCACGAGGTTACTTGGACAAATACAACAACGCCTTGCCTCTCCTCTGCTCTTTCTCGGGCGTAACTTTGTCATACGAAACGATCTTGTGGACACTTTTAGTCACACGTTGAGTGGAAGCGTTCATTCAAGACATGCCTTGGTCGAGAGCGTGAACAAGTTGGTAGGATAGATCTTAGGGATGGTTGTGAGCCTTCTCCACAGATGAGACCATGATTATTCTTTGTGTTGATATGCCAAGCCCGAGGAAATGCTTCATACGAGTGCCCGGTGTACCCAGAATCGCCTCCTCCGCCCTGACCGGTTGAACAGCGTTGCCCTGACTGTCACTGGTGTGCTCGTCTACCAGCTGTTGGAGGACGTGGCAAGTCGCACCGTCCCCTAGCACAGGACGTTCAAGGTTTCTGTGCTTTCTCAGGGTCCTCATCTTCTCGAAACCCTCCTTCGTCTTCGACCATTCTCAGGCCAGACAACATGTAGGTCATTGTCGATCGTGCGCTGCACTGGGGGAAAATCTTGATCGCATACCCAAGATGACGGCTTTGGCCTCGAGACAGCTGGATGGAGCGATCCCAGCAAAAGGCCTTCTGCCCCTTTTCGCTCTATTCTATCGGTCTAGACGTCAAGCGGAGACTGTTCCGGTGCCATGGTATCCCCCGAGGTCTCGTGGTGACTTCCCTGGAAAGAGGCGTCCTTCTTGGCAACCGATTTGAGCCTCACAAGCTACTATAAGTTCACCTTGTTCTGGTTCGTCGGAGGGATAACAATCGATCTAGAAACGGCATCTTCAAGACTGACTTGGACACCTTCTGGACGTCTTAATCTTATTCACCTCGTCCAACATGGTCATGTTCGCCCCGTCGCCAACCAGACTTTCTTCTCTCTTGCTCCTTTGTCTTTTTGCAGCCTTCATCAACGCCACAGATGACACCCTGTACCCAGATCTTGTTCGATCGCTGAGGACAAGTCCGACAGAGCTCGATAAGCTTAATATCCTTCTCGACGATAAAGACTGGACGTTCAACTACTTCGCCCATGAATACCACACCAATAACCCCGGGGGCGTTGTCAACGCCAATGCCGCGACATTCCCAGCAACTGTTGGCAATAGCATGACCATGGCTTGGATCAGTCTCGGTCCCTGCGCTATGCTGCCGCCACACTACCACGCTCGTGCTTCCAACTATGTGGTCTCGATCGAGGGGACTACCGAGACCTACATGACGCTAGAAAACGGAGCTCGGGTGGTCAAAACAACTTTGGCGCCCGGGATGATGACGCTATTTCCGCAAGGTAGTTTGCATATGATGCAAAACACAGGTGAGCTTCATTGTATGCCTCCATATTTCTTGCCCATGCTCACCACTCAAGGGTGCGATAATGCTACTCTGATCTCTGCTCTGAGCTCAGAAGACGCCGGCACCCACAATGTCGCGAATGGACTCTTCGGCCTTCCTCAGAGTGTAGTGGCAGCAGCATTCGGAGGAAACCCGCTATCAGCAAAGTTTGCACAGCTACGACGCGATATCCCGGCCGTCGGAACTGGTGCCGCGGTTGGCACTGCAGAATGCCTGAAGCGGTGCGAAGCTATTGGCTCCAAGTAGGTAGCCTATAGTATGCTCATAGCCATATCGACATGGACGAAAAGCATGGTCGATGCTAATAGCTGCAAAGACATTCCATATCGTCGGGACCGAGAATCCTTGTTTGGCCAGAACGTATGGATGGAGGATTGCATCATAGATACCCGTGGCAGATGGCATCGTGGAGCGGTTTGTCTGATACATTCTAGTAGTATTCGACTGTTTAGAGGCTGGCTGTTTTTGCTTACATAGAATTGCGATGTACACCTACAGGGCACATGCTTGTGAGACGATTCCAGGGCTGTTTGATAGTAACTCACCGCTCTGGTAGGTCTTTGGAGTAGTAGTAATTCAGGCACCAGTGTTTCCAGAGCTGAACTTGCGGGCAACCCATGCAGCGCCGTACTCCTCATACTCTTCTTTGGTCGCAGATAGCTTGTGAATGTCGGAATGTTTGGCCAGTTTGGCACCGCCGTGCCAGGTACTCGTGATAGGGTCGACGGGATGGGCCACCCTCACGATACAGGCGTCGGGAACCCTCTTGACAAGCTCCTTTTCCAGTCGCTGGATAAAGCCGGGAAACAGGGCGTTGCCGCCAACGACCACAATATTAGCCAAGAGCCCGGGCCAAAGCCCAATTGGCAATTCGGAAAGAGACTGCATAATGACGTCCGCGAGCCCAGGTTGTCGGAGCCCAATGTCAGAAGGCTGGAAGAGCAGTTCGGGAACTGAAAAGCGTTCGTTTCGGAGCGTGAGTATGTCTTCGTCGTTGTCAGCGGCGCGCGCTGCCATCTTCCTTGCTTTTGTATGCATAGCAGGGTCGTAGTCTCGAACGACGCCCTTTGTCTTGGTGTGGAAGTCGGGCAGGACGTAGTCCTTGGCAATGCCGGCTCCCGTCACGTACGGTTCCCTCTTCTCGCCCCTCGTGCCTTTCCAAGTCTTCTCGAGATCCCCATTGAAGTCAAGTGAAACATAGCTAGCTTGCTCCTTGATCTCATTGACGATGTATGTGTCGTTTCGCATGTCGTAGTATCGTAGGGAAAGTAAGCGCGTCAGGTAGTTCGTCATGAGCTTCCCACCGACGTCAAGCCTGCGAACAGCGGAATGCAGAGGCTTGCCGTTGAGGAGAGGCATAACGATCGTATTTGAGTATCCAGAGTCGATGAGCAGCACAGTCTCGGCCGGAATCTGGGGCACTGACGTCGGGTCTCGAGGGGTCTGGAGGATACCTTGAATATCGTGGTACGCATTGAATGAGGCCCCTAGGAAGACAAAAGTTAGCCGGGTCAATGAGACGTAGAATCGGCGAAGTCACGAACCATTGCCACGGTAATAACTGGCAAACTGATATTCCTCAAAGATGATCTGGTCACAATTGGCCTGTAAAGTGGGCAACGAGTTGGGCTGTTCTGCCAGGAGCAGTCTGGTTTCGGAGGGGTCGCACTTTTGCGCCGCCTTGTCGTCGAAGAACTCGTGGTCCCAAATCTCCTTCTGGGCTTCCCAGTTGACAATGTACCCCTTTTCAACTGGTCGCCGAAATTGGATTTCGCCAAAGTCGCGGCACTTGTCGAGGTCAGATGCGACGTAGACCTTCCTCGCCCTATCTCTGGCGATGCAGTTTGGTATTACTCGGGGCTCCTCGGTGTGTTCGTCGGAAACGAAGCCGGCTTTGATGGTAGATGCGCCATTGTCGAGTACCAGCGTCCGCGACGGAGGCCCAGGGCCTGAAGACTTGATATTGCGGCCACCAGCCATGGAGACAACTTGCACTGTTGCGAGTGCGGCGCAACGATGACTGGGAAGACTGAAGCAAGCGTGAACTTTTGCGCTGGGAGTTCTGGACATTGGAGCTTGGACTACGGATATGGACGGATATTTGTCGGTGGTCGGCCATTCCATCACCGATACTGCTGACATAATACAGCGAGACCAGTGACCTGGACATGATGCGACTCTCAGTCTGCCAAGAGCTTGCAATCGTTGAAAAGTGTCCTCGTAAACTTCTGATGATTTAAACTGATTACCTTATGTCACAAATGTGCGTTTTTGGATTATCTCCTAGGTTCCGCAATACATCCACTTTCCATGCCTTCTTGGTCCTGGAAACATTCTGTTCGACAGACTCGAGACATGAGTAAATCCTACGATACCGACTTAGACGCAAGAAACCCGGGGTATTAGCGGAAAAGATTAGTTGACGTTCCAATGGTATGACTGTCGGCTGTGCTGTTTAGTATCACTCTAATTTGAGGTGCTCTAACCTTTGAGAAACTCCAACTCTGGATTCAACCTCCTCTCAATACTTAGCTACATGGGCAAAGCCTATCTCGCGCCAGGCGCGTCTGAGCTAATCAACATCTCGAAATAACTAGACAAGGAGACTTTTGCGGTAGGTAGGCTATTACTGCAAGGATGAAAATGGCATCAATGAGACGAAGTTAGCGGTTGAAGCGCCATTGTGCGACGTGGGGTGCAGATGGCGTTTTGATGTCCTCACCGCCGCGAACATGGTGGGATGAGTGTCTCAGAGCATCACGCGACGGTGTCATGGCATTGGTTACAGAGATAAGGCGACAGGCGGTCGGGGCTTTTGATATAGATAGAGGGTGCCTGGCAGGAGCTCTCGAGGCACCCCACGAAACGCAGCCGTTATATCCAGCGCGCGTGCCTGTCTTGGACTCTTTGCGTCGCGTCAATCCGCTGGACAACGCCACAGGTGAGCCTATGAAGACCAAATTATTCGGATATCTATCGCGTTAGTGTTGCAGTTTGTATGCTTTGCAGTGTCTAGCCCAGGAAGCACATGCCAGCCGCCTTGTATTCCTTAGTTGGAGTGCATGCAGGGCAGCAAACCCAGGCTGAGACCTGCGTGTAATACAAGCAGCCTAGCACTCCAAGGTAGTTGACATGGTCGAAGGCTCCGGGGGCATGAATGATGAAAGACAGTTGTTTGGGGAGGATCCGTCGTTGAGGTGCATTGTATGGCGGTACACGGCGGTTGACACGTGGAGGAGCGTAGATGCGAGGGTACCTAGTGGGCTCGATCTTTGGTAGAGTACATAGACAGACTAGTGGAGGGCGGTACGAATACTTTGGGCGCAACAGGCGCTCAAGCCCGTGAGGCATCATAGCTCTGCAGGACGAGGTGTTGCGAGATGTCGTGCGCATGAAGCCTTACCTTGGGCGCAAGATTCATGGATACAGGCGGGAGATGTCCGTCGGGAGCTTTCAGAGGCACTTGCCGCACTGGGATCGGGAAGCATTAGACGGCAAGGGGGGCCGCGGGGGTCATGGTGGATTGGATGAGACAGACGGGCGATGAGTTGTTCAAGTGCCGGGCGGAGGACAGAATAGGGGCCAAAGACGTTGGATCGTCACCAATACGGTTGATGGTGTTTGATGGACTTCAAATGGGAGGGACATTATCGACATTATCGAATGACATCCAACATCAGTGACAGTCAGTGAGCAACAATGACTGGTTGCGGAAAGACCGGAAGCAGGGTTTTCAGCTCTCACCTCATCAATCTCTCATCAACCCCTCATGATGGACAGGCTTGCTTAGCTAATAAGAGTGAGGAGGGGTGGGTGTCCTCCAAGGCTCCAAGCTAATGGGTCAGGACAAGCTTTTTTGAGGTCTTGTCTGCGTGAGAAGTATGTGAATGTAATATCATGTCGATGAGAGAGAGGCATGAGGGTGAGTGAAAGGATTAATACGATCTAATTAGCCCAGTACTGCGAGTGTTCTAGAATAAGAGTGAGAAAGAGCTGTACTGCTAATAGTAGCAGGCCTCAAGTGCATTAGGTTGGATGTTGAATGTCGGGGAAAGGAGGGGTCCCGCCGATGGTGTAGGTACCTCGTAAGTGGCAGGCACGCAGGCCGCAGACGGGCTCCACCTTCCACGCCAGCCTCTTGCCCCTCCGTGGTTCGAAGTCTCCTTCCTCCATTGGCGTCGAAGAAGTACATAGGTATGTATGTATGGGAAGGAGGTGCCGTGGAGCCTTCCATTGTTGCACAGGAAAGACCCAAGGCATAGTGTATATCCGGACTAAGGTACTCTGTACTTCCCAGGTCCATGAGTTCCATTACGAGTATGGACTGCGTATAATGACTCTAGCGGAAAGAACCCACCTCACAACCTCCGAAGCTATTCTCCTTCCCGTATTACACTCTACCCAAGGTAAGAAGAGTTCACTTCCATTCCTCTCCTGCCTTCCACGCAGGTTGGGAGATGGGAGTCGGGTGCCTTCCAAGCCCCAAGAGTGTAGATCTGAGGCCAAGAACCAAGCCGGGCCGGTGCAGCCAGCGATTTCGGTCCAGACTTCATCCACCTCACCCACGGTGACCCAGCAAACCGCCCCCAAAGGCGAGGTGAGGTAAGGTCCCCAACGGAGAGGTAGGTGCCTTGGGAAAGCTACAATCCCCAACACCCAAATAACCAACCATACGAGGTACCTCCCCTGCTTCTCGTAACTTAACCGCCCGACGCCTCTACCTTATCCATTGGAAACACTGAACCATGGAAGGTAAGGTGGGGCAGGTAACCTCGCGCCGCACACCCGCCTACTGTAATATTTCGTACCTTGCGGTCCTTACCGGCCTCAAAGACTCTCTCCACTGGGATCCGGATTTCCTCTTGGACCCTGTCTGCCTTGATTCTCGGCCTCTTACACGTACCTTACCTCACTTGCACAATTTTGCTGTCCACTTCCACTTGCTCCAGTTCTCCCTCTTTTTCTTTCCGTTCTGACAGCTCGAGGACGGATACAACGTCAGACGTCACATCTCCCTTGGCGACACCAGTGACAGCTACCTACTCCGTACCTTACCACGCTTAAGATACCTAGGTATGTGCCTACATACCTACCTACCTTCCCTTAGCCAACCGTCAAAGTAGGTACCTATTCTAGCACCTTGAAGTACCTTAGAATGAGCTTCATCTGCCTGGGCTTTCTTCTTCATCTGTCATTCAACTCGAGGTGTTTTACCTGGATATTAACCAAACATTGTCCGCAGCAACTCTACAGTACCAGTAGAGAGGTCCCCTGACACCTATTGTCTCCCGTCGTAACCAAGGCAGCAGGCTACCTACCTTACCCAACTACCTTGAGGTACCTTACCTGGATCGTTGGGAACCTTGCTCTCCACTGCACCCGACAACCGTAACCGCGCCCCCCGGCCCTCCGCGCCCGACACCTTTCGCACCTTCCCGTAAGCATTTGTTGCTCGTCCCTCCTCCAACGACCACCTCACACTCGTCTCCTTTGCATCTCCCACGTCTGCCATCTTGGCTCTACATTCACTCATTCTTTTATCCTTCCATCTACCTGCCTGAACCAAGGTAGACTCGCTCTCCATCCTCTTGGGAAAATCGTCTCTCCACACGCCTGGAAACCTTCACATCCATCTTGGCCCGCCCACCATCCAGTGCCCAGCGCCCAGCCACGCACGTACGACATCCACGTCGTCACAAGCTTCCCCGACCCGACACGCCCGTCCGGTCCCAGGTCTCCAACCCAGCACCACCTAACCACCCAAAAACAACATCCGCTGACTGCGACCCCTGGACCGTCACCCTGCACTGCACTGCCAACGCCATCCGTCCATCATCACCATCCCCGATATCACCGCCCGCCATCTCAACCCATCGCGCCCATTCGAATCCTACCTACGGTGTACTACCTCTCATCCGCCTCCGACGATCAATAACATCACCTGCCTTCCCTCACCCTCCTCGACAATGCTTGCAGCTCTCTGCCACTTCGTCTGAAGGATGCGCTGTTGATTACACTCGGTTCATCTCCAACCATACTGCGGCGGTACTTCACTCAGCATCAGCACCGACAACACTGCGACCACACGTCGACTACGACGCCAACACTCTCTCCCGGATCAACTTTGGCCGGACTACCTGTCATTGCATAGTGCACTGCTGTGATTGACTTTGGTCCGCTGCTTTTGTACTTGCAATCACTGTTCTGATTGAACCGGGCCTCCGACTACCCGTCGTTGCGCTGTTCACTTCGAGAAAGCATACACTCGACGAAATCCCAAGCAATACCGCCGGGTCATACCATCGATAGCCAACATGGGTAACAGTAGCACCAAAGAGTCTCGTCCGATCGACCCTGCGACCGACTACAGGCAAAGCCAGGCCGCCTATCTCAACCACTCCACCTCCAGAGAAGCCGCAAACGATCATGCCAGCTCACGGAGGCAAAGCCGCTTTAGTCGAGCCGATCTAAATCTCCTTGGCCTCGGAGCCGCCGGATCTTCCAGTGCTGCAGGCAGAGAAGATGCGCCTTACGAGCGTAGAGAGACAAGACAGGAGCGGGAAGCCCGGCGACTTGAAAGGGAACGCGTCGCCAGAGAAAAGGAACGTGAGCGGAGTCTGAAGGAGGAGCATATCGACGGCGGGTACCTTGTAACCCTTGGTACATACACTGGACCCGAAGACTTCAGCAAGCCCATTGTGCGGCAATTGCAGGTAAGTGACTTTCCAAACGTTTCGATCCCTAGTTGCAAAGGTTGACAGTCGTGGCCCTGCAGATTGAGAGACGACTTGCACCATTCTGGAGGGGTCTCAACGACTACTCCGACAACTGGACCGAATATCAGCTCATCTGCGCCGGCCGCGGCCTTGATATCCCGGCCGCCGATGAGCAACCTCCACCCGATTTCATTCCCCAGTCCAACACGCCCGCCTCTCCTACCGAATCTTCTCAGAACCTTGCCAACCTCACTGTTCCAATGGGTCCGAGGTCTCTGTCAGTAGGATCGGATCGTAGTAGCTCAATGCCAGGCTCTGGGATATCATCGCCCAACGCAGCCCAGCAGCGGAGTAGCTCGCCTTTCAAGCCTCGGGCGAAAGCCCTCGCAGCAGCCCTGAGCGGAGGGTCCCGCAGCAACTCGTCAAACGACGTAGCGCCCCGTGAGATTAAGTTGCCCAACGATCCCTTGGTCAACGGACAGCCGTTGGAGGTTTTCCTGTACAAAGATGCTACCGAGTGTCCCATCTGTTTCCTAACCTATCCTCCCTACCTGAATCGCACCCGTTGCTGCGATCAGCCCATCTGTAGCGAATGTTTCGTGCAGATCAAGCGCGCCGACCCACACCATCCTGAGCATCACGGCGAACCGACCGAGCAGCCTGCGAACCCGACTAACCCGGAAGAAGCCCCAGAAATGCTGATATCCGAGCCCGCGCAGTGCCCTTACTGCCAGCAGACCGAGTTCGGCGTGACCTATGATGCTCCCCCTTTCCGACGAGGTCTATCATATGCCATTGGCTACCCGTCACAAAGCACCGCAATGTCATCCCAGAGCTCTTTGAACTCAACCTTGTCGCCTACCTCCCCGACTTCCGGCAGGCGGCGCGCTCAAAGCTTGTCCGCCAACGCCCCCAATGTTGTTACTACTGATCGGGTCCGCCCGGATTGGTCAACTAAACTCGCAGCGCAGCGAGCCCACCAAGCACGCAGGGCTGCAGCAGCAACTGCTCTACACACAGCGGCCTTCCTCATGGGAAACAACGAGCAGCAGCGCGGCTTTGCTTTCACAAGGCCCGGCCGTTTTAGTCGGAGAAATACTGGCAGCCGCACCCCCTCTGGACCTTCCAACCAACAGCCAGAGGAGAGCCCGCACCGTAATCCAGAAGGCGAAGCTGCTCCAGCTGGACCTGAGCCTGGACCACGGAGCTCCTCCGGGCGCGGAGCGCTGAACAATAGGAGAAGTCGGATGGAGGAGCTCGAAGATATGATGTTCATGGAAGCCGTCCGTCTTTCTCTCGCCGCCGAGGAAGAGCGAAAACGTAAACAAGAAAAGGCGGAGCGAAAGGAGGCCAAGAAGAGGGACAAGGAAGAGCGCAAGGCCCTCAAGAAGCAGGACCGCCAGAGTGTCTATGGGCCTGGCCAGAGCTCTGCTAGCGGAAGCAGCCTCTCCCTTGGCCTTGGACGACGCAGAGGGAATAGCACAACCAGCAACTTGCGTGTAGAGGCCACACTCCAGGAAGCGCAGACGACCTCAGCAGGGCCCAGCGCCGAAACTTCTCCAGTAGCTTCAGCAACACCGATGGGCAACACCCTATCTCCCACTTCGGCACCTGGCTCGGCACCAAGTTCGAAAGGCAAAGCTGTCGAGCGTCCGGCTGTCGAGACGCAGTCATCCGAGAGCAGCTTCCAGAGCACATCTTCTACACCCTCATTACCGATCCCGACGACCAGCCGCGGGCCCTCCCACTTGAGACAGATGAGCAATGCATCTTCCATCTCATCGTCTCTGGCTGATAGTGCAGCTGGAAGCTACAGCAATCAGGCCTATCCAGATCCTCGAGCCAGTGAGCTGAGCGTTGGCAACAGAAGCGAAGAAGGCGATCGGGACAACACGGAGCCAATGTTCAACTTCCGAAGCCTGGCGGAAATGGTGGGCGTTGACATTGAAAATGGCGAGGCCAATCAGGACCAGGATAACGTCTCAGGCGAGGTTCGGACTGCCACTACGAGCAAGAAGGCCGAAGCGGAAGATGAACCCGAGGCTGAGCACATGGAAGATGTCCACAGTGAGGAGCCTGTGCAGACCAACGCCGGTACATTAAAGCCACCGCCAACGATTCCCGAAGAGCCCGTCGGTGGCGCCAGCAAAGGAGACGTGTCTCCTGGCCCCGGCAGTGGGGCATTAACGCCAGAGGTCACGATCACACCTGAGACTCCGGCTCCCATCTCAGATGAAGAAGCTGAGTCGAAGAGGCTAGGTCACGGAAACATTGTAGAGGGTTCGACTGGAGTTACGCAGTGATCAGAGTGCGGATCGACGAGGATGACAACGGGATGACGACGGGATGATCGAGGGATATGACTATGCCAAATTTGATGGCAACGGCTGAGCGTGAATACATGGGGGGGGGCAGAATTTTGCATACACTCTGGGGATTGGGAACCTCCAAGACACTCAAGGCGTTCAGCGTGAACTTTTTGGGGGAGGTGGCCATTAGACGTGATTCTTTTCTTTTTTTTTTCTGCTCTGTGCCGTGTGAATGGCTAGCGCTCACTGTATTCTACCCAATCTACCTTACACAGATATATGAAGAAAGTGACCGGGATGTCAATAGTCCCAAGTGGCTGGACAATACCATCTACTCATGGGAGATACCCCCAGTTGTTCTCCATTATGTTTGAAAATTTGACCTCCCCTACCAACTCTGCTCGTAGTGAAATGGGTCCTCTGCCAGGCTTACAAGTGTGGCTCGGCGGCAGTGACAGCAGGAAGGGCAACATCGATGGCGGCGACGGAAGGTTGGTTGACGAAATCCTCGCCAGGACTGGCCCAGCTGTAATTCCGCCATTCGCCCAAGGCAGGCCACATGTTTTCCGTGACCAACCGCTGAATCTTGTCAAGCCGACTGGCCGGGGCGTCGGCGGGATTTGACTTGTCGCTCTCGGCGGCGAGCTCGCGCATCACGCCCTGCCACGCAAGGAACGTCTCTTCCAGTTCAGACACGGACGTTACGCCCATGACGCTGACACCGACCTTGGTAGGACCGTTATAAATGGGCGGCAGCAGCTCGCTGCCAAAGGCACCTCCTACGCGCGCCCAGTTCGCCATGGCCCAGTACAGAGCGAGCTCTTCCATTCTCTCTCCCGCTCCCTCGGCGATTACTACAAGGCTCTTGCATAGCTTGCGCAAGGGGCTTGGGGCCGGGTGCCAACTCGCCATGGGCCCGTCGTTGACACCGCGGGTGGTGAGCAGACCCATGCTCAGCATGCTCGCGTTGGTCACGACACCGACACCGGCATCTTTCAGTCGTGTGAGGATCGCGTCGCTGCCGAGGGTATCATTCTGGATGCAAAAGTGCGAAAAGGACTGGACGGCGTCGATGGGTTCGCCCGTTTCGCGGAGGATCTTTTCGGCTAGCTCGCAGAGCACCGGGACAGGGTAGCCGCAGATACCGACATAACGAACGAGGCCCTCGTCGCGGAGACGGCGTAGCTCACATACGGCAGCGACGACCTGGTCGGGGGTTACGAATTCTGCGTCGTGGGTGTAGACTAAGTCCAGGTAGGTGGTATTGAGACGCTCGAGGCTACGGAGGACGGAAGCGCGGATCCAAGCTGGGGAGTAGTCGAACTCGGTCGGGGCGATGCGGCCGGCCTTTGTGACGAGGAAGTAGGAGTCGCGGGGCGGGGAGAGGATGCGCAGGGCGGCGCCAAGGATGGTCTCGGAGGGGCCGTAGTAGGGGGAGGTGTCGAAGGCATTTACGCCGAGGGAGAGGGCGCGGGAGACAATGTCGACGGAGGGCATCCGAGAGGGGTCCGAGACGTATTGGTAGTTGAAGGTTGCGGTGCCGAGGACTAGAGGCGGGAGGACAGCGGAGAGCGGCCGGGTGGTGGTTATGCGCGGGGCCGCCATTTCGGATGTATTTTCTGTGCTCTACAGATAGAATCCGAGACTTAGCTCCGAATCAAAAAAGGAACTGAGGGACTATAGCTTCGATTCGCTATCGTACCTACTCCCTAGTCGATACCTTTTGCAGGAGCTAGGTATTGCTGCTGGCTGTTGTGAGTGGTACACAATGAACGCAGCTCAAAGTCCAGCGGCTCAAAGAGATGTCGAGTCGAGCACGTCAATGATTGATAGTCAGGGTCCCCCCGCGTGTCCGAATCTCCGAATGCGATTTGCCCCGCCGGAAAGGTGGGGGAGTATTTTTCTTCTCTTTTGGGAGTTTCTGGAATTGGATTGGTCTTGTTCTAGTTCCTCCGCATAGGACCGGATAGACTGACGCGGAGCGCAACTCTAAAAGTTGATGGCTAGGTTCGTGGTGTGGTGAACCGGGTGGCTTGACTTTGCGGCCATGGCCAAGCTAGAGAACTTCGAATAGCGACATGCTGGGTGAAGAGATATAGTGTTCAGTAGAATCGGATACATCTTCACTCACTTGAATGAAGATGGGACAAGTTTCGTGACGACTGCCCATTCCGCCGACATTGCGGGGGCTCAGCGTGACGCGGGGTTCTGGAGGGGAAGCTGGGGTGTCGAGGCTTCTAGGACTACCATGTTTGCGGTGAGGGTCAAGGAAACCCAAGACACCAAGTGAAAAGAGTTGCGGAATCTGGAACAGTTCCGTTGGGACGACCGAAATGTTACAATGATCGAATATGCGGAGGTGTTCTTGGAGGAAAACAAGCACGGATATGTTTTGCAGGAGTTAAGAGATGGGCGTGTGAGATCTCGTCAAACAGGCCACCAGCGCCTGCTCCCTCTCATAGCTGCAGGCTAAGATGGGTCGCTCATTCTTCCGGGACATTTGGTGACGGATGGGACCCCGCCTGCTTAGGTAAGGTAAGATCAAGTCGAATATCACTATCTTATCTTACCTTATCTACCTTACCTCACCTGAGGTATCACGATGTTATCGATTACCAGCAGCTGACAGGAACCACCTCATGAGAGCTTCATCCAACTTGGCTCAGTTTCACGATGAATCACAACACAAAGAGCTCTCCCTCATGAGTCATCTCCCATACTCAATGTTGCACAGGCATTACTATGCATCAATTCTCTTCAATTGACTGACACAGTTCTTCAATCTCCCGTGGTTCCCTTGCCCAATGATGTGCCTATCGCAACGCTGATGTATCTACAAGTTCTGCTCGAAGCCCGTCGTCGGACAACCAGTCCGCCCATCTTCAGGCAAGCAAACGGTGGCATTGTGGGACTGCCTATACCACTGGATAATCTGGCTAATACCGCCTCAGGTAGTATCTGCAATTCATTACATACCAGACTGCTCGCATTGGACAGCAATTAGCCTGAAGATCCTACCATGTGTCACTGCTCTCCTCATGATCTCTCCCTAACAACCCCCGACTTGGCCCTGCGCAGCTCGGCACCTTCAGGCTCCATTGAATCCGCATCAATCCCTTGTCTGTTCCAACCCAGCAATATTGCAATCAATAATATCCTACTAGCTTGACTCACCTTGGCCTCCGAACATCCCTCGTTCGGCTCTTTGTCCGGCCGGTCAGACAGTCGTCTGGTAAATCCACCGTTCATTCTATGGCCTGTCCATTTCGACCTCTCAGATAAGTGTCTGCTTTGGACCTCTGCCATGAGAACTCTACAACCTCCACTCGTCACTTGAGACTCTTTGAAAGCTCGATGTCTCCTACCCACTCTACAAAGTCTCCTCTTCAAGCAAGTGCTTGCCGTCACTTTCTCTGGTTCTTAGGTGTCATTTCCATCTGTCCGGGGGCGTCTGTCGTCTCCCGAATGATCACCCATGATTTTCTAGATCGTCGCTGTTCACAGCGCTCGTGTTCCAATGTTCAAATTGTGCCAAATAGCCAAGGGCATTTGGACCGGCCTTTCTCTATGGTAATCATTCAGAACCAATATCTTGATGGCATTCATCCGCCTTGGCAGGTGAATAGCTTTTGGGCCTTTATATTGGCACCCATCCTTCCCTCCTAACTCGTACCATGTCTTGTAGCGGCGCACTTTTTCCCATCTTTGGTTGCGACCCGCGTGTCCTGTCTCATTTCTACACAGTACATCCATACGAGATGACTTCCTCTTTCGTCACTGCGGAAGTCTGCATGAAGGATTGCTCCGAACCACCGCTGGTCATGGCAAGTGCTGGTTTCAGCCGTCAGCAATGCTTCACTTAAAAGCTTAGAAAACCACATCTGAAGATGCGTTCCCCTCTTGAATATATATTCCTGCAATACCAAAGCCTATTTGAAGACGCAAGAGTGGACAGCCGGCGAAGATCATGCGTTGGCTCACCACGATCCTCAGCGCCGTAGCGCTCATTAGCTCCGGTAAGTTTTGTGCGCACTCGTACCCTAGAGACTCGTGCTGACCCAGAGGACAGTAACCCTAGCCCAAGATCAGTCAACATACTGCGACAGTCTGGGTCGTTGCTTCGCTTCTTATACGAACGCAGACGGTATCACTTATGGCATCGCTATTCCTGAAGGACCTGCAACGGGTCAGCCATATGAAGCCATTCTTCAGATCACCGCACCCATCGAGGTAGGCTGGGCTGCCTTAGCCTGGGGAGGCTCCATGACGTATAATCCCTTGACTGTTGTATGGGCCAATGGCAATGATGTAGTTGTCTCTTCTCGAATGGCATTGTGAGGACCCATTTCGATCCGTCCAAACGGCATCATAACTAACAGTTAATAGCGGCTACTTCACTCCCCCGCCATATGAAGACGCAGAGTACACCATTCTCCCCGGCACTGTCGTCAATGATACACACTACTCCGTCACGGCACTATGCCGAGGCTGCACATACTGGGCGCCATACGGAAACGATCCAACATCTTTAGATCCCAACGGAGAAAACTACTTGGCGTTTGCTTCCTCTGGCGTGCCAGTTGGTGACCCGGCAGCCAATGATACAACTTTCGGTATCCACGAGCGCGTAGGACACTGGGTGCACAACTTCCAGCCGGCGCAGACGATCGACTTCGATTCTTGGGCAGAAGGCAATGATGATGGCGAAAGTCCTACCAGCACCGTCACCAAAACGACTCTACTGACCACCTTCTCGACATCCACTTTGCATAGTACCACAATTCTCAAGACTACTGTCACGATGGCAGGTGTTTCACCCAGCAGCGCAACCGCAACTGTCTCATCTTCGCATTCTACTTCGACATCGTCCTCCATCGTATCTAGCGCCCCTGTGCCTCCAGTCCCCAGCTCGTGCTCCGGCGTCAGTGCCTTCAGATTCGGATACCAGACTGCTAGTGGCTGGAAGGCCGTTAAGCTCGCTGGATCTCTGACAGGTCCCCGCGGATTGGTCGTTGACTCTGAAGGCAATCTACTCGTCGTGCAGTCCGGAAAAGGTGTCACGGCTCACACCTTAGGGGCCGATGGCTGCATCTCTTCCACAAAGACCCTGTTCAGTAACCCTTCGCTAAACCATGGCATCGGCTTGACGCCCGATGGTAAGACGTTATACGTCAGCTCCATGACTACCGCATGGTCGTACGCCTACGATGCAAAAGCTCAAAGTGTGAGCGCGCAGACTGTTGTCGTCAAGGGAATGCAGCAGGGAGGTCACCCGACACGCAACCTCATCATCCCGCCGGCAACACCGCATCTTCTCGTCATCCAGCAAGGCTCCTACAGCAATTTTGACTATGAATCGCTCAATAAGGCGGTGGCGCGTGCTGTAGTCAAAGTGTTTGACACGCGCAGTGTGCCATCCGGAGGTTACACATACGCCTCCCAGGGATGGCTTCTCGGCTGGGGTCTGCGTAATGAAGTGGCTCTCGCAGTGGACGGAAACAATGCGTACGTCAAACACTAATATTTTGTTTCTCAACGATATACAGGCTGACAGTGATCTCAAAGCATCTGGGGAGTGGAGAACAGCGGTGACGACTTCGCTCGCACAATCAACGGCCAAAGCTACGACATCCACAACGACAACCCAGCAGAAGAGCTGAACTTTCGTAAGTCGCCACGTCTGTGGGGAAAATAATCCAAGACAGCTGACAATCACTCCAAGTTGGTGATCCTTCCCAGGCAAACGACCAGTGGTACGGGTACCCGACCTGCTTCTCTGTCTGGGAACCCTCCGTCATCAAGGACAAGAGCTTCAAGGTCGGCCAGCAATTTGTCGTCGCCCCTAACAGCACCTACAACGACGATACATGTACTCAACGCTCCGTGCCACCCAGGCTTTCAATCCAAGCACATAGCGCACCCATCGGCGCCGTATTCGACGGCACATTCCAAAACCTGTACGTCACGTTGCATGGCTCATGGAACAGGTCACCTGCTACGGGCTTCAAGGTGTCCGTGGTGCCGTTCACCAAACTTACTAGTGGTGAATATGATCCGGTTGCTGCTGCAGACTGCAAGACTGGTTATACGGACGTTTTCTGGAGTACAAACGTCGGAAGCTGCACTGGGTCGACCTGCTTCAGACCTTCCGGCATCGTCTTTGACAAGGTGTTCTCGAGATTGTTTGTAGCCAGTGACAACACCGCGGAGGGAGAACTTTTCATGCTTGTCAAGTCTTGAGCCAGGTACATGTCGTTTCTTACAGGAAGAAAGTGGTGGAGAACCATTTCAAGATGACCACTCCGATGATTGAAGTCAATCTGTGACATGGCAAAAGTCCTTGCTTCCATTCCAACCATAAACAAAGTGATTACAGGCTGTAAGTATTGTGTCATCAATCATACGCAGCCAAAGAGGTGTTGAAATGAGAGCAATAAACGCCAAGCTGGTATGCATTGCTATTACGGATAGCCTGAATCGCCATGGTGGAATGCTAGTTTGAATGATTGCATTGCCGCTCTAGTGAAAGTTGTATCTAATTAGCAGGCCTGCAAATCACGTAGCTGTCTCGCTTCTGCCCATCTTAACCAGACTTATCCGAAAGAAGAGATGAGGTTGCGATGATGCCGTCATAATTTAAGCTGGCATGGCTATATTCTATTTGGTTTTGCATCTGAAATCGCTCTATGGTCATTGGAACATGAATTTAGGATGAAAGGATCAAACTGTAGATCTTTCTCGATGCAGGTTCAAACACCAATTGGAAACATGGAGGAGCCTCCCACTCATTTGGAGATCAAACTACTGGATGAGACTTTGATCACGCTCCTGCTATCTGTTCGCACCGGCTACCGTTTCTGAAGAATCCCGCAAAGGAGCATCATCTTGCAGGAGATGTTCAGAAAGGTCTACCAATAGGTCAGAAAATCAGTTCATAGAAGAAAGGAGTCTTCAACCTACTATCGACATCACTCCGTCGTGTTTCAATGGCGCCAAAGAGCGCGTCCATGTCCTCTAACTCCCGGCCCTTGGTTTCAGGAAAGAATACATATATGGCCTAGAGCATTTGTGAGTTTTTGAGATCCTCGTAGGCAGTAGATCCACTGTATCCGTACCGGAATGCAGATGATGTTTACGACCATGAATATGAAGTAGATGTTGCTACCCATATACCCGATACCGGCAGACCACACCATGGTAACGATAGAAGAACCGACAGAGGCGCCAGCGGAGGCGAAGTTCAAGCCTCGGGCTCGCACCGAGGTGGGAAAGATCTGTAGTCACATCGATATAAGTAGTTGCCTCAAAAGATAGAAGGGGTAATCATGATCAAGCGGTACCTCTGTGTTGTAGACCCATGCAGTCGGCCCAAATCCCAAAGAGAAGCCAATGACGTATACAAAGATGAAGGTCACGCAGATTATATCGGTAGCTGGGCTTTTACGCTGAGGGTCTAAAAGAGGCACCGCCCCGTTGATCTAGGATAAGTGTGTTAGCATTTCCGGGTCCTTCGCACGGGTTCCTCTTGTCACCTACCAGGAGTGAGAAAGCCATAATGATACAACCAGCGACGAGGCATTTTCTGCGTCCGAATCGATCAATGATGAACATCTCGAGAACAGTGAAGCCTATTTTAACCGTTGACTCAGTAGCGCTAATTAGCAACGCGGTATGGGAGAATATGCCATGTTGCTCCAACAGCCATGGGAGAAAGTATTTGATGGCAGTAGCACCACAACTTGAAGACATGAATTGAAGCAGAGTGGCACGCCAAAGACGATTAAACAATGGCTTTTGTCGGAACAAAGAAAGCCAGTTACTGCCGGATTGATGATACTCGTCGACGCTCTTAATGATGGCGGAGAATTCGTGCTCGATCTCGTCATCATCAAAGCTACGCTCGCGAAGCCAGCGAAGTGTCGAACGTGCCTGATCTTTCCTGCCATGTTCAACGAGCCAACGGGGCCTTCTTGAGTTAGTACGAACAGTCTTCTTTCTATAGATCGAAGGACTAACGTTTCCGGGACCCAGGGCAGCCCGATCCCAAAGCTCATTGCGGGGATTATCTCCAAAAGAATGGTCAACCTCCATCCATAGAAAAGGCCTGCATCGGAGGACCAAAATCTCATGAAGTAGCCAACCCTGTTGACATTAGAAATTTCCCCGAAGATATAATCAGCTGAGATAGCTTACCAGAAACCTAGCGCTATGCCAGCGATGAAACCGACGTGATTCAGCGTTACAAAATGGCCGCGCTTATGTGCCGGCGAAATCTCACTAACACATAAATCAGCCTCCACAGATCCAAGAGTTTGGTTCAAAGATATTACGCTTGGTACAGCGGTACCGAAGTAGACACGACGGCTACTCCAACGCCGCTTATGAGTCTTCCGGCTAGCATGGTGCCGCGAGCTGTACTGCCACCACTTGTGGCTTGCAGTATGGCGCCGAGGCAAACGAAAGCCGTTCCCGACAAGGCAGCATAACGGCGACCGAGCCAGTCGGTGATCGGATGAGAAATGCAGAGGTAACTGATGAAGGTTCCGGTGTAGTAGATGCTGACTACAGTTCCGATCATAGCGCGGGTTGGCTGTTGCAGTGCATCGCGCCAGCCGGAACTGACTATGACTGAAGACAGTATGCCAATATTGTATCTATGTAGAGTAAGAGAGTCAGAATAAACTAAGCTCTTCGAACTAATAGACGGCCTAGTTCCACGATGCTCCCAGCAATGTCCCACGACATGTCGTGACTTCGATGACTCGCCACACTCATTTTGCTGAATGGAGTAAAGGGCGAACTTACCCCCAGACGGACGCGCCAATGCCGAAAAATATGCAAAGAATGTAGAGGCGCGACTCGCCAGTAGGCAATGAAGCACCAAGCCAGGCCATATTCATGAGCGTAAACGTTGCGGACGCGACTAGAGGGGTAATTGGGAGGGGGCCACGGCAGGCTTGAGGGCGCCTTGCGGCAGAGAGATAGTATCAATTACTTATAAAACCACGCAAGCCCTTTATTGGAAGGTCTCCATGTGATGACGACACGATTGAAGCAGGTAAAAAGGGTCTCGACGGGTCTTCCAGTCCGGAAGAGATCCCAAGGTGAGGCGCGGGGTCGCTTGGCTGAGGCAGGTTGGGGCATCTCGTGATTATGTAAGACCCCTTCAAGCACCGCCCGCTAGCTTCGTTTTGCCGTGCAAAGAGACAATGCTTCGTCCTGCTTACATACTCGGTGAATTCCTAGAATCACGGTCTTAAAAAGCCCGAATGTTGTAGTACCATTTGGTGAAGAAGGCATGCGTGGTATCAACGAACAAGTCGGGGCTGGTTGAGACCACTATTAACCAATGTCCCGCGCGGAGGCTGCCCCTCTTCAATGCAAAGATATTCGTCCTCCAAGGTAGAGCAGACAGAGCGAGGAAAGATATAAGGTTTGAAGGCGAATCGCCTTCACGAGATTTTTACGTAAGTGATGCTACAGTAATCAAACAATTAATCAGGCAGTTGTGCCGCTACTCTCGTGGACCGAGTAGATCACATGCTCTAGTCGTGATCTTGGAACCTGTAATTCTACTACATTATTAAGTCTCCCTGGCTCGAGAGTATTCACGTTCTCATACCCAACTCCTTGAAACAGGTGTAATACCACCCAAGGGCTAACACTTCGTAACTGTGCACCGCCAGCAATGTTACAGCCATCTATTTCCTCAACAGCGGTCCTCAACTGAAGTCATAGCGACGCGTGGCCACTGGCAGCGTATCCCATCATTCATACATTAATTATACAACGTCGCTTTCTCTCCTTACACCACGCACTCTATCGAGGCACGTACCCCGAGAAGTCGTACATCCCAGTGTGATCCTGCAATCCCGAGTTCCAGTCGAGAAACTGGGGCTGCCCATCGGCGTCAATCACTGGCGCGTACATGCCCATATGGCTGGGTGATGGCCCTGACGCCGGTACCATGTTACCATCATGGTAGCCCCAAAGTTGAGCAGCCATCTCCGGCGTCATTCCATTTGCCATTGGTATGAGTTCAGCCTGCTGGTCAAACATTGGCGGTTGCTGAAGCAATTGCTGCTGCGAAGGTGACTGCTTCTGCACTGGGGGAGAGCCTCCATGACCGAAGTCGGGTGCGGGCAGCTGTTCCATCAAGGGCTGCAGCGTCCTTGGAGGAACAGAGCCTCTAAACTCCTCCGGAGTCGATGACGCCCTTCTGACAGTCCGGACGCTGTCGGAGTGGGCGAGCATACCCTGCCCATCGAATACACCTCCAGGGAAGATGGCGACAGACTGACTATCTTCCGAACCCTCGTCAACATCTACACCTGAGTCTGGGCGAGGGACAGTGCGGGTCAAGTGACGTGGAGCCAGGAGACGGGACGGTGATGGCTCGTTCTTTCGGTTGCTTCGGTTCGAATAGGGCATGTTCTGTGCGTTGGCGATGCATTGCTCAATGACCTGGATGAACTGGTTGCGGTAGATGTTCCCGATGGTCTCCAACGCTTGTGGGGTCATGCCCTTGTTTCGTAGGCTGTCCTCAACATCTTTCAGGCTGTTCATGAACTGGTTTTGCAGCTCGAAATGCTCGATGACGGGGCAGAAGTCTAGCCGGCGTTAGCAGGGGTAGAAAGACTACTTTGGACGAAAGGACATACCGAAAGGCTGAACCCTGTAGTCATCGTCGTCGGGGAACAACAGATTCCAAATCTCTTTCCATTGCACCTCGGTGCTCATGCCACTGGCTCGCTTCCTACTGAGAAGCTTCGTCATTGTAGGGCCGTCGATGCCGGACTCTGGGTCATGGTCGGCAACGTCACACATTTGCTCCTTTGGTAGACGTTGGTGGTCCCTGAGATCCTTCTTGCTGGGGAAGTCTCGGTTGCAGCGGTCGCACATGAAGGACGACGGATCGTTGCGCTTGTGTTGTTTGACGATGTGTTGCCTATCGAGCGTTAGAAAACAGTACATGAGCTTTCCAGAGGGTGACTACTAACCTCAGCTCGGCAAATTTGGGGAAGTAAGTCATTGCACACGAGTGATGTTCCCTGACGTTGAACCTGTGCGGATTCCTCTTGCGAAAGGGACAACTCAGTCGAAGGTCTCCCTCTGCCTCCCGTGGCGTTTGCCTCGCTCTCTTAAACGGCACGCTTGAGTCTCCATCGTCATCCGTCAAGTCATCGCCATCATCATCACCCTCTGCACGGCCAGTGTCGCCCTTCTTGCGCTTCCCGTTTTGGGAGCCTCGACCTGACCCTGGTCTCCGAGCTAGGGGCAGAGAGCCATTAGATGATGTTGATTGAGTGTGAGTCAGTTGTGTTCCGGCGGGGAATCCGTTGAATGCAAATCTTCCAATATCCTGGATGAATCTGAACACGAAATGGCGGAGGAAGGCCGGCGGCATGGTGATCTCTTCCAACTCCACACCGTAAGTCACTTGCAAGACATAGTCGAGTACTGCATCAGCTTCTTCATTAGAGAAGTCAATGGGTGTTGGTGTGGTCGGCTCCCATGCACGTGATAGACGATCGGAGCCGGAGTCGAAGCTCATTCTTTCATTGAGGGGCCGGGGCGACACCCGCTCTTCGCGGGGTGACTCGGGCATTTCGTCTGGCGATGGTGGCCTATCACTGGCATAAGCATCGCAAGTAGAAAGGCGCCGCTCTCACAGATCAAGATTTACCTGGGGGTGCCCGCCGTGTGAGGCATGTCATTTTGCCCGTCATCTTCCGGCTCAATGATGTCCATCCGCGGTAGTGGATCCTCCTTGTGCCCCGCGCCGATGGAATCCGGATACGCCGGAAACCTCTCGCCCATGATAGAGTCCACGAAAGTCGATCCCGAGTCGCATGATTCTCTGTAACGATGGCCATTCGTGCCGGACCGCGACGCGAGGAATGGTGTTGGTAAGCGCTCAGGGCCATCAATGTCCGGAGTCGTAGCCCTCGTGAAGGTGGATGAGGTGGGGGACATGGGCATTGAACATGTCGTCGCTGAGTCTGGGACATGAGTCGAGCTCATAGTCGATGAGGTCGGCGACCTGTCACGAAACGTCTTCCCATAGACACCTGAGATGATCTTCAGACCCTCTGGACATTTTTGCTGTTGGTGAAGAGGTTGCGACAGGCGGAAGTGGTGTTCAAATGGTGGTGAGTGAACCACTTCCTCGATTTTGGCATGCGAGGCAAAGGTCGAATCGCGGTGACGTGGCTCCCGAGGTCGGATCGGGATCTCGACTGTGAACGACTGCTCGTCGCTCATCATGACTGCGACTCTTTATCTGGTCGCACTGTTCGCTGGTTCTGAATTGCTGACGCGTCTTGAGGGAAAGCTGAGCCCAGAATGACACTTGTACCTGGCTTACTGGGTTGGCCTTGGCATTCGGTTGTCGGTTGCCCTTGCTCAATAAACCCTCCTCGAGACCCGTCCGTCACTTGTCGTTATTATCGCGATGAGAATAAGTTACTGAAAATGTATAACGAGAGTGATGAAAGAAGACAGAGAAGCGAATCGAATCGAGTCTTGGGATGCGAGACTCGAAGAAGGGTAATTCCCCCTCTGTCATGCTGTTACCTCCAGACTCAGCCCCCCAAACTATGCGGAGTACTTAGAATGCGAACCATCTCAGCATAACAAGGGTGGGCTCAGCTGGGGGCTGTGATTGGATCATGACGACGACCGTCGTTGGCGCAAGAAACAAGTTTCTATCATTGGACAATGCGGCCGTGACGGACGAGGATGCCTCCCCTATTTCTGGCGCGCAGCTTGCAGCAGGCCAGCATACCCCCTTTAGAAGAACTGGACCTCTGATTTGCTCGTGGCCGGTACCGTTCTGCGTCTCTGACAGCGGCGGGCAGGCAGAAACATTGTTTCTGCCAGTGTGGCCTGTTAGGGATGGACACCTGATGAGTCTAGTTTTAGGCTGAGAGTCTCACGAGTCCAGGTACTCCCTTAACAGCCTTGACACATATCACCATCCTTCGTCTCAGGGCGCAACCCAGGCGTCCGATATATGCTAGCACTGGCACCGTCAGTGCGCCTGTCTGACTGCCAGAACTGGCAATCAGCCCTACGTGAATCGCGTCTGTCCAACATTGCGATTCCATTAATGCACGCCATCGCGACCTGGTGGATGTCGACACTCTTCTGGACCTGAAGCGTTCCAGCTTCAGTTGAGATTAGATCGACCAGGGCTCTATGGCTGCCCCGTCGCAGGCCGGCCGCCGGTCATTCGGATTTGCCCTGCCATTGGATAATGGCAACAGTTGGTCGATTGCACATGCGAAATGCATCGTCTACTCAATGTGGGAAGCGGAGCTCACGTCGACAAGATGCCAATTTGGCCTCCTTCGAGCCTCACTGGTGTTCGAGTATAGGATTTTTCTGGAGGCAATTGAGCCTCAAAAATCCCCTATGGTGGTTATGTATAAGAGTGGAACGGTGAAGTGAAGTTCATGGGGAAGTAATTGAGTCAACTTTGGTCAATGAAACTGCAAGCAATAGGAAGCCTCACCCCAGCCAACTTTCGACAAGTCTCAACTTCTCAACCACCAAAGCCAATTGCATCGTGAGCAAAATAGGGCCCGCACTTTGTTTCGAAACTTGGGCGACTGCTACCCCAGACTCAATCCGAACCGAGCGCAAATCTTAAAACTCTCGAGGAGAACAGTCTACCGAATATGTCACACTCTAAAGCCAGCTCAAGCCAGAGCCTAGCAGAGTATCCCACCGGGTATGAAAGAGATCAATTTTCTGCATTTGAGTAGCCGCACTGACAATACAATATCGACAGATCTACCCGTGCCGTTCCCTATAGTGTCGATCGCTACATAGTCGAGTCATCTTCCTGGACACAATTGAGCCAAAGAACCAGTACTCCCCGCACGACTTACAACGACCTCATGCAATCAGACCTCGACAACCTATTACAACAAGCTAAGCAACGGTCACGGACAAACCCGAATTGAGGAACGAGTGAAGGAATTTGAATGATTGTACTATACTGTATTACTATTTGCTCATATGGTCGCCCCGGTGAGCATCTTAATCATGATGCACATAATGACATGGAGGATCGGAGGACAACCATTTCAGCGCTGGTGCAAATGGTACAAGATGAAGACATCTAGACGTTGAACATAGTGTGGGCTACGCTTTACATATTGAGCGTCACAATGGTATGGGGTCACAACGAGAAAATTTGATGCGTGGCAAGACGATAGAATTGTCTTGACTGGTGAGATGGCTTGCCACCTCACGGGGGTATGTAGACTGCTATTTGCAGAATTATATACGATGAAAGCATATGTGCTGTTGACCAAAGGTCGAATATATACGATGAAGACTCAAAGGAAGTTATTGTCACGCATCCTAACCCCTTCCACGATGCAATGTGCACTCTGCTGTGCCTCGATCAGGAACAAGAGGGCATTGGCATCTGAAGTGAGCCAGCATACATTTTACTGGAAGAGCTCGACGGTGTCGAAGATCTGTTACATGGGTTAGCAAAGTATTCATAATTCAAAAGAATGGTCTCCAGTAAGAACTTACAACACTGGGGCTCAGGTAAGTGTCACCACTGCTGCCAGAGATGACATTGATGGTGATGGTGTTCGCTCCGGAAACGAGGGTGCCGGCAGGGATGCTGACGTCGTAAACCTCACCGAGACCGCGGTAAGCACCACGAGTAACGCCACGGGAGTCGATCTTGGTGGGCGCAGCAGGGGCCGGGCCGGTCCAGCTGTTGACCTTGGCCTGGGGACGGCCACTGGCAAAGGCAAGGGTGGTGGCGATGCGGAGGGTGGCTGCGCCAGGGGCGGAAGCGAGGTTGAACTTGATGGTGACGGGGTTGTTGACGGCGGTGAAGATGGCCATGGGGAAGTCGCCAACGGCAGATGTTCCGACGGTGTAGGTGAGGGGACCCCAGCTGCTCATGCGACTATCAGAGGGGTGCATGCGGAGCTGCTTGTCGGCGTTGCGGAAGCCGGTAGGCTGGCCGTCGTACTCGCCAATCTTCCAGAGGGTAGTACGGGCGGCAAGGGTGCTGGCGATGTTGGCAGTGGTGGTCTTGCCAGCGGAGACGGTGACGGAGCTGGTGGCAACCTTGAACTCGGTCTGGTAGAGGACCATGGTGTAGGTGCCGGGCTTCATCAGGGGGGAGGTGAAGGCGCCGGTGGACGAGGCGTAGGTCCAGTACTGGGCGTTGGCGTTGTACCAGTGAACGACACGCTGGAAGCTGCTGCCGGTGATGCCAGAAGCAGTGCCGGAGACGGTGCCACGGCCAGAGGCAGCAACGTAACCCTTGAGGCTGAGCTCGCTAAAGAAGTCGTAGTTGAAGTCGGTGTTCTTAGGGATGCCGGAGCGGGAGAAGGACTGGACGTAAGGGCCGTGCAGACCCATGCGGTAGGCCTCGGTCTGGGCGTGGTTGCTGTTCATGTAGTTGTATAGGTTGGTGGAGTCGCCGGCGTTGTTGGTATTGATATCGCGGAAGAAGGGGCCGCCGGAGGACAGCTCGAAGCCGGTCTTGGGCTCGACGGAAACGCAGACGTGGATCTCCTCAGGGCTGGTGCCGTAGACACAGCGGACCTTGTCATCGATGAAGCGCTCGCTGGAGTAGAACTTGGATCGGGTCTGGCCACTGACAACGAAGACATCGGAGCCCTCGACGGTGGAGCTGGAGCCGGCCGTGGTGGAAACGACGCCGAAGGGGTATTCGCTGGGGAGGGTGTCCTTGTTCAGACGCGAGATCCAGCGGAGCTCGCCAATGTCGGGCTCGGCGGTGATGTAGGTGGCCATGTAGATGTTGGCCTCGCCCTCCTTGACAATGAGGTAGTGCGTAAGAGTCGAGGTGGTGCAGGTCACCTTGATGACCTTCCCAGTGCTGGCTGTGATAGTGGTGGCCTCAACGGTGGCAGTTCCGAGACCAGAGCTAATGTGGCTGCCCTTGCTGGCATACTGGAGCTCATTGCCGCGGTACTTGATAGAGTTGATATCGCAGCTGGACTTTGAAACTTGGAAGACGAGGGTGTTGGATGAGCCGGCATCGACAACGAAGTTGCTGCCCGAAGTGGTGACGCCGAAGGCGGCCAAAGCAGAGGAGGCGAAGGAAAGGATGGTGAAGAAGAAAATCTGAAGAAGAGTGTTGAACGCCATTTTGGCTGTAAAGGGGTTGCCCTTGCCTGGCGAACTAGAGAGAGTGAGAGGACGAAGTTGGAATAAGGTCAAACGGCAACAGAGCAAGAGAGCCGCCTCGTAGGTTTCTAGAATCAGGGTGATCGAGTTCGTTATAAAGTCAAGAGCATCTTGTCGAGACTTGGCACTTGGCACCCGACCAGTGCAAATCTTGGGAGGTCAGGACAATTCCTCGCCATACTCAGCGCTGAAGGCCCCTTGATCTCTTTCGCGGGATTCCAACTTCCAAGGGCGGGCATCCGCCGGAGAGGTTACCTCTTGCAAGGGACCGTGATAAATTGCAAGAGCCTGTTGATTGGCGGAATGATTGTTTCATGGGCCGGCGACAAGGGCTTCCTCGCCGTGGCTGCGCGAGATAGATCACGAAGGGTGAAGCGGAAAGGGTGAGGAACAGGGCTTGAGGTACCAGGGGTTGCCCAAGTCCCGCTCCGGACGGGTGGAGGAACAGCAGGGAAAGGGCATGATTGATGGGAATTCGGGACGACTTGGCAGGAACCCGCTGCAGCCGTGTGCCGTAGGGTTTACATAAGAACGTTGTATCTGATCATTGCTCGATTGGATGGCTGATCTGGAAATAAGCATTCGAGGTTGCAGTGGCATTTGCAACTACGAAGTAATAGCTGCTCGCCCTCGCAATAATGATGGCACGGAGAAAGTGACGATTGCGGGGAAGTTCATCACTACTTCAGAGCTCAAGGAAGCTTAGTCGAAGCTAACGGCAGACTGTTCGACCGAGGGGGGATCAGCTCAGGGTACTTTGGTGCTGACACGTAACCTTTGTTTGGATCACATCTACTTACTCATCTGGCAGGTTGCTGGCGGATTGTCTCCTCGGTCATATTTATTGTCAAGATGAGGGGATGACCAGTTGAGGAGATGGAGGGTCGACGGTGAGATTGGTCCGCTGGACAAAAGGAGACGTTGCCGGGGCCGTCCGCTGCAAGATGCCCGAGTAAGCCGGGGATGAGGAAGAATGTTCAGACGAACAGCAGCCCTCTTGCCATTGACATGAGAATAAATGACCAGACGAACGAGCAGCGGGCAAGGCGCTGTAAGTCCCGGAATCTCGGGGCATTCTACGGTCTACCCCAGATTCGCACCGGCACAACGTGCAGCTAAACTGTTGACTCGGTGCTGCAGAGACGGCAGATGAAATGCGGAGACTTGACCTCGGGTTATGATTGCTGCTCAGCTCTGAGCAATTTTGAGTTTTGTAGACATGTAGTTGCATGAAGCTTAAAAGATTGACGAGGCGGCAGACCGGCATGGAAGCTCGTATATGAGGTGCAAAGACGCGCAATCCATGCTTGGTTCATGAGATTGTTGATTTTGAGATTTTTAACGTACAGATACGGATGCTCAGCACCCATCTCGCCTTCGCAAGGTTCTGACGGCGACAGTGAGCCGAAATACACAGTGAGCCATATGAAACTAGACGGGGACCCCTTATTCCGCAGTCTCGGGTACCATGCCCTGTATCTGTAGTAGACGTTGTTTCCTATTAGTCAACATTCAACAGAGTCGGTATCCTTCCTCCGTACTCGGCAGAGGCAGGCCCAATGTCCGCTTTTTCGTCCGGGGTTCTCAGGGGAGAGCTAATCGACAAAGTGGACATCGTGGGTTGAAAATCGCCGTGTCGACGCAAGGACCTCTTGGCTCTGTTCGGAAGGTGGGCAGCAGTGGTCCCATGGAGTTCAAGATGAATCGGGCATGGAAGTCGGAGTATTTGGGGGGCTCAACGAAGTTGACAAACTCCCCGGTCCATCCATCCTCATCTACACAGGGTGGGCAGACAAAAGGAGGGCAGAAATGAGATGAACGGACGAGGAACACGGTTGAAAAGGGGAATTGCTCCAAGAAATCCAGGACGCCTGCAGGGGAGCAGACGCCCCACTGCCGAGCCTCCGTGCTCATCTGATATCACGTGGAGGCAAGGGTCGATGGCGAGATACGTACCCTTGGCAAACTAGGGTTTCCACTAAGCTTAATTCGTCCAAATGTTTGTGGCGCTCCTATCAGATCCACCAAATCGCATATCGCATCATCTGAGCCACTTTATATAACAGCCTTTCGCGTCTTTGGGACTAGCCTCTCCACTGAGCCGAGTACGTACCTGACTGTCTCTAGCCACGGACTCGACGTTCCGCTCATCGGCCATCCCCCGACAGGAAGACAACCCACAAACTCATCCATCCACCCTTTGTAGTCGCCTTTGCATCGCAACAACAGATGCTGTGAAGGTCTGGGTTGAATGTTTGTCAAGCAGCATATGTCCTCGGCGGCCGTTACCTGTAAAGTCTAGGCTGACACAGTCACCTTGCACGAGCCACAGCCGTCACGCTTACTCATCGGCACACGCTACCTATCCAGACCCGTTCACAAGTGCCAGCACTCACTCTTAACCCCTTGGTTCCTTGCCGACATTCTCTTCTTATGTACTCCGTAGGGATGTCATAAACTACTTTTTTCGCCGCAAATTAACTCACGGTCTGGCACTCGAGACTCGCATAGAGTGACCCAATATCTTTGATGCCGAATAGATTGAGAAATAAACCTTTCTTCACGCCTCATTTCACATCTCGAAATGTGTGTTGGTCGCCACCAAGATCTCCGACAGACGGGCCGCGGCTGACAAGTGCTTGTCATTCATAAGCATCAAAGATGACAGCCTTTACCACCTGATGATCCTGACTCAAGCCGGGCCTGCTCGGTGAGACGGTGAGACCAAGGTGCTTCGGCTGGGTCGGGGCTTCTCAAAAACTCTATCAGATATTGGTTCCCGGTCTAGCGACAATTGTCGTATTCGTATGGATAGACTCGCTCAATACTAGGGTTAGTGAGCTTTTCTTCTTTTTCTATTCGGAAACTCCACTCCGTAGTTTCGATCACTCCTTCTCCAGCCCAAACCCACACCACCTTCCCTCTCGACCAAAGTCTGTCATTGCATTTAGTGCCTCGGTCCGAAATCGTAGTTCGTGGCTCCCTCAAATCTTAGAATCGTAATTTGAGGACTCAGGAATGTCTTCTTGGAGCTATGTAGATTGCGTGAGTACGTTATCCCCCGCACCGGCAAATGACACTTCCGTGGATCTCTCTTGTTGACTTGGATGCACTGGCTTCGTCTGCCCAATATGTGGGAACGTCTTAGGAGTTGGTCAGTATCATGCGCTGCATCCTTAATAGCAAAGAGTGAAGCCGCGCATCGACATTGCACAAGAGGTGATTATGGACAGCTTGGTAACCTACACGTGTTGTTGCGGCCGCTCCTGTCTTTGGGATCATCTTTTGAGGTTGTGATTAGCGTTAAGCGAAGCTACCGGCTATCGTTCTATACATCCCGGACATTATGCCCAAGCCCGTTTGATTACTTTCAAGACGTCTGACACGGCTTCAGGATGCAGAGCATCCGCATAGTCCTGTCGCCACCTCTAACGACAAGAGGATAGCTTCACACAAGTCGTGTGGTGAAAACCAGTGTAATTGGTCCTCGGGCAAATACATCCAGCCTCCTCACCCTAATCTCATCCGTTCTTGGCCGTTTTGACCTTTGGTTTCCGTACAGCATGCATAGTTAGTTGCCCTCAACGTCCTTGGTAAAAACATCGCAGTATTTCTCGATTGGCATCTCGCTAGGTAGCAGAGATCGATTCTCCTGCTTCTCTCCCACCGTAGACCGTCTATAACAAGTAGGTTCAGTGAATAATGCGTCGTGTCAGTCGATCGACAGGAGTAAGAGTGCGTAGTGTTTTGCCAAGCGAACGCAGTGAGACCGGTCTTGAACACGATGTTGCATATCTAGATGGTTTCATTGACTTATTCATACTCTCCCCCGCGGAAAGGGAGGTAAATTCTGTTGAATGGTGAGCGGCTTTCAAATTAGGCCAGAGGCATCCCCGGCACATCACTTAGTGTTCATTGATTTACAGGTCCATGGACGAAGACGTCGTGAATTCCTTTATCGAGCATGCGTGACCTGACTATCTCTACTCTCTAATACAATAATCTGAGAGCATGTTTGATTCATATAAAAAGGGACTAGTCCTCGTTGAAATACAACGAACTGAAAGCTAGCCATGATTGTGACAAATCCACAGAATTGCCGACCTACCCATGTCGAAGACCCAAACACAAGCTAATCTCACCTATTGACTCTTCGGGGTCCCGGAACCATGGGCTAGGCATAGGCTTATTGGACTATTGTGCTAGTGGCCTGTAACTGAGGGGTTCAAATGGACTTGCGGGAGCTAGCATGGCTGTGGAAGTTTGTTCCTCTCCCAGTTGGCTCGAATCTCAGGTTTTGCTGAACTTCAATGCCGCTCTGCCGTCAGGCAATGACGTCTGGTCGAGTGTTTTGAATGCCTATTACGAACAGCATGCAGTACGAACGTCTCCGGAATGTAGAATTGGGTAATGTCTTGTAAATGGATGAGTTTGGAGGGTGGCCTAACGAAAGCGGGTTAAGGAATGCAAGATTAGGTTGCCGTGACAGTGCTAATAGAAAGAAGATGTCGAGCAATACAAGGGAGCTAACCACTGCCCCTGGAGTCAAGACCTATCTCCCACAAGTCGGGACGCAATTTTTCCGTCCAATTTTTATGTTGCTCCGTCTCCCGCCTGGCTAGATGGCATTTTGCTGATCAACTGAGGGAACAGGTACCGGCAACGAACTGATCCGAAGGTCAGCTCAACCATGATGGAGAACATGTAAACTCTGATGGGACGTGTTCGTCAGATCATTGCCTTTGTTGACATGCCACGTAGGGATCTCAGTAACGTGGAACACTGGGTAAGACAACGGTCTGGCGGCTTCCTTGACGCTCCCGGCCCTCGGGATCCGGATCGTTGGCTTAGACTATCCGGACAGCTAGAACCCGGGGCTTTAACGGCTTCAACCATCCAATGAGAAAAGACCTAATTCCGTAGATGTAAGCTGCTATCCCGACGTGGACATTGTTTCCCCCGGATCTGGGCTGGCCCGGCGCTAGTGCCTGGCAGTCTACTAGCTCTAAACTCTTGGTCGCAGCTAGTGCCAAGGCTTGACGAGACCATCATTTCCCAACTGGTGTCATTTGACTGACATTCTTTCAGAGCCAATTGACAGGAACGTCAGCTATGCTGCCGATGGATGACGATGAGGGAAGTCGGCTGTCTTTCAACTTTGCTCACTTTCGCACTTATAACTTGAGCATCGCTCTCCGTTGATACGACCCAAATCCATTCGCCACGTTGTTTCCGATATTCCATACCAGTCAGTCAATAATCAGGCCGTATCATTTAGTTACCATGTACTGCAAAAACATCGCAATCGCTCTGGCTGTGGCCACCGGCGTCATTGCCCAGCGCCCTACCGACACGCCCATCTGCGATTACTACACAACGGCGCTGTTGAAGAACAACACTGGCGCAAACCAGTACACGCTGCTCACGCTCTTGGTTAACACTGTCGTTATTGGAAACTGTAAGACACGTCGCATTGTTTCCTGGAGGAAACCACCACTGACACAATTCAATTAGACACAATGCCGAACGTCGGTATCAAGGTCGATGGTATCCTGGCACCTGGCATGTACAACGGTACCGAGGTCAACCTACTCCCTTACTTCAACGGGGACTTGGCTTCGTCAAACCGAGGTGGCAGTTCCGGCGTGTCAGTCAACTTCCTGGATGGCGGCGGCGCTGCGCCTTTGATGAAGAACATGCCCGCCAACGATGACACATCCAAGCAATAGTGAGTCTATCCCACTCAGGCCTAGTAACGAATACAACAAAAGCTAACCTAACCATTCACTCAGCTTCCTCTTGACCCATCTGTACCAATTCTTCGGTGCCCTCCTCGGCTGTTCTCAATACGGCATGACAGGCTTCCCCAAGTACAGCGGCTTTGCTTCCATGTACGAGGTACACAAGTTCATGGACTTGGACGAGAACGAGCTGGGTTACTTCATCACCCAGGTTGCCATGGCTGCTGCCTCTTTTGGTGTCGCTCAAGATGACCTCAAGGCAGTCGGTATGGCTTTGAACCAACTCTTCGGCATGCGCTGCAGCCAGCCTGCCACCGCCATCCCGGAGCAGGGCCCTCAGCTGCAGGCCATCTGCATCGAAGATAGCTGCCCCATCTCTGCCAACTCTACCTGTGCCAGCTACCAACCCGCCATGGCCCCGAAGAATGCAACTGCGACAGGAGGCATGAATGCCACCATGACTGCTACCATGACAGGAGCTACGATGACCTCAACAATGACTCCAAGCACGGTTCCAACGGCAGGTGCCGCTGTTCAGGGCGTCAGCTTGACTCTCATCGCCGGGCTGCTGGCCTGCCTCGTTTGAGGTCAATAACCGCAGGGAGGACCAAACCTCAGGAAAGGATGAATGCAGTGGGGAAAGGGGAGAATAGCAGATACCAAAGAGAGAATCTGACAGGATTTGTCTTCGCTTATTCAATTGACCTAATTTTGAACCTTACACATCCGGGCTGAAAACTACCCTCGATTGTGAGATAGCCTGAAGGCGTTGTGATATGGTTCTAATTTGCAAATGCGACATTGATCTTGTGTGGCTACGCTTGCGTACGTTAGCCCTAGATTCTATGACCTCCATACCAGTACTTGTATTCACGCCTGTGCCATATCTCAATGAACGGTCCCGCTCTCACAGACATCCGAGGTTTGTCAACATACCTTAGGCAATGAGTGACTTTTCCCTGCATCCGTAGTGGTGAAGCGGAAGGGCCATCTTGTCGAAGGGGGGTCATATCAGTAACCAGTCGGAATTCACGAGATGGCTGCGATTACTTTAAGGTGTTGATAGGGAGGCTTCAAAGGCGCATCACCGAAGGAAGGTTCTCTGATCATCTTGTTAGTAAGGTAGCCGATATCATGGGTACTCATATGCCAAAGGGCATCCTTACAGTGCAGAAGCACCTCCTATTTTGTACTGTCCCAATCATGCTTCAAAACACGATGGCAGGGGTCATGCAGTCCAACGTATGACGCGAAGAGTTCCACTGATGATTGATTGTGGCGAGTGCTCAACATTCTGAAGATCATGAATGATGTTTCGTGATTCAGTGAAAACAAGGTTGCAGGAATGCCCGCCATAATAGAACCAGTACATGACGCCAGAGACATACCACGACCCCAATATTCTCCAGCTTAACATGCAGTCGTGAGACAACAGCAAAGGACTGACTTTTCAGTTTCTAATTCTGTGGCCGGAGATCGCCTGCTGATTATTGCACTTCAAAGATAGAGTTATTGATTTTCATTGCTACCATTCTAAGCGCGTAGAGGCCAGGGTTGCAAAAAGCCTGTATAACTCTTCCGCTCTGAACAGTCGAGACTCGGCTTTGAGTGAAGGCAAGGATAAAGTACGATTTCAGCCACATGATGTACCTTGGACTTGTCTAGGTCTGTCCATATTAAAACCTTCTCCTCTGACATGGCAAACATTACATGTACCACCCAATTTATGCCGTGTTACTTTTCCCAAATGAATCGACCAGGATTAATCATCGAGTCAAGAAAGAAATCTGCTCACGCGGTATATGGTATCCCCGCTGGTTTCCAACAGCCAGCAGGAAACAGAGACACACATGTTATCAATCTGCGCCTGTGTACAAAGCAATCATCTTACCCTGTTTAATTGAATTCGTATTGAAAGGTACATATTCAGCAAGCATTTCAGTCATTCGTGTGGCTGCAGTCATATCCTTGAAACGAACAGAAGGAAATGCCGCTGCAGGCAGGCATTTGAGAATGACGCAAACATTGCCTAAAGCCACGGCTGTGACAAATCTATTCATCGGCTTAGGCGAAATTGGGCAACCTGCATAAGGTATCAATGAAACAAGTGCAATGTTCTTCACACAAAAGTCATGATACCAAAAGTCACCAACTTGAGGTTGCACCCATTTAGGAGAACGGGTTCCATCAATGTCAATGTCCCACGGCGCCAGTCACAACGATGCTGTCTCAACAAAAGAAAAGCGGGTGGACAGAAGAACTGTTCATGCGGTGGTGGTGGTGACCTCGGTATGCTTGTCAACTGCTGGCATATCTTGTAGGTGGTGGTGTTTCGTTTCGGGATGAGAGGTGAAATGTTAATATAAAAGGGATGGTTCGGCATCCCAATACGGAGAATTTCGGAATACAATTCACCTTCAGAGCCAAATCAAAGTACGTTCTGATCTATCATCACAAAAGCTTGAGTTTCAACTCGAAAATACGATTTCCATCATGTCTGCTAAAGGCCCAAAACAAGACAGCACCCAGGGTGGCGGTGGTGGCGACGATGGCAAAGACCCAAAACGCCCTAACAACAATACAAAGCTACCTGCTGATGCTCCCGACTTTCTGACTGGTTTCAAAATTGCGCCGCCTCGAACGGAGGAAGAACAAGAGGCAAGCGAAAAAACAACCAAATGGTTGCAGGATAAAGACGACCAGCCGCTGGACTTGGGCTACACTTTCAGTTCCAAGCGGCCTCCCCTAAGCAGCGATGACGGAAGCGATGATGGAAGCGGAACCGAGAAAAGCTCTTCTCCTTCTACCAAAGACCGCAAGGACGAAACAGAAAAGGCAGGCAAGAAGAGAAGCCTCAGTACTTCGGCCAAGAATGGGGCGAGCAAAGCAGGCGGCAAGTGATCTCCCTCTGCCCCGTCTCAATCTCAGTGAGAAGAGCAGCACTGGGTAGAATGGTGGCGTGAACAAACCCTTCTTTCTCAAAAGGCTGAAGTGCCAACAACAGCGTCTATTGCATTCAGCATCCATGCTTTTTGATGGCTTCGTTTGTAGGCGATTTGTTAGGTACTGAGAGTCGCGTCATGGCATCGGGAGACTAAAGTTTAGTTGTCGCTCGCAAATAAAACTAGCAACGCAATGCACGGAGTCCGATGTGAACAATTGACGAAATTGGCTCAAGCTGTATGCCCTTGTAGGTATCCCTATCATAGGGTAGTTGGTTCGAACCGTGGGTTGACGAAGAGGTCAAATTGATTTACTGCGTATACTAACTTCTGCGTAAGGGTGTAAAAGGGAGGTTCCAACCGGAGGTTGGGCAGGCCGCGATTCTCGTAAGTATGGGGCGGATCCTTGCCCCGAGTTCGAATTGGACTTCCAATCCGACAGCCCTTCTGGTTATTGGACGCTATGAAACTTTGGTCATTGTGTAGCTACTAGTTGAAGTAGGCATGGCTCAGTGTCACGAGTTATGGCACACAGCAATGGGCATATGAAGTGGGTTAAAGTGGCTTGAAGTAACCCATCTGCAATGAGCACATGAGAGCAGTCTATATACTAAGTAAATGTGATATCCACGTGAGAAAGCACGTGGCAAGATGCTCGACAAGTGCTGATACCATTCCTGTTTCGTGACACTCAGGCTCTGGAGTTATCTTGAAAGCATCCTCCTCATCAGAATACCTATACGAAAGGGACACGTACCCATTTCGACAAGCGTGGGTAGCCATTTTACATCGGCTAGGGAAAATGGCGAGATATCACTTATTAGTTACTGCCACACAATTGCTTTGCGCTGAGTTTCCTAACACTGACTACAGTGACACACCGACTACAGTGACACAGTCGGCGTCCAGGACAGAAATCTTATCCCATCTTTGAGAACTACCTTACGTTGCTTGGTGAAAGATGGGTTGGTCTAGCTTCTTGTGCGAGACGAGGAAGAAAAACAGCAACTCCGCATTTGATTGGCCTAGCTGCCTCTTGCTTGAAGTCTAAAGACCTACAAGTTGGTCAGTATTCTGATGCTTCCCAGTTCCTCACAGAAAAGATACCGCTCATGGCCACCTCGACAAGATAATTCACGAAAAAAAGACACAACGTTCTCTGGCCAAAACCAAAACCATATGTTTGTGACACACACAGATGCCTATTAATTCCATTGAAGCTATGTTCCCCGCTTGTCGTCCCCGCTTCTGCCCGTGGGGCGCTTCCTAGGTTGACTTCTCGCGACGCTGGACATCAAGGACCGCTGGCGCAACGGTAGCGCGTTCGACTCCAGCTTTGGTTCATCGAAAGGTTATCCGTTCAAATCGGGTGTGGTTCAATGCCTAAGTCTCCTTGGACATCTTTGAAGTTAGTCACAACGTTCTGGGCTAACATTTTTGTGTTTGGATGGTGTTGGGAAGATTTTTGTCTTGGGACGGTAAAGAAGAGCACGATCGCGTGCGCTCTTGCCATTGGAACGTAAAGGTGGGTCTAGAATAACAGTCTGCCACACCTGGCAGCCGGCAGCCCCTTAGTTTTTCGGGAAATCGCAGAAAATCGACCTTAGAAGCCCAACATTTTCTTAGAGGTGTTTGGGTTGCTAAGGCTCAACTAGCAACACGCTCCACTTGTCAAAACGGTACGGAATGCAGCTCAGGCGATCTATTATGCGCTCTGAAGTTGTTCAGGTTTCATACGACACAAAGTGGTGGCATTATCTACCATGAAGTGGAGGCTTCAGCGATGAGCATACCATGTCATTGTCTCCTACAAGCCGGGCGCTAGAAACTCTTGCTTCCGTTGTTTTAAGGCAACGCATTTCTCCAATCGTTTAACATCAAGATATATAGAATGATCAATGAATAAATAGAGTGGTCAATATGATTGGAGCTAAGTTGCGAGGATCCCCAAATGCAATGGTACAAACGCTCAATCCGCTGAGCCCTGATGAACGCTAACACAAGACAGGATATTATAATGTCATAACTCATCCTCATTCCTCCCATATCCTCTGCCTCAATCAACGAGTGAGCTTCTTAGCTTCCTTCTCGTCGTCGTACGCAAGCCCGGAATAATCAGGAAGCTGCCAGCCTGGCACATCATCTGATTGGAGTCGCTGGAGAATCTTGTCGATTCTCAAAGTTGACACTAGCCACAAGATCGTGTAGAGAATGGAAATAACCCAGGCCGAGTTGGGATAGATCCAGGACGGCTTGAACCCAATGTCTTGAACTTCCTTCATGAGCTCTAAAATCTCCTTGTTGTATGACTCGAGGGCGGCAGGAATACCGTCGGCCGCCTTGCCCGGAGATCCCGAGCAGTGTTTTGAAATCTCTCCAGCGAGCACATAGGCACCGATGAACGCGCATGTGGTGCCACGGCCGGTCAAGACACTGGGTGCGTATCCCGCATCTCCAAGAAGGGCCACGCGGTTCTTGTAGCACTTGCCCATGCGTATCTGGCCAATTTCGACACAGTAAAAGTCGTTGGAGACACCGTCTTCGTTGAGCGCATCGCAGAAGCGGTCTGCTTGCCATCCGGCGTCCTTGAAGAGCTCTGACCAAACCTGCTTCTGTCGCACAAGATCGCGGCTCCTCTCTGTTTCGATAAGAAGCTTCTCCGTCTCCTTATTTGGCGGACACATGGCGAGATATGCCTGAGTCGTTTCAGGGTTGTCGTTTCTGGAAAAAAGCACCCGCTTCTTGGGACACACACAGACCGTGGCGTAGTTGTCATCCGTCTTCCACTTCGGGACAGTGTAAAAGGCCATATGCACGCCAAGAGGATAGAACGGGTCCTTCTCGCCGGGGCTAAGCATGAGTCGTCTCGTCTTGGATCCCTGACCATCGGCTCCGACAAGTAGGTCGAATGTGTCCGTGGTTCCGTCTGACAGGTGGACCGTCACCGAATCTGCATTCTGTTCGAACGACTCCACCTTGACACCAAAAATGTACTTCACTCCAAGTGCTGTCGTCTTGTCAAAGAGGAGCCGAACCAGATCGCCGCGCATGATCTCAAATTCCGACGTGAAGCCCTGCTTGCCAACGCCGGACTTATTAGCTTCAAAGGTTGCCTGCGTCTTCCCTTTGCCGTTGACGAATCTGACGCCAGCTTCATTGACAACTTTTTCGCGAATGAGACCTTCGAGTCCCATGCGCCGCACAACAGTAACTCCTTGGCCTCGAAGGTCGATTTGTTGGCCCTGAACACGAAGAGAAGGGGATCTCTCGAGGATGGTTACATCGTGGCCGAGCTTCGCCAACCAAAACGCAAGGGCCGGCCCGCCAATGCCTCCACCTGAGATGAGAACTTTGAGGGAAGACATGTGATTGGAAGTGATGCGTTGTACAATAGATTGGTGTATTGATAAGAGCAATTGGAAACTGTGTTGCTTGGTAAAGCGTTGTTCCTACTAGACAGGCCTGCTGGGTGATGAAGGGTATCTATAGCGTAGTATATGAATTGAAACGTTGTGCTCGATACGCGTCGCGATGTACACGGCCATGGCATCTCGATGGGCGCGACAACTCGGCGATGGGTGTGGCCCGCAAGCCGACATCCATTTCGGGCTTTACGAGAGCGCTGTGGCATTTGTGACGTCAAGACTACGAGCCGATTCCCGTGTGGCGGTGGTCGCACCAGCCAGTCTTTGGCTTCTATTGGTTGCTCCGAGTCAAGCGAGCCGCTTGTGAGCATGAGGAGAATTAGCTGTGAAACACTTCGGACTATTCAAGAAATCACCGGTTCGGTCCTCTTAAGACCTTCGGCCTTCGGACAGCTGAAAGGCTCACTAGCCGCAACGGTCCTACCGTACTGCCGCGTATTCGCTGATGCTAGTGATCAAGGGCGGGCTACGGTTGTCTCACTCGGCCTAATACAGTATTTTAAGACCCGTTCCGTACCTGTGAACATGACAAGACATAATGCCCTGTCGGTCTTGGGCAGGCCGACAAGATCTGTAGAAGCAGGGGCTAACTGAAGTTTGTCACTGGCCCACAAAATAGTCACTAGATAGTGATGAACAACCAAAGCCGACGATGACCATCTCGTGGGTCACACCAACGACATGAAAGTATTGCGTTACAGGATTTTTGCAAAACCAAAGTAGGGAAAGAGCTTGTAAAGGCTTGATAGGAGATTGGCCCATGGAGGCAAACCTGATTTTGTGCTTTCAATTCATGCCAAAGGCGTAATCTATGACACAGGCCCCAAGTCTCGTCTCAGTAGGAAGATGATGTGCCTAGATCCCCGAATTTCCACACAGACGGCATCGATCCTTGTTGCAGCTCTTCAGAAGGCCCCGCAGCGCAACAATAGAGCATTTGAGTCTCACTGAGATACTCAAAACCTCCAGCGAAAAATTCGAAAGATGTCCTGGCTACGCCGTCTGGGGGATACTACTCAGACTTAGCAGGGGGCGTTGGCAGTACTACTGCACTATCAAGACCACAACATCCATCACTCCCTGTTTATGACGAGGCATGAAGAAAATAACTAGACAAGGCCGGGAGGTTGCAGTGCTTCTTACACTTTATTCATGACCTTTGAAAACAATCTGCGACCACATGAGTTGTCTGGTGTGACGACCTCTCTCACCTGTGGACGCACAACTGTTACAGCCACGGTCAGATCGTCAATTACCTAGGATCTTGTGATGCACAGTAGGTCAATCGGCTTCTACGGGTAAGAAGAGGTCTAGTCAGTTGGAGGGTTGGCTGGCAATGGTACACAGTCAACATAGCCGGGATACAGAGCCAAGTTTGAAGTGCTTGACACCACGCTTCTTTGAAGCAGGGGAGGGTCAACTTTTGCCCCTAAAGAACATTTGTTTGGCTTTCTTTTGGTCGTTTTGTTGTCGTGGAAATTCCGAAGAAAGCGAGAAGTATGGGTGCAGTGATACTTGTAGGTAGGAGTTGGTGAAGAGTTCTGAAGTCAGCGCTTGGCTTGATATGTTGTTGATAATAGTTGATTATCTACTCGCTGTCAGTATAGGAAAGTTGTCTGAACTCATGTTGCTTCCGAAACGTACTCAGTACGTACTTAGTATGCTAGGTATTCCGTTTAGTCATGAAATATCCTTATATATTTAAGGAACGCAGTTTCTACGCCCAAGGAATGGGTAGATGGAATTGTATGCGCGAAATATCAGAGCGCAGGTTGATCACTGATCAGTTACCGAAGAAGACAGGCTCACGCCCTCGAAACACTCTAATGTTGAATACATGTAACCACCTCACCACAAGTTTCCTCTATTAGGCATAGAGAAAAGCCGAAAACAGCAGAGTTGATGCCAGTGTAATTTGAGGAAGCGAGATGTGGAAAGCGAGAGGCCAAGGCGAGAGTGAAGAGACGCCGAAGGAATGCGGAACTTTGAGGGCGACGGCTTAGACTCTTCTGACTTCAGATATGAACCAGAGATACAGTCTATTATGGCATGACAGATGATTCCAATCATCTGTCTCGGCGCTTCCAATAGCAATCCCGCGTGCCCAGCGAGACGGATCGGAGCGAGAAGCTTCTCAGCCCGACTTTTACACAAGGCAAGCATGCATGTGACATTGGCTCGGCGAGTGACGTCTTTTGTCACAAATCACGGCACACAGCAATGGGCAAATAAAATGGAATCGAGGTGCTTTTATTAACTATCAAGTGGATGGTAAAAGGGATGAGCGCATATACTGAGCGAAAGTAAGGTCCGCGTGGACATGAAGGGCAAGTTATAACCAGAGCATGAGCTCCATGGCCAGCTTAGCCGCGATTTCGTATGGCGTTTCGGTGGCTGACTCGATGTAGTTGACGGCCGAGTCGGTGAATTGAACCTCTTCGGGGACAATGATGTCTTTGCTGCGATCAGCACGTTCATCGGCATTCCCTTCAACATCAAGAAGGGCTGCGAAGGTTTGCTCAGCATCAGCAGAGTTAAGTTCGAATTCCCGGTCAAAGTTAACGGTGTCCAAGTCCACGACATTGTCGTCGAGGTCATGCTCAGCGTGAGACTCGACAAGACCCCTCTTGAACATAGTTGCTTGACTTAGAAGTTCCACCTTTAGTATGACACGTCCAGCTTGTGCCTGCTGCTTTTGATGGAGTCATATCATCTCTGTGCGCATGACGAGGAATGCCTTGCGACGAAGCACGCGATCACGGTTCTTCTTTTCTTCTTGGGTGAACAGAGCATATCGGGAATCGGCGCGTATGTATTGCCGGAAGAGCGCATTCAACTCTGGTCCATACGTCTCGAGAATTCTCCTAGCAGGAAGTTCGTCTAGCGGGACCCCAGACGTGATCTCAAGTTGCGAGAACTCCTTAGCCTTGCTGCTCCTGGTCTCTTCACCAAGGGTGATGTTTGACGCGTCGGTCAAGGGAGTACGGTCGATGAAGAAGCGCCCGAGGATCAGCGAATCTGGTTCGTGCGACATGAGCATTCGAGCGTGATCATCCCCCAGAGCTTTGACATATGTCGCTGCGGTGAGGCGACGGATATTGCAGGACGTCAGCTGTCCTGGCCATCCCACCCGCTCTCCGCGAAGTTCAATCCACTTGGTCAGAGAAGCGGCCGGCATGGGACTATGGTCGTCATTGAGGCCCGAGTCATCCGCATTCCCCACAAGAAGAACAGGCTTATGGAGAAATTCGGCCTTGATAGGGATTCGGTCCAGCTCAGAATCGAAAAGGTCGTCGATTGTCGAAAGCCCGTCAAACACTCCCCGTCGAAGACCAATGACTAGCAGACGGTGCGGAGCTGAGAGTGTCAAATTGGCCTGCTGCTGGGGGGATTTAATGTGGAAGTTCATTGTCTGCTTCTGATCTTCACTTTCAGTCTCTTTGTCCTCGTTGTCCTTGAGGTTGCGGATGGTCACAAGAAGAGTCCGCATCCCCTTCTGTTGCCCGCGAGAGAGACGACCATCTTCCTAGGCCAAGAAGGGCATTTCATCGATGGCATTGCCAGTCTTGACCTTTTCGTCAGCTGAGGGGCCCAAAGAGTCTGGGCGTAGAGCGCAAGCCCTTCCAAGGCAGATGGCGAAATAGTGTTGTTCTGAAAGCTCGATGCTCACTGTCTCTCGAAATTCCATGTCGATGAGCTGACGGATGTCATCCAGACCGATGCGGACCTGACCGCTTGGTCCAGAGTTGAGCCGGACGAGCTTCTTCTCGATTGCCAGTGTGCGTAGCATTTCCGTCATCTGCTTGAAAACATGGCGTGACGAAGGCGGCACGATGTCACGCCCGCCGTACTTCGGGACGACCCAAATTTGAAAGGCCTCACGGTACTGAATGAGTGTCGAGTAAGAAACCAGACTTTGCGTGTTGTAGCTGGGAATCTTGGACTCGGCAACAAAGGAGAGATAATGGCGAAAGAGTCGCCATAGGGAATCGAATCTGTCAGGCTGCTGCTCGCCTTCCAATGGTGACGGGAAGCGGAGCTCATCTAATTCCTTCTCGCCGATACCATCTGGCAGTTTCTTGAAGACGCGAACAAACGTGCCGTAGTCCTCGAGGATCCGGTCTTGTCGCTTCTGGGTCAAGACGCTCGCTTGACTGAAGCCCATTGAAGAATTGCCGGCTTCTCTCGCGTCCTGCATCAGCCGATCTAACTCGTTCACGCCGTCTGTCCCTGAGATCGTGGTGCGCAGGCGCTTGATCCAGGCTGCCTGGCTTTCGCCTCTCTCTCGGCGTCGTCCTGGGGCGGCATCCATGTTTGGTTGATGTGATCTGAAGAACTCTGTTAGATGAGAAACAATTGGATAAGATCGTATTTTGCTCACCTGGGATGACAACAGCCCGAATGCTCTTTCCGTGAGAAGCTGATTTGAGAGGTGGAAGGGAGGGGAGGAGGTCAAGGCGAGACGAAGGGAAGGATCGTGATGGAAGATGGGGAGACCGAGTAGCTAACAGACAAACACGGCAGGTAAGAAGGACTCAAACAGTCAATTTGAGCACCTTCCGTGGCAGAAGCGATATGTATTACCTCCGTTTGTTGGGTATTCATACTGCACCTACGACGTGGAGTATACACTAACGAATCGTTCTGTGATCTTGGAGGTTTCTCACGCTTCGTGGATGCTATTTGGCAACGGACCTACACTAACTCATTTCAAGAAAAAACTCATCAACCTACTGGAGATATCCTCTCGCCTTGAATGCCCGTTCAAGGATAGCACGAATGACGTTCTCTTTCCTAAAGTTATACTCCGACACAGTCTCACCTAGCGAGTTACTCACGCCTGCGGCCTCCATCTTGGTCTTCGCATACAGATCCCTGTCATCGTCATGTTCAATCAACCAATCCTTCATGATGAGATGCCTTGCCAACTCCGCGGTGCCGACCTTGAAGACATGCAAGTTGCAGGAGTACGGCCTGTGCATGGCGAAGAAGCGATGTTCGTTCCATTCAGGCTCGCGTATGAGGAATTGGAACCCCACCTTCTCAAGTGCTGGCGCGTAGGCGGCCTCATCTGTCGGATTCTCGACGGCGAGGTCAACGTCGATGACGTCCTTGGCGGGGAGATTGGGCACCGATGTTGAGCCGACATGGCTTATGCTGACGGCTACAGGGCCGATAGCGTTTTCTATGAGAGATTTGATCTCTTGGAACTGCCGTGGCCACTCGGGGTTCGGAGGCTCGATGGAAAGCGGAGGCTTGGATGTTCGCTTTGCGATGCGTTGGATGATTGAGGGATCAAATTCATAGTGTTTGACAATTTCTTCAATTGGGCAAGACATCGTAATGTCTTTTTGAATTATTAGGGACAGATGTACGATGGCACGCTGGATCAAAATGGCGCGTGTATGCTGTATAAAATGATTTCTAGATTTCTAGATTGAGTCTATCCGATGATGTGTCCCAAGTGCTGCTATGAAGTAGTCTAAATCGTCGCCAACCAATGTGTGTTTCAGGGACGGCGTGAGTCATTCGGCGATGGCGTGGCTTGCATCGGATGTACCTGCAGCATCTGACCCCAAGTCCTTTCAACTTACATGATGTTACCTGCCATGAGGGCCGAAGTATCTAGGGATCCTCCAGGTCGACAAACCGGTACGCCCAAAACGCGCACCAGATAAAGGTGATGCCGCACAAAAAAAAGCTGACGAGGTAGAACACGGCAGCCTGGTTCGGTCAGTGATGTTCATGATCAAGAGCGGACAGAGAGAAAGCAAACCTTGCTTGCCCCAACCCATCCCTGGCCGTCATACAACGGCGCGCAAACATAAACCGTCAACCCGCCGAGGAAGCAAATGGCCGAGTAGGCCATCAACATCATTGGCGCCTGCCACGTGAAAATCATGTTCCACCGAACCTCTACAAACGGCATCTCTTTTGGGATCCATCCTCCCTTCTTCTTGATCTTGATGGCACGGATCTGTGGGATGGGCGGTACCTCCTCGAGGGGAGAGTGCATGGGCTCGACGGCCCTGCTGCGACGGATGTAGAGGATCATGGCGAGGTCCTTATCGACGTTGCGCGGTGTTGGGGATCGGTGAAGCGTCTGAAAGATGAACTGCTCCGAAGCAGCGAGGAGGATAGCGAAGAGCGAGAAGGAAATGCTCGCGTGCCAAAAGGCTGGGCTAAGCCAGTGCAGTGAGTCGGGAGGCGGCCAGGAAAAGCAGCCGATGACGGCGGCTGAGATCAAGGTGCTCTGCAAGGGGTAAATATAGAATCGAGCAAAGTGAAGGTGTCGGAGACGTACAGCAACCTGAACGAGTTGAAACTCACTCAGCTTTCTATCTCGCCATCGCTTCAATTGTGCCGATATCTCCTCATCAGATTCACGATCTTCCACGGCCCTAGCGATGGCTAATATTGGTAGTAAGGTGTTTTGCTGATAAAACCGGTTGTATGGAAGGGTTAAAATGTCGGTGGCAATGTGTGCAATCTTGCTGCTCAGAGTCACAGCAATAATCTAGACGGCGTCAGTCCGAAAGAGTCACCATGCACGAAACAGGAGTGAACCGTACTGCAATTCTGAGACCACGGTCGCTCTTGGGCACGCCTGGCGCATTGCCTGGTCCCCTTTCCGAATCCATCTCTGTGTGTATATCTTGGTCATGATATTCATCTCTACTATAGGGGCCGAGCGACTTTATAAAGGTGGTATCTACGGTGTGCAGTAACCAGGCAGCTGGCTGGCAGGCCATGTGCGATATTTACACAAAGCAACGGATGACTGGCCGTCTTCTCGTGATCGCGTTGATCCCCCACACCAACAGGTGATGTTTCCCCTCAAAGACTCCAAGTCACCATGTCTTAGGTTAGCACCCTCGCGACCAGCGACCGAGGGTCAGCTTGGCGTCAACTGGCCAATCATAGTCTCGTCGTAGCTATAAAGTAAGGCGAAGTGAACATGTTTCATGCTCGTCAACCAGACCTTCGTAGGATGCAACGGAGGTTTGCACCCGCGTGGATGTGGCGGATGGAGAGCGAGGCCGCGCTAGCTCCCGCATGTATCTGAGTACGACCCATATTTGGGTGTGTGCAGGCTGATTTGAGGCGGCTCAGCCCTTCCTGATTTCAGCCTGGAACTTGCCAACCCACTGAGAAAACTCGTCGCTTTCACCAGTCCAAGGGGTCTTCAAAAGCTCCGAAAGCAAAACGATCTCATCGAAGCACAGATTCATTACTCGATCGATTTCGTCAGGTGAGAGTTCGTAGAATGCGCCGGCAAGCTCGTCGAACATGTGCGGAAGTTTCTTGAGGACGCGCATCGACTCGTCAAGGCGCTTGGGGATATCAGAAGTCTCGGCCGGGAGGGGGGGTAGTGTCTTGAGCCGTCGCTTTATGATGGCTTGGTAGAGCAGCGTTGTCAGCCGGACGCGCTTCAGACAAGACTCAAGACGCTCGCGGATCTTGTCGGGGTCGTCGCGAGGAATCGTCCCCTGGTTCGACATCATGTCGTCAATCATCTCCTGCGTCGAGGGCATCATGGAGCCCAGGGCTGAGTCGTGGTCCACCTCGTTCACGGCATCATCGTCTTCGTCATCGTCATCGTCGTCTTCGTCGTCTTCCGGCTCCTCATCACGCCACTCCTTGAGCTCCTCCATGACATCCTTTAGCGTCGCCCTGAACTCTTCAACCTTTTTGATGAAGCAGCCACCGATACCGCCGGTCGAGAACTGCACCAAATCGTCGCAGGCCGACCAAATGACACCGGTGGCGACCATGCTGCCATTGCCAGCTGTACCCGTGGAGCCTGACTTTTGCGCTGTTGACAGAATCTTGCCATCTCTGGGGATCTTTTCAACCAGACCCCGGAGCTCCTTTAGTACCGTGTAGCATTTCCAAGCCAAGTCCTTCCGCACAGTAGTCGTGTATCGGTCTGCATCACAAGCCTGGCCCGCAGTGGCGATACCGGGAATCGGGCCGCTAACGAGTTCCCGGAGGACTTTGATGATAGCTGAGGGTGTGAAGGGTTCGTTGATGATGAGGACGGAGATCTTGGTCGAGTGCGCTTTGATCAGCGAGGCTGAATCACGAGCGAGGGTGAAGGCATCGACGGAGGAGGTATCAGACCGCTGGAGGGTGTCTTTGCCACTGTTGATGTTCTGGAGGACAACCTCCAACTGCCGCATCAGGGCGATAGCTGTGTCTGACAGAGCATTCAGAGCTGCTGGCGTGGTGGAGGAGCTTGAAGAAGCCATGTCGGTGGGTGTGCTTGGATCGAAAATACGTTGCAGGATTGTGTAGTGGCCGAGACCAACTTTCGAGAATAGTTTGCTTCGATCTTCAAGACGGACTGCTGCGAAAATTCGAGGTGCCCAAAAATGCAGCAAAGTCGTTGTGCCCCGCGATGGAGGGGTATGTAGATACGTACCTTTCTTGGACAGATAGATACGTATCGCTCTTTCCCGGCTGTCAGTGCCCAGTGCTCCTCCCCCAAAGCTGTAACCTTCCGCCAATCCATCTGACGACAACCTCCAATCAAAGTCCACTGTGATGAGAGGTGGTGAGGCAAATGCTGAGATAAGATAAGATACACTTGCACGTGACTGCTCCTGCAGCTGCCTGTCGCCAGCTCCGACACCCCTGTCAGCCAAAACCCACCTAAAGCGTTTTGGGTGAGCTGGAAGTTCCACGAAGTAAGGTAGCCCCGTACCTTCCACTCCGTAAGGTACAATACCTCACCTTTCCAACCCTCCAGTCTGTCACTTTGGACTGAATCTGGATAGCTTCACGACTACGACAGATCCCACAACAACAATTGAGGCATACGAGTTGATGACCGTTTCGATATCCTGAACACCATCAAGATGCGTCAAAGCTACGGCATGGTGCTTTTGGGCACCTTTGTGTCTGCTGCCGCCCCCGTCGCTGCAGCTAGCTTGCCCAGAGGTGTTGGTCCTGAATGTGAGTATCAGTCGGCAGCCGGCCATCCAAGTCTTACCAAACCGGAGCATTTGAACCACTTCAACTACACACGAGAGCAAAGGCATTATCTCACTTTGTCTGCATTCTCCGCCTCTGTTGCCTGATCAATTGGCCCAAAGCTTTGTCTTGACACGATCTGTCACTAATATGATTCCTTGCAGTTGCCAAGTTCTTCGAGCTCAAGCCCTCCTTCAAATGCATAGGCCACTCCGAGATCAGAATTCGCTTCAGCCAGGTCAACGACAACAGCTGCGACTGTCCTGACGGTTCCGATGAGCCTGGCACCGCTGCCTGCGCGCACCTCGACCCCCTCTCCCCTCAACAGCCCTTCGCTGGCTCCTTGACGGGCACGACCAATACCTCCAATGCCCTCCCCGGCTTCTGGTGTGCCAATGAAGGTCATATTGGCGCCTACGTGCCTTTCATGTTCGTCAACGACGGCCACTGCGACTACGATGTCTGCTGCGATGGAAGCGAGGAGTATAGCAAGGTTGGAGGCCTCAAGTGCGCCAACAAGTGTGCCGAGATCGGCAAGGAGTACCGTCGCGTCGAGTCCGCGCGCAAGGACGCCATCGATAAGGCTGCTAAGAGACGCAAGACGATGGCCAAGGAGTCTAGAGAGCTCCGCCGCCGCGTCGAGGCCAAGGTGACCAGCCTGAAGGACGAGGTCACAGGTCTCGAGACCCGCAAGGAGGAATTGGAGCAGAAGCTGCACGAAATTGAGCGTTCTGAGAAGGGCAAGATTGTCAAGGGCGAGGGATCCGGCGGAAAGCTCGGCACCCTGCTCAACCTTGCCAAGACCCGTGTCACTGAGCTCCGTGAGACCCTTGAGGATGTCGTTGCCCACCGCGATGAGCTTCAAAGCAAGGTCAAGGAGCTCGAGGGCATTCTCAGCCGCTTCAAGGAGGAGCATAACCCCAATTTCAACGATGAGGGTGTCAAGCGAGCCGTCAAAGGCTGGGAGGACTACGCTGCCAACCTTGCCAACGACCCGCTGCCCGATGGTCTCGAGGCCGACATCAAGGAAGTCCTTGTTGAGGATGACGAGTCGTCAGGCATCAACTGGAAGGAGTTTGAGGAGGACGACGTCTCTGACACTGATATCCGTAAGCGGAGCCTCTGACCAACTTTCATAGCGAAGAAACATGGCTAACCCTGCCCAGTCTACAACTTCGAGGCCTACCTCCCCGAGGGTATCCGCGAGTTCATTCACGGCAAGCTCTTGTCCTTCAGAGTCTGGATGATTGAGAACGGCCTGGTTGCTGATAACAACAACGGCGGCGCCGAGTCTCGCCTAGTCAAGGCTGCCCGCGAGGCATTCAACTCCGCCAACAATGATCTGTCGGACAAGAAGCGCCAGCTGGAGACTGAGCAGAAGGATCTGGAGAAGGACTACGGCACCGATGACATTTTCCGGATTTTGAGGGACAAGTGCGTCAGCACCGAGATTGGCGAGTACGAGTACGAGCTCTGCTGGATGGACAAGACCAACCAGAAGTCGAAGAAGGGCGGCGGTCACACTAACATGGGTAACTTTGTCCGCATTGACAAGGAGATGGCGGACGACGAGGAGCGCGTCGATGGCAAGAGCCTCGGCAAGGGCCTCCGCATGGTTATGCGGTACGAGAACGGCCAGGGTTGCTGGAATGGCCCTCAGAGACGTACCGACGTCTGGCTGGCCTGCAGTGAGACGGAGGAGCTGTGGAAGGTCACGGAGTCGGAGAAGTGCGTCTACAAGATGGAGGTGGGCACTCCTGCCGCCTGCGACGAGCTTCTTGAGCCTCCCGCGCCCAAGGGCAAGGATGAGCTGTAAAGACAGCAGCAGCACGCAACGGGTGTCTATGAAGAATTCAGCATTGGGTCTGCTTAGCTTGGCGTCAGGTTCGTCTGCCTTAGACCGAGTAGAAAGAATGCATTAGGAATGGTCAACACATTTTTTGGTACTTGCAACTGGTGGCCTCAGATTCTCGTAGAGTGTGCAACTAGGAATGGGAACCGGGCAGGGGGTATCTTCATTTTTTTCATTCAAAATACAGCTTGACATTTGCCGGCTGGGACAAGATTAACCTCTTGACGAAGCCATCTTCCTCCGCCTGCTGAGCTCCTCTTGCTCAGCCAAGACCTTGGCTGTTAATGACGCAGCCATTGGGTTGTTGATATTGCTCGTCTTGCTCTCCTTCTTTGCAGCCTTGGCATCAACCGTAGCCCTCTTCTTCTCGGGCTTGTCGCCGTTCCCATTTTCCTTGATATCGTCCTCTGCTTTGCGCTTCTTCTTGCCGCCAGCTCTCTTGTCTTTCTTCAAGCCATGTGTAAGCCCTGCAGCGGTCAAATCATCCATTCTTTGCACCATTTTCTTAAGATCGCGCTCCTCTGTTGGCAGAATGGGTATCACATTCTCGCTCTTGAGCTCCTCACTGCACTCGGGACATGCTGACTCTTGAATCTCCTTGATAGCTACCTCGGCAAACACATGCCCGCATGGTACCAGATAGACGGACTTGACTTGAGGGCCGAGCTCCTTGAGAGAAATAGGGCAGACCCAGATATCCTTCTTGCGGCCTGGTGACGTATGCTTGTGGAACTTGAGTTTGACAATATCACGCAACGACTTGATGCCGGTGGAGGTAAATGTGAGTTCTTGGGATTCGGGATTGGATGGTGGCGACTCTGCGCTGTCGTCGGATGGCATGAGGCCTTGGAGGATGGATTCGTAATTGTAGAGGCGGCCGCGCCAGTCCGACACGATGTTCTCTTTGTCGAGGGGCTGATTTGACAACGGATCGTTGCTCCAAGCGTGACCGAGGGACTCGAGGACATTTGCCTTTAGCTCGCTGACGGTGAGGGCGCGGGCGGATTCCTTGACCAGCTCGCGGCGTTTGGGAATGGATCCTCCATCGTTACCCATCGCGAAGAAGGAGCGAGGTGGGATGATGGAGTTACAAGGCTGCGAAAGTCAAGGTATCGAATGTCGTAATTATCGCGATCCTAAAAGCTTGATTCCGCTGCCTATGTCTTGCGGTCGGCTTCTTCCTGTAGATATTGCGCGAGTCCTGATGTTGAATCTCGAAGTGGTGTCCTGATCCAAGAAGTCGCGACAGAAAACGGCTGGATGCGCACTTCACTGGCTGGAACGATAAGATAAGGTCACGGGGATCGAATTAGGAATGGGGGAGCTACAGGGGTAGCAACCGAGGGAAGGTCAGCCGAGAGTCGCCAGCAACCCACCATGGCCATCACCCATTGGGCCATGGCAGGCTGCTGCCGCTGAAGCTTCGGGGCATTGGTTTAGGAATGGGTGTATTACGGTGGGGCTGAGACTCGCTGAACAGTGCGGACTATAGCGAGTCAAGTCCCAATCAGGGTAGCTGAAGTCAGCAGTGAGGTACCGTGTGGGAACTGTGCACCAAGGTACCTTCCGTTCTTGCGCCGTTGCTCCCCCCATGGTTGACCCTCCATTCCCGTGTCGCACTTTCCGTCACTGCAGACTGACTGCCCTGGCATGGTCAATTCATCTTTTGAACCTCCCATCGTCACTTCCATCCCAAAAGACCTCCTTCATCACACGCTTTACTTGTGCACCCAGAGCACTACCTTTCCCTTTCTGCTTCACCTCCACCACTTCACATCGCGACAAACGGTGGGCTTTGGTGCAGCTGTCATATTGGCAATCCCCTCTTTGTGTACCATTCCACCGCGCGACTCCTCAGTTGACAATCACCTACGACGAACAAGTACCAAACGACGAGCGCCGAGCACTACGACCCCCCAAACCCCTCGATCCGATCCGACTCCTCCTATACCCAGTCGATGGTTCTCCCACTCTGATACTCGAACGCTCGGGTCCGCCAGCCAGTGAGCCATGGCGACCCAACAGCAGATCGCCCTCGAGCGACTTGACAATCTTGTCAGGGACTTGAGGTCTCGGTATTTTCCCTTCCCCTGCCACCTCGAAGGCCGAGTCAAGGTCAACATTGTATTTTTGTTTGCGCAGCTACTAACGAGCTTCAAGGTCTTCAGACGACGTTAGGAAGCGTGCAGCACTGCAGCTTAGAGAGCTGGTGCTAGTCTGTCATCGAGGTAAGCCATCCGTCGCTCTCTCAGGCACGATGCCACTTGCGCGACAGCAAGCTGACAGCCCACCTTTGCAGACCTCCCCCTCGACCAATTCAACACCATCTACGGCCAGGTCAACAACAAGATCACCCAGCTCATTTCCCATGGAAATGACTCCTCCGAACGCCTGGGCGGCGTCTACGCCCTCGATGCCCTCGTTGATATCGAAGTTTCCGAGCAGTCGACAAAAATGTTTGCTCGCTTCAACCAGAACCTCAAAACCATCTTGCGCGGGAAGGATATCAACCCCATGCAGGCCGCCGCGATCGCTCTGGGCAAAATGTGCCGACCAGGCGGTTCTATGATAAGCGAGCTGGTCGAGTCCGAAACTCAGATGGCCCTCGAATGGCTGCAGAGCGAAAGAGTCGAGGAACGCCGATACAGTGCCGCTCTTGTCTTGCGCGAGCTTGCCAGACAGGCACCCACACTCATGTACAACTACGTCGGCTTGGTGTTGGACCTCATCTGGAATAGCTTGAGAGACAACCGCCACCTCATCCGCGCCACCTCTGCAGAAACCGTCGCCGCATGTTTCCGGATCATTAGAGAGCGAGACCAGGAACTCAAGCAGACGTGGATGGAGAAGGCTTACGCCGAACTTATGCGCGGGCTTCAGCACGGCACCGTCGAGTACATCCACGCCTCTCTTCTTATGTTGAAGGAGCTTCTGGAACAAGGCGGCATGTTCATGCAGGATCACTACCCCGAAGCCTGCGAAATCGTCCTGCGCTACAAGGACCACCGCGACGTCACCATCCGGAAGACCGTCGTCCTCCTCATTCCCGACCTCGCGAGCTACTCTCCCGCAGAGTTTGACAGAAGTTACCTCCACAAGTTCATGGTGTACCTCTCTGGTATGCTGAAAAAGGACAAGGAGAGGAACGACGCGTTCCTTGCTATTGGCAACATCGCGAATTCGGTCAAGAGCGCCATCGCCCCGTATCTCGACGGTGTTATGACCCACGTCAGAGAAGGGCTCAGCTTGGCAGCTCGCAAGAGAGGCTCGGTAGACGCAGTGTTCGAGTGCATAAGTCGCCTCGCCGTTGCCGTCGGCCAAACCCTCAGCAAATACATGGAGGCTCTCCTCGACCCAATCTTCGAATGCGACCTGACACCAAAACTGACACAGGCCCTCGTCGATATGGCTTTCTACATCCCGCCGGCCAAGGATACCATCCAGAACCGATTGCTCGATATGCTCAGCATGGTCCTTTGTGGAGAACCTTTCAAGCCCCTGGGAGCCCCTCATCCAAATACTCTTACAGCTGTGCCCGCTGTTCCCAAGGATTCAAAGGATCCTCTGGCCTATGAGCATCGCAAAGCAGAGGTCAAGCTTGCACTCAACACCCTTGGCAGCTTTGACTTCACGGGACACGTCCTCAATGAGTTCGTCCGTGATGTTGCTGTGAAGTACGTTGAGGATGAAGATCCAGAGACAAGAGAGGCCGCCGCTCTCACTTGTTGCCAGCTTTACGTGCGCGACCCAATTGTCAACCAGACTAGTTATCACGCGCTCCAAGTTGTTGGCGATGTCATAGAGAGACTGCTTACTGTGGGCGTGTCGGATCCTGAGCCGAATATCAGACGGACAGTTCTTGCAGCCCTCGATGAGCGTTTTGATAGACATTTGGCTAAGGCAGAGAACATTCGCACGTTGTTCTTTGCCCTCAACGACGAAGTCTTTGCCATTAGAGAGGTTGCAATCTCGATTATTGGTCGTCTTGCCCGATACAATCCGGCATACGTCATCCCCTCTCTGCGCAAGACTCTTATCCAGCTTCTCACTGAGCTTGAGTTCTCTGATGTTGCGAGAAACAAGGAGGAAAGTGCCAAGCTACTCAGCTTGTTGGTCCAAAACGCTCAAGGACTGGTCAAGCCATACGTCGACCCAATGATGTCCGTCCTCTTGCCCAAGGCCAACGATCCCAGTGCTGCTGTGGCTGCAACAATCCTCAGGGCCATTGGCGAGCTTGCCACTGTCGGAGGAGAGGAAGTGCTGCCGTACAAGGACAAGCTCATGCCCCTCATTATTGAAGCCTTGCAAGACCAGAGCTCGAATAACAAGCGTGAGGCTGCATTGCACGCCCTCGGCCAGCTGGCTAGCAACTCTGGATATGTCATTGAGCCTTATCTGGAATACCCGCAGCTTCTGGAGCTTCTCCAAGGCATCATTCGCACTGAAGGCCAACGCGGACCTCTTCGACAGGAGACCATCAAGCTGATGGGTATCCTGGGAGCTTTGGACCCCTACAAGTACCAGCAAGTGGAGCAGCGTCGGCCGGATGCCCAGAGACGTGTTGAGACTACGCAAATGACAGACATTTCTCTCATGATGACTGGCCTCACCCCATCCAGCAAGGAGTACTTCCCGACAGTTGTCATCAACGCTCTCTTGCAGATCCTCAAGGACAACTCTCTCTCGAGTCACCATGCTTCCGTCATTGAGGCAATCATGAACATCTTCCGCACCCTTGGCTTGGAGTGTGTATCCTTCCTCGACCGAATCATTCCAGCCTTCCTGGGCGTGATTCGTGCTGCAGACAAGACTCGCCTGGATTCGTACTTTAGCCAGCTAGCTACTCTGGTGTCAATCGTCCGACAACACATCCGCAACTTCTTGCCTGAGATCGTCGAGATTTGCCAGGAGTTCTGGAACACCACGACCAACCTGCAGTCGACTATCATGAGCCTGGTGGAGGCCATCTCTCGTTCTTTGGAGGGCGAGTTCAAGATCTACCTCGCCGGCTTACTGCCTCTCATGCTTGGTGTGCTGGAGAAGGATACCACCACGCGACGCACGCCTTCTGAAAAGGTCCTTCACGCCT